GAGGGGGCGGGGGAGCTGGTGGGGAGGACGAGGGGGGTGGTGGCCTTGGCGAGGCGGTTGGAGGGTCAGATGGAGGTTCTTTTCCAGCGCAAAGAGAGGGCGACGCGAGAGGGGGAGGGGGAAGGGAATGCGGAGGACGCCGTGGTCGGTCAGGTTCATGGAAGGGATCTTTCCCGAGCCGCTTTGCTCGTCGCTGAACTCACAGCCCTGCTCGACGCTGAAAAGACTTCACGAACAACTCCCTCACTGCTCGGCCTAAAGCTGATCCAGGATATCGTTCCGACGATCGATAGCGCACGCAAAACCATCATCGACTACATGGAGGATATGATCGTCCGCGGCCTCCGAGACCTCTCCCCGCTCATGCTCTCATCCTCCCTGCAAACGGCGTTCAACCTCCGCATGCTGCCGACCTTGGTGCAGGATCTGCTCAACGACCTCACCGAGGTCGTCAAGGAACGCACAGCCGCAGCGTTCGACCTCGAAGCCATCTCCCGACAACTCAACCAACCGCTCCCCTCACTCGACCTGCCATCCTCCACCGCTCCCTCCTACTCCACCTACCGCGGCGCGCGTCGCACCAACACCGCCACCGCCAGCGAAGACGACCTTCTCCGTCATCAGCAGAGGTACTCCGACGCGGTGTGGACCAGGCTCGAATCGCTCATCGTCACCGAGATGGGTGCGGTGTGCAGCAAGGTGTATCTGCTCGAAAAGGTTCTCAAGCTGAAGAACGATGGCGAGACGGGCGTGAACTTTCTCGCTGCTGCGTTGGAGGTGTTGGGGGACAAGCCGAGCAAGATGTTCTGGCTGACGCTGGCGCAGAGCGTGGAGCAGCAGGTGGAGAGCGCGTGCGCGAGGTCGGCTTGGTTGATGCAGCTGCTGTCGAGCGGGTCGAGAGGCGGAGATGGGTATCCGAGGTTGGTGAGGATGGTGCAGGAGTTTTTCGCAAAGATCTCGGTGTACGCGGATGTGCAGTATGGGACGACGAATCAGAGTGCGGAGACGGTGATTCTGATGAAGAGCTTGGTGAGGTTGGAGAAGGGGTATGTGGAGAAGTCTACGGAGAGGATCGCCGAGGTTTTGAAGCAGGTAGGCGGTTCGAGAATGGTACCGGGGGAGGAGGAAGCGGAAGCGGTGGTACGATCGATTGCCAATGTGTTGGACACGACACGCTTTGACCCGCTGCTATCGAAAGCCGTGGTAGTGCGGTGCGTGGATTTGGTGGATCGATTCGTCGCACGTCTCGGCGCTGTGGCGGCGAAAGACGACGGTGCATGGGCGCTGAGTGGAGAGCGGGCGACGCAGGGTCAGACGTGGAATGCTGGTCTTGTGCGTTTCGCCTACACGCTATCGCAAGGCTTCGCAAGCGTCGCTGCGGATCAAGATGGCGTTGTTCAGACATCTGCCACCACTACAGCACTCGCTCCGACCAAACCGTCATCCACCAGCTACGCAGCAATCCAACTCAACATCCTAGCGCAATCCATCGCCACTTCAGCACGAACATCCTTCCTCCAGCCTCTGATGGACCACATCCGCACCACAATCTCCACCACCATGTCGAAGATGCACCTTCAACTCGCTTCCGCTTACAAAGCGGAACGCGGCGTCTCCATCGACTCCACCACCGGCGCCTCCCCCTACGCATCCTCGATCTGCGACGTCGTTTCGTTCCTTCACGAACGCTTGCTGCCACTCTACCCCGCCGAACTGCGTACCGCAGTCGCGCACAGGGTGGCGGCGTTGACGGTGGGAACGTTTTGCCTTCACGCATCGATATTCGCGTTCCCCGAGCAGGAGGGGGATGCGGTCAAACTGCGACTGGCGACGGACATGACCGAGCTCGAGTTTGCCCTGTCACAACTCGTTGGTGATCAGCGGACCGCAAGGGCGGGGGACAAATGGATGATGGAGGAAGAAGAACAACATGCGTTCGTGGAGGTGGGAGGCGATGCGTGGATGAGGAGCTTGAAGGCTTTCCGCAGGCTGCTCTTCTTCACGCTGGATGACGTCGAGGAGGAAACGACGGGGATCGAATTGCCGAGTCTCTTGATCGTTCTGCATTTGCTTTCGAGGCAGAGAGGCGCGTTGGATAAGGTGATACAACGGGCAATGGCGAAGACGGGAGAGGCAAAGGCGAAGCTTGAAAAGTCAGGTTTCGTGGAGTGGGTGCTCCATCATTCGCAACAAGACGTACTGGGGCGTGTGGGGGGCATCGCATTGGAAGAGGTGGACGACGAGCGGTCGAGACGTGTCGTTTCGGATCTGATGGCGCATTAGACTCTCGATCTAAAGTTGAGGGACGGCTTGGTCACAGCTCTCGCTCTTTCTGCAATCACACACACACTTTGTCACACAAGATCGCTGTTCAGCGCCTGAGGGTATGCTCTCTTCCAGAGTGATCCTCACGTTTTGCGGCCACTGAAACACAAACACTCTGTCTCGCACAAAGGGACGTCGTGGCAAGCGATCGTATTCTAGACACGACGATGCTTCCCATACCCCCTACCCCCTCTCCTTTCGAATGGTCGCTTCACGCGTCCAGGTGAAACTGCCGTATCTCCACCCCCGCCTCCTGAAAGATCATCTTCGTCCTACTGTCCATACTATACTCCAGCTGGTACACCACTTTCCTTATTCCCGTCTGAATAATCTTGACCGCGCACCTCAAACACGGACACGTGTTGCAATACATCGTAGCGCCCATATCCCTTTCGCCACCCATAGCGATCTTTGCTCTTCCCGCCTCCAACAGTGCGTTCTCCTCAGCGTGGAGGCAGAGGCATTCTTCCAAATTCTGACCGCACGCATTGCCGGACTTGCCCTCTGCGACGAGGGTGTTGTTGCATCGGGCACATCCACCTTGGTTGCAGTTTCGGAGGCCCGAGGGGGTGCCGTTGTAGCCCGTGGCGAGGATCCGGTTGGAGCTGACGAGGACGGCGCCGACACGACGTTTCATGCAGTTGGAACGCAGAGAGGCGAGGTTGCAGAGTTTTAGGAAATAGGTATCCCAGCAGGGGCGGAGACGTTCCGTGGAAGGGAGGTTGAGGGTGGTTAGGTGCGAGTGGAGATGCGAGAGGTGGGGGAAGGAGTTGTTGATGAGCAGGTGGGTGAAGCGTCGTAGACTTGTCAGACCTGAGGATGATGTGGAGGAGGGCTGGAGAGATATGCTCGACATGTTGTCGATGATGCCGTTACCACCGATGAGCGAGCTGCTGGATGATCCGCGAGCTAGCATAGGTACACTTCCGTTCGTCTGCGAAAGCGAGTGACCGCCGTACGAAAGCTCGTCGTCCAATGCAACAAAGTCCTCCAAAGAGACTGTTCTGTGCTTGGACGTGTACCTCTCCCAGCGCATCAGCAGGGGTGCTGCTACTTCGACGCACAGGAAGAACGGCCGCTTGATAAACGCATCTAGGTCGGCAACGGTGGTCAGGTCGAGAGTGACAAAAGGCGAATCCCATCGATCGGTCACGTAGTCCAGCATCACTTTCGAGTTGGGCAGAGTGATTGCATCCGTCGATTGCTTTTCAGAGGATGATGCGGTAGCTGTAGGTCCAGACGGTGAGCTCGAGTCGATGCGGAGCAAGCGGAATCCATGCTGTTCTGCGAGAAAGTGCGCGATTGTCGCCTTGCCCGCCCCAGGTGGTCCGATAAGTGCGATCAGCATTGTTGTATTTCGTCGTCTTGTCGGTGTTGCGGATAAGCTTCACACTTCTCGAGCGAAACAGGCGGACTTATTCCCGCAAAGCACCTGTATTAAGGTCCTTGGATCTTCGAATCGATCTTCGCTCCCGGAGGACCACTTCGATGTGTCGGGTCGTATGCAGCCTCAATCGTGATTGAATACCCGAGATATGGAGTATGCTGAAAAGGATGTACGCGATGCGGCCGATGGATCAAGTTGCTGAGAGATTGTTAAGAGAGGTGCAAGGTTTGATGTCGATCTGGTCAAGAAGATGATGGTGTTGGTCTCCGTCTTCTTTTTCACTCGTGGCGCGCTTTGACGTTCAATTTACGCGTCACAACTCGGCAACCTCGCGCCCTCCGCGCTTTTTCCGCAACTCGACCCCGACCTCTATCTACCTCATCCTCACCCCCCATACCAGGTCACAGGAACATCTCTCACTTCTCACAACGCCTATCATCATGTATGAATTCACCCGTCTGTATTCGCAGTGACACCAAATGCTATTTTCTTCACACTCAGAGCTTAGACCCTTTCCCAGACCCCGCAGTAGCCGCTTCCGTCTCCTTCGCATCTCCACTCTGCGCTCCTCCGCCTCCCTCCTCCTCATCGGCCTCAACCTCGGGCGGCTTGATGCTCTTCACCGGCGCCAACCTCCACTGTAGATCTTTCAACGCTTTGCTCTTGCTATCCGGTTTCCACTCATCGTAGCTTTGCAACAGATTCAACATGTCCTCCGCGAACAGACTGCGAACGTGTTTGTCCTCGAACAGGCCACGAAGCGACCACGGCAGTTCGTAAGGGTTCCAACGTTGAGCCTCGAATGCTTCCGAGACCAACGTCACTGCTTTGCCTTCGTCTGCACCTGCTGCACGGCGCGCCGTCGATGATCCCGCTCCCGAAGCGGAAGAGTTCGTACTGATACCCGGCGGACCAGGTACAAACGTAGGCTCGTTCAACGGATGCGTCACCTCGAACAAGTATCTCGTCGCCAGATCATACACCGCCTTCTCCTCATACACTTTAGAATGTCCTAATCCACCATACAAACTGCCCGCCACACTTGCCGACAACAGGGTCAACAAGTTATGGTCGCTCAGCCCAGCATTCCTCACCGCCACGCATAGCACCAGCAGATTCGTCAGGAAATCGACCTTGGGGAACGCCTGCCCGTCGATGTAAAGCGCGCGCAAGATGCTCGGATGATTGTTGCTCGAATTCAGCGCCGAATAGATCGGTACCACATTGTCATCCGTCGACCCGACATAGACGCACTTGGTGCCAGCGTCTAGCACGATCTTGAGTGCTGCCGTGTACTGTTGAGCAACAGCGGTAGACGACGATTGGAACTCGAACAGCTCCTTGGCAGCTGCAGTCTCGAAGTAGTTGATGTAGCTGGCCGTGATGGAAGACTTGAGGTGCGCAAAGGGACCATGGTGGATACCACACATGGCGAGCAGGCAGATGCGTGTGCTTTCTGCTCGAACATGACGTTGCTCGATCAGACGGGCAAGAAGCTGCGTAGCAACAATGGCACCCTGCGAATGTGCGGAAAGGAAGATCGCGTCGGCGGTCTTGAGGTCGTTCACCCAATTGGGCCTGCTGATCAGCTCCGAGAATAAGCGGTCTACACGATCGGCAACTTTGCCATCGCCTTGCAACGAGATCGCAGTGATCGCCTCCGGATTCAGCTCCAGCCCAGCTTCCAGGAAATGCCGACGGATCGAGTCGGTCTGCATGGCCGCAAATTTGGCCGACGTTCCCGTATTCTCGCCAATCATGTTTTTGAAGATGCTCTGTGTGAACCAACCGTGCACACCGATGACGACGATTTTGCCAGTTCCGGCCGTGCCCCTCGTCTGCGCTCGTTCGGGCATGCCGACTGTCGACCAGGCACGAGGAAGACGCTGGGCCGACTCCGCAACTTCTTTTAGAGCCGTCTCGACACCCTTGTCCTTGCTCGACCCTGCCCCGGTGGCTTTGGCTTTACCTGCCAGCCGTTGCACTGGCCTGCCACCTGCGAACGAAGCCGCATTTCCCTTGAAAGACGATGCACTGGACCCCAGGCTAGACTCGCCGTACGTCGAGAAGCGCGTCGGTCGCTTCATACGCTCCAGATCGGGCACCTTGCTGAATAGATAGCTGTTGACCGCACTGAGCGTCCTCTCTAGCACTCCCACCTTGGGGGCCCACATCCTCGGCGCTCTTGCGAACGTGTCATCGAATGATGGCAACACCAAATTCGCCGGAGCGATGGGTCCAGGACCGTTAGCGGACCGTGTCGGAGTGGAAGCGCCGGATCGAGACGGTCCAGAACCATTAGGCGCAACTTTCTTGCTGATATCTTTTGCCGGCTGCGAGCTGCTTCCAGCATCGGCACCGCCCGACTGAGATGCTTCTCCTCGCTTTCCTTTCCCGAGACTCAAGTTCGCAGCTGCCTTGACATTGGCTGCTTTGGTGATAGCCGTCTTGGTAAGATTCTTGACGCTCTCCTTGCTCGTCGACAGCGGTGTGGCCGGGCGAGGCGCTTCTGCATCTCCAGCAAGGGACGATGCTTTTGAGCCTGCCAAGCTGCCTCCCGTCGTCGTTCTAGGTCGGGGCGCCCGAGACACATCCGGCGTGAGACGACCGTTGCTCGGTGCGATGGTGCGAGCCGCTGCGGGCCGAGCGGCACTTTCCATCTCGCTGATATCCATCACCTCCACCCCATCGCCATCCGTGATAGCTTCAGGTGCTTCTCGCGGGAGATTGGCGCTGCGAGATGCGAAGAACTTGATCCAGCCACTACGCGTGGAGTCATTGAGAACAGCCTTGTTGGCGTCGAAGACGGCGGCAGAGGTATCGCGCGCAAGCGCATCAGCCTTGACTTGCTCAGCAGGTGTGCGTGGGTGGCCTTTATCAGTCCTGACAGCAAGTCTTGCACCCGTGTCTGCGTCCACCTCCTCGGCCGGCGCAGCATCAGCGCTGGCCGCGGCCTCCTGCTGCTGTTGAGCGTTGTACACCCATGTGGGAACCCAGCTAGCAACATACGACGAATACGTCCACGAGCCGCCGTCCGGCACTGTTGTCGCGTCAGCCGCCGGGCCGTCCTGATCGATATCCATGGGCACGGCTGTGTCAACCTCCGTGCGCGCCTGTTCGGCAGGAGCGGCTGGAGGTGCGGACAAAGTGTCTGGAACTTGCAGCTGCTGAGCAGCGGATATGGGTTCGACTTCTGGCCGGTCCTCGTGTCCTGACCAGAATCTCCATCGCCAGGTCCCGCTGGTCTGTCTCACGTGGGCGTCCGCGTCTCCTGCAGCAGCAGGCGGGGGATACAACGCTGCAGGCTGAGCAGGCTGTGACTGAGAAGCTTGGGCCCCGGCTTGCTCCTCGTCGTTCCTTTGGGTAGATGCGGTACCGTCTCCAGAGGCTTGCGCTTCGTTTCCTGAGGGATGATTGAAGACGTCGCGCGAATTGGTGACGGGCTCCTGCACTTCGTAGCGCGCCCCCATCCAGCCTCGTTTCACTACGGTTCGGTACGTGACGGTGTCCTCCACTTCGTCGCCCGCAGCCGCCGACTCTCCCTGAGTCTTTGCTTCACCAAACGCTGCGGACCCTGATTCTTGGAGCTCGCCGCTCTGCTGCTGTTCTTTCTGTTGAGCAGAGCCATCGACCTTGTCTTCAGCTGCAGAGCTCGTCGTCTCGCCGGCAGAAAGAGGTGCAACGCTTCGCCAAGGTAGCCAAGATGCGCGTCTCTCTCTGATCGGTACTTGAGCCAGCTGGGACTCAGCCTTGATTGTTGCATCGGAATCTCGACCTCCTGGGAAGACCTTTGGCACGTCGTCCTTCGTATCCGCTGACTGGCTGGAGTCAGGGTATCCGAGCGACTTCCTGAAAGCAGCTTCGTCTTCATTCATAGGAGGAGGCGGCTGGTCCTTAATCGCTTCCGCTGCAAGAATAGGCTCGTCCTGTGGATCCTGCGTTTTCGCCTCCGACTCAGCAGCCCATCCGAGACCGAACCATGTCCTTCTGCGGGATGCAGACTGATTTGGACTCTGTTGGACAACTTGAGCAGGCAGCTCGTTCGTGGTCTCCTCGTCTTTGGCGCTCGGCTGCAACGATGCGCTGCGTTCCATCTGATCAGCGCTACGCTTCGCTTGTATTGGCGACGTACCTGGCGAGGTGGGTAGGCCGTGTCCCAAACCTGTAGCCCCCAACTTTCTTGGCGACACAACACCAGAGGCCTCCGAAGGCGGTTTGTGGATGTAGCTCTGAGGCCTACGTCTAGGCGACAGAACAGTTGGGGAGGTGATTCGAAGCGTGTTGGTTGGAGCAGCCTGTGGAGACCGTGGCGAAGCTGATACTGATGGCTGTGGAGCCGCATTTGTCGGTCTGGAAGCAGTCGCTGTCGGAGTCTCCACCGCGATAGTGGAGGAACGAGTCGGCTGTTGTACAGCAGGAGCTTTGCCCTTGATCGTCGCAGCCCTTGTCGAGTGCGATGCTGAAGCGCTTCGACTTTGAAGCTGTGCTGCATGGCCGAGAGCCGTGAGGTGATTCTTGGTGTCGACGGACCTTCCGCTGATCGGAGTATCGTCGATTCCCAGCTCGGGCGTTTGCGCTTCAACCGACAGCTGTTCCAAAAATTGGCTGGTAGGGTTTCGGAACGTGACTGAATAGTTCGAGATCGACCTCGGCGCTCTGGAAGCAGCAGCGGCGGTCAACGTCGACGTTTGCCTCATGCTGCTGCTCTGCGCTGGAATCTGGTCAATTCGAGCAGTTGCTGCCTGTTGACTGTTGATGCTGTTTAGAGTTGAAGAGCTGGCAACCCTACGTAGAGACTCGGCCGCCCCCGGTCTTCTCGAAGCTTGAGTCCCCGGAGCGGCAAGGTTGGCTGCAGCTCTTTTCGCCTGCCTGCGCCGCTGCAGATCGTCTTTGGCCAGAGCCTCGTCCAAGAAGCGTCGAAAGTCGTCGCTCTCGTCGGTACTGACGAGCGCAGCAGAGGTGGAAGCTTTGGCGAGAGATAACGAGGAAGGTGGTGGTGCTGTTGAGAAGTGCGAGCCCGAAGCACTTCGCCCACTGGTGCTGAAGTCGCTGACATTTGAGGAAAGGGAAGTAGAGTGTGGCAAGCCGCGACGATGGCCGTTGGCTCTTCTCGTCTCTGTAGGAGAGGCCGAGATACGACCTGAAGGGGCCGCCGACGTCGAAGGCGCAGCCGCCCGATCGTGTGTCCAGGCGAACGGCATTGTCAAGAGCTAGCGCGGGCAGGCTGCTTGAAGTGCTGATGCGTTAGCTCAAGTGGTGGTGTTGGTGGTGGTGGATTTGATGCTGAGTCGAGATCGTCGCTCGCTGACTACGCAAATGTCGGCAGCTGCATCCGACGAAGCCTTCTTACTGCATTGCTGAGTTGGCGTTACGTGGCTTAGGTAGGACTCTTCTGTCGTGAACAAAAGTGACCCTGTGATTCCGTGATGTGCGATCGAGTGTTGTAGACTTTGATCGGATGGTCCGATGTGAGTAAGTATGGGGAGGGACACTGTGAGAGCAAAGCTGGATACTGTAGGCAAAGTGAGGCCAAGTGTTGATTGAGAGTGTTGGGCGGCCAACGTGCAGTGTGCTCTCTCACGTTCACGCCGCACTAAACTGAGCGAGGAGCTGCTCGGCTCCTATCCGCATCCTGTGCCGTGTGTAAATTTCTCTGAGCTGAAACCCCAAGACAAAAGCATGCGCTCAAGGCGGGGCAGTTCTGCACCCTTGCATGAACTGCCACAGCTCCCGAGCCTGTCGTTTACATTTCAACGCTCTATTAATATTTTCCTCCACATCACAGCAGTTCAGAACATATCGCTGCTTGTTAAACTGCGAGGCGAGACCAACAGGACCCTGAAGCGGCTCTCAACAGACTCACTTTGCCTTCGCGACACCTTCTTCATCCATCGATCTATACGGCTTCGCAGCTCGTGCAGCCCCATTGCCATTGGGTTCTGTACCAAATACACCTCTACGATGGCTCCAGCACCCATCATCGATTCATCCTGGCATCGCCTTCCCACAGACACGTTCGGCGCCGGACCGTCCACCTCGACACCCATCGATCCATCGTCCACCGTCTCCCACGACTCGGGCGCCGAATCCGACAGCTCGTCATGGTCCTTTTCCGACACCGAAGAGCTGATCACACTCGATTTGGGAGCTGAGCGTATCGCAAAACGAGCCTTGCTCGGCTACTCTGGCGGGCTGGACTACATCGATCCTACTCCCTCCGCCGCTGCTGCATCGTCGAGCACTAGATCCGTTCGATCTACCCGTGGTACCACCAACACTTCTGCCGAAACCTCCACCAACACCGCTCAAGCTTCCACTAATAGTACACATCTAGGAGCGGGCAAACATCTCAGCATGACAGGACTCGATACGTCAACACCGTTGATGAAGATCAACGATACAGTTTTGCGCGGTAGTCTGATGCAAATGTTTGGCACCGAGATCGTTCTGAAGGATGACTTCGATCCGACTCGAGATAGAGGGAAGCAGCACAGACTGCAACCGATACCGCCAGCGGATGGACGGGCGAATGTCAGCTCGAGCACGACGAGAAAGAGGATCCTCTTCAGGCCCTTGTACGATCCGAAATCGCGAGAAACGGTGGGCAACGAAGACGCGTACAAGAGGTTGCAAGCGCTAGCCACTGGTGGTGCTCACGTCAACGTGACCGAAGCGTCTAGTAAGAGCACACTAGAGGCTTTGACCTCGAACCCCACGGTAGGCGAAGCCGAGTCTGGGTTGGGAAGAGGTAAATACAAGCGGAAAGAGATCTCGGAGGAAGAACAGATGATCAGAGCGGCAGAGAGGAAGGTCAGGAAGGCGGCAAAGGAGCATCTCGAGCAGCAGGAACAACTTCAGCAACAGAAGGCGTCGGCAATCGCTGCTGCGACATCCGAAGCACCAGCTCAGGACGAGCCTCTTCAACAACCCGAGCGCGATGGCAGTCAGCTGGACGAGAGACCACCATCGTGCATCGAGCCAAACAAGACTTGACGCGCACCTCTTTGCTACATGCTGTTCTCACACATCACCCACAGTCAATCACACAACCACTTGCAACTTTTGGCAAACCTTGTCTTCATTCCAACTACACATCTTCACGCCCAATCATCATCGCTGTCATCCATCTCTCCATCTGCGATCTCAGCCGCCAACTCTCTCTCCCTCTCGTGCGCCTCTGCGACACTATCGAGCTCCTTCTTGTGTCCGTTCAACGGGTACCTCATCGCCTTTACACTCTCATTGTGCAGCTGCAGGCAGAACTGGATTCTCTGCTGGAACTGCTGCATCGGTTCGTCGGTTTCGTACAGATCCTTGGTCTCGCGATTCACCATCTCGGCCTTTTCATGGTCGACCCGCGTGTCTCTGCTATCGACCACATTGTCTCGGATCGCTTTGGCGACAATGTACTCGGCATCCTCTTCGGATTCGAGGTGCAGCTTGTGCGTGATATCGGCGAGAGAGATGCGCGAGTAGGAGAGCGAGATCATTCGGATCCCCGTCTTGATGACGTTGTGTCGAAGTCGGACGATGAGCGACAGCGTCTTGTCCGTCTGGAAGAGCTTGTTGTGCTGTTGGAGTGTCGACTGGAAACGCTGGAGATCACCGACGCGTACGGCTTGAACGATCTCCAGGTAGGGCGACAGAGCCTTGCGCAGAACCGGGGTTCGGAAGATGGATCGTTCCGGGATCTCACCCATCAACAGCTCGACGACGACCAAGAACTTGTGAGCCGTCTGCAAGAAGCCGGCTGCCGGCTGGGATTGACCCACCGGAAGCGCGTCTGTCTTGGCGCTCGTCTCCTTTTTGCCGATAGCTGCAGTGGCAGCAGCTCCGGTTCCAGCACCATCGCCACCAGCAGCACTCGACTCCTGCGGAAGCGAAGCCTGAGGAGCACGTCGGATAGCCTGCTGCAGATGCACGTGAGCCTGTGTATAGTCGAGCTGCACCGCACGGATGCGTCCGACGTAATAGTCGTATCGAGCCACCTGAGGGTTGCTTGCGCTTGATCGCGGGAAAGGCGCTCGAGCTACCAGCTTGTCGGCCTGGTCGTACAGGTTGGCCTCAACAATGTAAGACCTGAGCAGCAAGTTGATGATGGTCGCTTCGGTCTCAGGGTCGTGACGGAGCGAGGCAGTTCGCTGCAAGCCGAGCAGCTGGCTTCGGATCGAGGTGAGACCGCCTTCGGCGTGGGCGCCCTTTGCGTGCGCCTGCTCCGCCTTGAGTTCCTGAGCCCTTCCAAGGTAGAAGATGGTCTTGGCCGCGAGGTGGTCGAGCGTCCTTCGATTCTGGGCGGTGATGGTCGAGATGGAAGCGACTGCCTCGTCCGAGGCGGCATCAAGCTTCTTGTTGTCGATGAGATGGACGAGCGCAAGCAGGCGAAGGTAGGCGACCAGCTCGGGCTGAGCTTCAGCTTGCCTCTGAGCGGGCTTCGACAGCTGTGCAGCGGTGGCAGCTGCAGAGGTCTTGGCGTCCTTGGAGTCCTTCTCTGCTTCGGCTTTCGGCTCAGCTGAGTCTACATCCATCGCATCGGAAGCCGCGGCGGAGTTGGCGCTGACAGCAGGAGCGGAGGGGGGCTCGGGCTTGTACGGTGCAGGCAGCAGAGACAGGAGGTGCTTTTGATTTGATGACTCGTCCTTCCCGTTTGCGAGGATACCTTCCTGCACCGCGAGCGCCAGCACGTCAGGGTAGGCATTGACCTTTCTCCTGACGTAGGGCAAAGTTCGGAGCACACGAGCGGTGAAACGCTGTTCGATATGCGAGACGCTACGCTCGATCAGCAAAAAGTTGTGACGAAGGAGCGCAAGGAGCTGCTCCTTCTCGCTCGGTGGCTTGACAGCAGGTGCATCGGCTGATTTGGTCGCTGTTGCAGCGGGAGTATCCTCCTTGACTGCCTTGACTGGCTCTGGCATGGCTGTGAGTGGTCGTCAGATTCGAAGTTTGATGTTGCGGGAAGTTGTTTCGTCGGAGCAGAAGAGGGCGACTGTGCAGACGATCGGCACAGCACGTCCGCAAAACGATGAGACGAGCGAAGCAAGAAGGAGGTGTTGGTGTTGGATGTTTGAGAAGAGGAGCTCTCAACAGCAGCAGATGGCACTTTGTCGCTTTCTCACTCGCCGAGACGCGCGGTCGGTCGATCACAAATCCGATTCGCGAACAGACCTCCACCGCACACATTTGTTTTCATTCGAGATGGTGTTTGTCGGCCTAACAACATCAAGTTTTATAGATTTTGCCCTGCCTTATCCTCGAGCCACACTAAGCGAACAACACCAGCAACTCGCTTCACCAGGCCAAAGACAGATGTAGAGAACACGATTAGAATGCTTGCGATGGACGAAGTACAAATACAGACAATGACAGGGGTGTAAAGCGGTCGGTGAGCGGACGCGACGGAAGAGAGTAAGTGACTACAACACACAATTTAGGCAGGAAGTGTGGCTGGTGTGATGGCGGCGGCGGATGGCTTCAACGGCGGCTCTTGCGACTCGATCCAGCTGCTGTCATCTTCGACATCATGGTACACGGACGCGAAAGAGTTCTCGCGCTTATGAATGGGCTTCAACGTCTCGGACGCCGAGACTCCTGGCGTGTCAAAGGTGTCTGACAGAGCAGTCTGATCGGTCGCAGAAGACCGTCTTCCGTCATCCGAGGCGCGGGAGGCGCGGGAGCTAAATGGGTCCGAGCCTGCATCGGCATACCCTTCCTGCTCCGAGTCTTCTTCGTCTGATGATGACAGATCCGGCGAGCCAGGTGGGAGCGGAACGGGTGCAGTCGAGATGGGTCGAAGCCAACCTGCGCCTTGCCAGCCCTTGGACGCGGCCTCGGAAGGCTCGACACCTCTGTTGCCCTTGGACTGCCTTTCGCGACCAGAAACTCCTTGACTGTCGTGGAAAGGCATTGCGCTCGAGCTCGAGTTTGGACGCGACGAGGGCCGGCTCGATCGGGCAGCATCTTTGGCGAATTGACCAATGGCACGGCTTGTTCGTTTGAGCCGCTCCAGACCTACGGCGGTGCTGTTCGACAAGCTCTGAGGAATCGCAAGTCCAGCTTGGTACAGACCTTTAAGGTCGTTGGAGCTAAGCTTCCTGCCATCGCCTGCGCCAGGGACGGAGGACGATGCGGAGCGCAGGCTTGCAGCATCCGCATCCTTGACCGTTTCCGACGAAGCAGCCCGCGACGTTGTTGGCAAGGCCGTTGGAGACAGAAACGCGTTGCCAGCCTGATCAGCTTTGACATCCGCATTAGCTGTCTTGTTCGACTCTGTGGCGTCGGAGGAAGGAGGCTTGGCGAGTTGAACGTCGGACGACGATGCGGCAGTGACACCACCTGCCCGGATAGGGATGTAAGGATGATTTACGACGACAGACGGGGGCGGAGGCATGGCAGCTCGGTCGCGTTCTTCCTTCTCTGCGAGCGTCTCAGCGACTGGCGTCGTCTCCTGCGAGGGCTTAGCTTCACTTGCTGTGTCCTCTGCAACACCCAGATCCCAGCGTATAGATGAAAGTCGCCGGGATGAAGAGTGTGCTACGGGAGGGGCCATGGCGATGGCCGAATCGCTGTTTGTGCGCGGAAGTGCGTCCGTGGAGGCCGACGGAGACTCGACCAGCAAGTTGGGCGTCACCTTGTCTGCATCTGAGCCAGGAACGCCGAGGTGGAAACCGTGCACCTTGTGCCCAGACACGCTCTCTGCATCTGTGGTGGATTTACTCTTGACGGGCTTGTTGTCGTCCTTGAGGGCTTTCGGTGTGTCCTTGTCGTTGGTCTTTCCTTTGTCCTGTCGCTTGGGTTCCTTCTCCTTTTTCTTGTCCTTGTCCTTGTCCTTGTCTTTGCCTCGACCTAGACCAAAGGAGAAGGAGCGTTCCGACTTCTTGGAAAGACTGGATGCCGAGCTGATGGTGCGGATACGTTCCCGTGTGCGTTCGGGCGACTTGCTCGCTTTGATGTGCGGCTGACCCGTTTGCAGGTCCAGCGCAGCTGTCGCTCGTTCGGCTCTGCTTGCCCGAGCGGCTGCGACCTTTGCGGCTGCGGCATCGTCGCGGACTCGGCCGAGGTGACTTCCGCCTACAGGGATGCCCTTAAAGATGGCGTTGATGACATCGTCCGGCGCACGATCGCCTTGAGTGCGACTCGTGAGGAAGGACGCCTCAGATGTACGCTTTGGCTTGCGCTTTGTCTCTTCCAAGCCAGGGGCAGCAGCCACGAGGTTCTCCTCGGGGATGCGGTTGGTCCACGTCTTTTTGGCGTAGATTGAACGGAGTGGTGGACCATAGACGTTGTGCTGCGACTGTCCTGACGAATCGAATTTGTGAAGCGAGAAGCTGCTAGCACTGGGCAAGCCGGAGCCCATGAGCTCGCGGTTGCGCGTCGAAGCGCTGGCGCGGATAGGCTCATGGCGGAGGCTGCTGCTTTCCGAGCCGCTGCTTTTTGAAGATGCTGGACCGCTGGCGACTTGGGTAGCAGCACTGTCGTGACTCGACTCGAGCAGAGCAGGGGCGATGAGAGAACCTAGGCCATTGACCATGAGACCATTGGAGATGGGCGGGACGAAATACTCCCTTGCACCGCCAAGGAAGGTCATGGTGATGGTGATCTTGACCGTGGCATTGGTCTTGCTGCCGTTGAGCAAAAACTTGCGCGTCTCTGAGCGACAAGTGCGATTTCGGTACGAATGCTCGCCGCCGGGACCATGATGAGGAGGATGGTGTGCATGGTAGTGGTAGTGATGCGGGTGGTGGTGATGGTGACGGTGATGTTGGTGATGACGATGTCGGCCGCTAGAGCTGGTGACGGGCGGGTCGGGAGCGAATTCGGAGAGGTCGAGGACGACGTTGCCAAGCACATTTGGGTGGGTAGTGGATTTGACGTTGGCAGGCATCTCTTGTCTGATGGTGAGTTTGAGTTCCGAGTTGGTGAGTCGGCCCCAGGCGGTGGACAGGTCGTCGAGATGCTGCTCGCGGTGTGCACGCGATCGCAAGTCCTTCGCGCTGGACTTTGCCGAGACGGAGGGACTGTCGTGATGACTGGGCGGTGGAGATGTTCTTGGCTTGCCGATACCGATGCGCATGCCCACCTGAAAGTCGCGTTCCCACTCGACTTTGTGATCCTCGACTTTGACAAACTCGGTCTCGCCCTTGGGCTCCTGATTGAAGAAGAGGAGCGGATCAACATTGTGATGGTGGGAGTCTGCACCCTTAGAATGCATGAGGTCCTTCAATGACTTGGTGCGCGAGTTGGAGGTCTTGCGACTTGTGGTACTGTCTCGTCGCGATCGAGAGTGAGTGGAGCTTGCGTCGGCTGTGTCGGCTGTAGACAAGGAAGCCTGGCTGCTGCTTGGCTGGGTGTGATCCGCAGACTTGGTCTGTGTCGCTGGCGAAGGCTGCGAGCCGTCATCTGGGGTGCGATGCGATTGGCCGTCATGGTGAGAGTGGTGCGGGTGCAACATGTTGGAGAGAAAGGAAGGCTTGTGAGCCGAGTGCTGGGATGCATCTCTGCTGGATTGGCTGAAGATGGAAGCGGCATCGGCATTCGTTGATCCGCTGGCCTGTCTTTGGCCGTGACCGTGTTCATGTGGTGCACCAAGGGAGAGATTGTTGGAGGATCCAGACTCGTGATCGATGGCGTGAACGCTGCTGGCGGGATCCTTGGTGGATGTGGTGTGCGACTTGCGCGATGCACTGGAAACAACACGCGAAGTCTGTTGGTGAACTGCTGCTGCTGCGGAATGCTGCAAACTGGCCAAGGAGTGGGAGCCCTTGACCTTCCATTTGCAGGCAAAGAGGCCGGTGACAAGGGGAACGTTGGTGAGCTCATGTATTGTAAGTTCGACGTGGAAGTACGAGTGCTTCTGTCCAAAGCCGAAAGGTGAGAGCAGAGACATGGTGTCGCGGAGCGAGCTCGCCGTGGAACGCGGGCGCTGCGATATACACGAGCTGCGGTTACGACGACTGAGCGCAAGTGCGGCGAGTCAGTACCGACACACAGCTACGGTGCGGTGAGGCTGCTACGGTGGAAATCGGAAGAGGTATCCGATGGCGGTCAACGGAGGGCGAACATGATGAAGAAGACCCTCTTATACGAACACGAAGGGAAACAACAAGGCCGTCGATTCGATGAAATGCAAGCGATGTGCGCGTTGTTGGGTTTGGCTGCTAAACTGCACCGTTGCACAGATGGCGTGGACGAGCTGCCAAGTGCGAGTTGCACCAGCGACGATGATGCAAGTATAGTTTGTGAGGCTTGCGTGTGAGGTGCGAGCGGGACGATGCAAGAGCGTGTCTATGGGTGGTACGGTGGCGCTGTATGGTTGCAACGCTTATGAGACGGGACGAGAGGATGATGGAGATCGAGAAGACGAGGAGCAAGACATGTCGGGACGGCGGCAGATGTGTGAATTCGTGGTTGATGTGGAGCATAGCAATCTAGGCAAGGCAGCGCAGTGCAGCTGCTGATTGCAAAGCCGCTAGTGTGTACTTTTGAAGGTGAGTCTAATTTGGTCCGCGGCCACGCAGGTTGCTCGTCCGTTCCTGTGCTTTGGTGCAAGTGTGCATCTCACTGTCACACTGCCGTGAGCTGCTGCTCTTTGGGTCGATCTCGGACATTAGGGAAACCCACCGCAAATTGCAATTATTTGGATTTTCTAGTTTTAGCGTGACGTGACTGTACCGCGGCAGAGTGGGTCATGCCCGCATCAGCCTGCACCAAATTTCACGGGCCGCTTCTTTCTGGCGGCTGCCTGCAGCCACTTGCATCGAGGCAGGAATGGAAGCGTTCAACATAGAGATGACCTTTTCTGCTTGCTTGCATTGCATGCTCTAGTCCAAGCTCTCGCCGCTACGCTATCTTGACCGTGTGCATAGCAACAAATGAATGTGCACCGAAGGGACCAGAGAACACCTTTGAGTGCGACTTTTCGGGGATTGTCCCGTCTCTGATCACTGCACTATACCTCCTCATGCCCACAACGGTTTCAGCCGCAATGCAGGCTGTTGCGGGATCGCAATGCATGAATCCCGATGGCAGCAGTATCGCAAAGCCTTCCCTGTTTCTTTTTGTTAGTACAGTAGCCTTAGCTAGACTCGACCGCATGGTCGGACAGTTCCAGCAAATCTCCCGGCTGCAACGTGCCGAGAATTCCCACGGACTCTTTTGTCAGCACCGCTCTCATGTGAATTTGCGCTTGACCGTCAGCAATAACATCCTTGCACGCGCAGATCTTACATGCCGTCTCAGATACAAGCCCGCAGTCCCGACTCGCACAGATGACAGCCAACAAGTCAGGAGAGAACATGTTCGTGACGTGCTTCGACTGGATCGCCGTTGCGCTGCACCAAGAATCTAGTGTTACATTTTTTGAGCCAAGAAGCCATGCTCATAGCCGCCCCGCTCACATGACAGCGGCCGTCTGCCGGCCGCCTTCCTCCTGGTCCTCGCGCAGCATCCGTTCAAACGCCGCGCTCGGATTCATCTCGTCTTCCACGCTCATGCTCGGCCGCGCCGACGTGCTGGCTCGCGGCATAGGCTCATCACCTGTCCTGGCGTCCGCCCCACGTCCTCCTGCTTCGGCCATCGACCTCCTCTGAGCCTCGGCAAGATCGCGCGCCTCCTGCTCTTCCGGATTCGCTGGCGTTCCGTCCGCGTTTCGGCGACGACGCCTCCTTCTTCGCGGCAGCGTGATGAACTTGGGCATCGCTCGCTTCTCCAGATCCATCGACACGTTCGTAGCCGCCTGCAGCGCTTCGATCCAGTCCACCACGTGTCGATCGCTGCGCGTCTGCAGCAAGAACTGCTCGCCTTCAGCACGTACGCGTACCACGTGGCGCCGCTTCAAGTAGTCGGCAGCAAGTCCACTCTCGGCAGACTGAAGCGAATAGTTGCGGATCAGGCCGTTCTTGGTGTCAAACTGCGTCGCAGACTCTTTGTTCTTGGACGCCTCGTGTCGGTGGGCGCCGAGCGCCGTATGTGAGATCGCCTCGCGTGCAGCAGCACCAAGATTTATGCCGCCAGAGCCAGTACCGTTGGAGCCGTCCTCGTTCATGGGCTCGAGGTGGACGTGCACGCCCTTCATCTCGCCCCACGAACCATTGGCTGCATGGCGGTCAACGCTGAGGTCATTCTTGTAGACACGCAAGCTAGTGCCGTGCAGAACGAAGTACTGCCGCCTCCAGCTCCGATCCTTGGCTTGCACACCAGGAGCTGAGAACTCCATCTTCCGCGGCAGGTAGCCTTCGATGTGAACGCCGCAGTAGTACGTCGGCAGCTTTTCGCGTCCTTCTTCCTCCCGTGGCAGGATGAGCTGTGGGCCCTCGGGCCGGTGGTGGATGATGGAATACTCTGGCGGCTCCGCGCGCATCTCAAACATGGACCTTCGGCGTCCCAGACTCATCCCGCCGGGCGAAGCGATCGACGCGGGTGCAGCAGGACCAATGCTGATCGGCGCAAGGCTATCCTTCTTGCTGTAGGCTGGCGCTTCCGAGGGCGGGCGTGGCGTTGTAGGCGTGCGCAGCGCTTCGCGGGTCAGCGGCTCATTGATGATCGGACGCATTGGCGACGGAGTCTCGATCTCGAGTCGCCTGGATGCCGGGCCTAGCAAATCCACTAGCGATTTCGACTTTTGCTGATAAAAGTTGGGTCGCGCCGCCGAAGGCAGAGTGCCATCTAGGCCAACGAGCGGCTTGCTCGCTGCCATTGGGCTTGCTGTCGACCTTGAGTCCTGTCCCTGACTCTGGCGCGAGGCAGGTCGCTCTGAGGCAGGTCGATCGATACTCGGCTCTCGACTAATGATACGTTCCCCATTTGGAGCCTGGAGCGGCGTCAAGGTGCCAGACGTGCTGGGTCGACTGCTCCCTGGCGCTCGTCCAGGCGATCTGCTGCGATCAAGAGCGAGGTTTGATGTGCCAGAAGCCGTCGAGATCTGTCGACGCAGTGCCAGCGGAGGCAGAGCACCCACAGGGGGAGGCATGGATCGATTTGGAACGGGCCCAGAGCTGACGGAAGAAGCACCTGGCGTGCGTAGCCCGCGCATGCTGGCGGACGAGGGAGCACGAGATCGGCTGATGATAGAGGGCGACGGAGGTGGCGCGTCTCCGCTCATGGTGCCCGCGGTCGTGGCACGGTTGCTGTTGCTCGTGCTAGGACGAGCAGTGAAGTAGGAAGAATCGGAGACCTCCTGTCGGGCCCTTGGTGTTGGCGCTGCAAATCCAGACGAGAAGAAGCTGGCTCCCCCCACGGTTGGCGTGGGTGTTTCGAACGGAGTGAAACCGCTCGCACTGAAGCTGGTCCAAGCATCGCGACCCACATTCTGATCGAACTGGTCATTGCTGGTCTCCACTTCATGGCTCGTCGAGGTACTGGTCTCGGAGCTTTGCGGTGCCAGCGAACTGTCGGTGGCAGGGATGAAGGTGGGGGCTGGCGGCAAGACGAGCGACTCTGTCGGACGATTGCGGTTGAGGCCACCAGAGCTGCCTGTCGATGCCATGGGAGCGGTGGACACACGTCGACTTGCGATCGGTGAGTTTTCGTAGTCTGTCTCGTCTTCCGTCTCAGCCTCGTCGAGATCGTGATAGTCGGAAGTGTTCCCAGTGATATCGCCTTCATCCTCGTCTTCGCTGATCTCCTGCTCTTCATCGCTCGCCTCGCCTGTGGCAGTGCTGTCGGTCGTGCTCTCGGATCGGTCGCGTGAGGCGGATGTGCTGCTTGTTCCGTCTCTTTGGCTGGTTGAAGCACCTGGAATCGCACGCATCGAGTCCAGTCGTGGCAAGTGCGACAAGGCATTTCTTGAGCGGCTGGATCTTGGGCGCGAAGCACCACCACTTGTGCTTGTAGAGGCGTTTGGGGAGGTTGCGGCAGGTCCATCGTTCCCAAGCGTGGCGGCGACGGTATCGCTTGCCTCGGCAGCATCTTGCTCTTGATCGATTCCCTGAGAGGGACGACGCTCCGCGAGAACACCCGACGTTACGTCGGCAACAGCTTTGGGTGGCGCGGCCGAGTCGCTGACGGCTGAGAAGCCGGGATACGGAGGGACAGAGGTTGCCAATGGATCGACATCGTGAGAGGCGACGTCGGTCTGTTTGTGTCCGCGGGAGGCCACTGGAGCGTTCCAATTGACGGTCGAGGCCATGCCAGGATATGCCACGCTACCTGCGAATGTTCCTGCCTGCGTATCAAAGATGCCGTTTTGGAACGTGGGTCGTTCAGCCTCGCGACCAGCAGTCTGCTCCGTATGACTTGTTTCTTGCCGCTGCTGCTGCTGCTGTTGATCCCCCTTGCTGCTACGGCTCCATGGTTTGTTCATGAAGGCACGTGCAAACGAGCTTCTTCGCTCGCCATTGACATTGTCGGCGTTGGAACTGGTGCTGTTGGCGCTGGACCGGCGCAGGAAATTCAGGCTTGGACGACGAGCGGAATTGAGCGAGGGCGACACTGGTTTGTCGGCTCTGATCTGGGATGTAGATATTGGTGGCAGCGCCCTATTGTTGGAGCCGTGGGCGCCTGTGCTGGTAGAGACCGCTGTATCGGAAGTATCTTCCGAGTCCAAATCGATGAGGCTGGCGCGAGGAAGGTGCAAGCTCTTGCGCGGACGAGTGGCCTCTTCACGGGCCAGCGCGAGACTGTTGCGGCCTGGCGCTTGTCCAGGACCCATGCCGAGCACATCGGTCGAGGCCGAGGCCCACGGCTGCATCGAGTTGCGCAAGTCTTGACCGTGCTCGGGTGAGGTCTGCTGGTCGGCGGCGCGGCCCATTTTGCCGAAGCTTGCAAACCGCGAACGGGGCTTGACCTCTGGCGAGGAGGACAACGACAAAGCGTCTGCGGCGCTTCCTCTACGGCTGCTGCCCGGAAGACTAATGCGCGAGAAAAACTTGGAGGAGGAGCCGGGGCTTGCCGATGAAGCATGACGACTCGAGTCTTGATTGGAGGCGCCGGAAGGCTGGCCGTTGCCAATGCCTGCAAACGAGGCTCTAGGCGGTTTGGACGACATCTTCGTGGCTGTTGATGAGCCACCAAGGAAAGAAAGCCTTCGAAGGTCGAATGAGACTCGTCCGCTACTCGAAGTCCGTGCCGCCGGTTCGTTCGCTACCTGGCGGTCTGGTGAGGTAAACGCGTCGGCACCCGACGAGCGCGAAGGAAGCGGGCTGAGCAGTGAAAGAGACGGCTCGATGCTGCTTCCCCGGCGGCCAGTAGTCTCCGAGACGCTTCCGTGAGTGGACGATCCGGGAGGAGAAGGGAGATTTGATCTGGCTTGTCGGAGTGCGGCAGCGTCGTGGGTGAGTGCGAGTGCCGGTGTGCTGCTGAGGGGGGAAGATCCTCTAGATGGACAGGCGCCTAAGGAGCTGGGGGGCGTGACGGGGGGTGCGGTGTTGTCGTGAGCTTCGGCGGCACTAAGAGCATGCGCACCGTGAGCTGATGCGTCTGCAAGAGCGACGGGCGAGGGTCCGTGCTGCGTGATCGCAGGTCTGTTCTCTTTCAGGGGTTCGTAGGTTTGCCCGTAGGCATGCTGCGAGCGCAGCGGTGCTGATGATACGTCGTTGAGATCTGTCGAGGCACGAGTCGCGCTAAGAGCCGTAACGGTGCTCGGCGAAGGAAGATCCGAGTCGGCGTCGAGCGGGTCGACCTTGACGGTGCTGTGAGCACGTGTGGTCGCGGACGTGGTTGAGGGCGAAGCGCTGGGATTGGTATTCAACGACAAAGCAGGAGGAAGAGTGCTGGTGGTGGAAAAGGACGATGTCGACGAAAGAGGCGGAGCCACACCGATGCGTCCACCGACGTCGTGGTGTTGGCAGAGGGAAAAGGTGTCGAAGGAGCGAGGTGGAGAAAAGCTACAGGCGGCGGCGTTTGGTGCAGCAGTGACGGCCGAAGAGGCCGATCTCGACGATATCGATTGCGCAGTCGAGCGAGCCGGCACGCTGCCGATGGCTGCGTCAGCAAATTCTTGCTTCAGCTGCTGCCCTTGTCGGCGCTGCCCTTCGCTCCGCCCACAAGAAGACGACGTCGGGAAGGTGTCAGGCTGAGGCTGGGACAGAGAATGATGCTGGGGCTGGGGATGGAAAGGGTGGGAGAGGGAATCAATGGACGGGAAATCCGACACAGGCTCAGCGGGCTGTGATGCAACAGAAGAAAGCGTGGACGCGGCAGAGGCGAGGTCAGGGCTGGGTGAAGCATAGAGCGGGGAGAAGGACGCCAGCTGCTGTTTCTGATGCTGCTGCTGCTGCTGCTCAAGGACTAATAATGCATCTTTCGTCGCAGTGGAAGAAGCGGCGCTGTCAGTCGCAGCCGACACAGCCAAGCGGGAAAGTGGTCGCGAGACTTGGGCTGCCCCTGCGTCTGGCTCTTGCCCTAGCCCGGTTGCACCTGCTGATGCTGACGGCCAGATCGCTGACTCCGTGTCAGCAGGGAAAGCGTCCTGAGAGTCGTGCCGCGTCTGCTGTTTCTCCTCTTCTGGAAGCTGCTTCGATTTGGAGAAATTCGAAAACAGCGGGGCAGCCGAGTCGCCCCTTGGCAAATCAGCGCGGCAATCAGACAAACAGTAGCTCGCTTGTATCGGATTTGCTTTGCCGATCGGACGACCAATTCCATGCTCGGTTGCAGCATTTTTGGTCCATGCGATCTCGCTCCGCTCACTATTTGCCCGGGCGCTTTCAGCAGCTGCTTCTGCTGATGACGATGATACCGATGCCGCTGTCGCTGCCGCTGCCGCCGTTGATGTTTCCTTTGGAAGACTTGTTTCGGCCACTTGCTTGTCGGCTTCCTTGGCGCTGGCGTCGGCTGGAGCTTCGGGGTAATGACCGCCTAGGGCCGCAGCACAAGTCGACTGGATATGTCCGGCAGGTGCAGCAACAGCAGAAGAAGCAACCAGAGCAGATTTCGTCGAAAACCCTTGCTCGCCTCCACTTGCAAACACAGGGTCTTGCCGGTCATGCAAAATGAGCGGTTCGTTGCTTTTTCCGATAGCATCGCTGCGACGGTCGTTGCAGCGCTGATCGGCGGTCGCAAGACTGTGCAACGCTGGTGTGTCATTGCCTGCTGGCTTGTCGGTCCCAAGCAACGCCCTGACATCGTTTCGCTGCACTACACTGGCATCCTGAGCGCTGTCGAGCTCGCCGACCACTGTCGCACTTTTTGCGTGGTCGGAAGGTCCGGTGATGGCGATAGGAGCCGCGTCTGGCTGATGCTCGGAGATGCCGCTTGACAGGTCCAAGAAGGATTGTGATGATTGAAAGGCGGGATACGCTGTGGCGCTAGACTGCCCCGAGCTGCGTCGCCGACGCGCCCCTTGGAGCTTTGGCGGTGTCGCTGGCTGGTGACGTGGGCCTGGACTGGCAGAGATCGACGTGCTGCCGCTTGCGGCGGCAGAAGTTGAGAAAGCAGACATGGCTCTGAAGCTGAAGTAGGACGATGGTCGACTGCTTTGCATTGATGGCCTCGCAGATTTCGACGACGCAGCGAGGCTGGTGCTGGAAGTGATGCTACCCTCGCTGCGTCTTCTCCTCTCGAGCTGCACGTCTTGTTCGTAGCTCGGCGGCGTCTCTATGCTGCTGGAGCTGTTCACGTTGGCGAAGAAACGGTGTGTCTGCGAGAGATTTGGCGTAGCGTTTCCTGAAAAGGCTTCGGCGGCTGCTCCGGTGAGGTCGTTGGTGCTTTGCTTGGTGAGCTGAGTGACGCTGCGGAGCACCTGGCTCCTCTCACGCGTGCCCATGGCCGAGTTGTAGATGGAGCCGAGCCCTTCGCTTCCCCCTACTTGTCGACCCCAGTCATCGTTCGAGCCGTGTGAGACCGACTTTCCCCTAGGTCGTAGCAGCGCGTTGGTGAGGAATGTCGAGGTCCTGGAGCGGTTCGACTTGCGTGGCTGCGCGGCTGGACGGACTAAGGGCCCTGCTCCTGTCGCTGTTGTGGCAGGGACAGCATCACCGCTAACTGCTGCCGCGGGAGACTCGAACTCGGCTTTGGACGACATTGTGTCGAGATCGCGCCCTACGTACTGATTCCCCAAAGTGCTTGCGTGTCAAGTCGTCCTGACGCGCCTGTGCAGGAAGCTGACCGAGAGAGTCAGAGCCCCGAAGCGCTGATCGGTGCTGTCGTTCGTCGCTCTAAATAGCGCGCCGCTTCGAGATCGTGTGACTGTATGCAGATGATTGAGCTTCCTACGCTGGTGCGGGGCTGCGTTGTCTCGAATCGCCCAGCTGAGATCACGGAAGGACGGCGATGGCGGTGGTGTGGATGAGTGCCGCTGGAGGATCAGAGACCGACAAAAGGGACGAAACACAAAAGTCACGAGGTGCGTTGGCTACGACGGCTGCGCGTGGCCGAGTGTGGATCACCACTTTCTTCCCGATGACGCTCTGCAGCAGGGTCCAGTGAGCTCGCCGGGTCTGGGGCAAGATGGAAAAAGATTCTGAAAATCACACGACCACACCAGCAAGCACAAAGTGGGCGCTTCGACCCTGTCGCATTGACGTGGCGTCGTCACAATCGCAAGATACTGGCTAAGCCTGTAGAATGCTCCACGCTTCAGCATTGTATCTTTCCTTCCACGCAATAGCAGGGGTGAGGAACGAGGCCAAAAAAAAAGATCTATCACCATGCGAGGAGAAAGCGGAGTTGGACCTTGACATTAAACGAGAAATGGTCTGGCCGCTGTACTGTACGCGTTGATTCCCCTGAATTCACAACTGGCTCGGCTAACTTGGTGAGTGCTTCTGCGGCTCAACGACACTTTCCACATGCCCACAGGCATCACCACAACACCGCAATACGTTTACTCTAGAAGGGATGGCCTCACAGACAGAAGTCGAAATTATCTCGAGGCGCAAATTCGCAAGGAATTGCATAACCGATCCGTTTGCTAAGTGAGAAGACTAGCTGACGGAAGCAACCTGTCGGCTGATCGTCCTCAGATCGGACTTGAGCAACGATCCACAAAAGCCGTGCTTCGAGATTGGAGGGGTCGATCTTTTCGTCCCACACTTTACGTCGGAGCCACGCCGAAGCTCAATTTCTCCTTCCCTTCCCTGCGTGGTGAACTGCGATCGGGACAACATCGCCAGGCGAGATTCTCCGCTTCGCCTGAGGTAGATCGCAAGCCGACTACATGCGTTGGCCCTCGGTGTGCTTGGCTGTCGATGCCCAATGCGAGCCACGCACAAATGATGAGCGCACAGTATGTCAGCACGACTCTCAAAGTTTTTCCTTTCAGATTGACGAGTTTCGGAGCTGTCCGCACGACGATGCCGAGAAGCACTGTTTGTGTGTCGTTTCCGAACATGCACCTCTGCAGCCGACGGTACGGATGCAGGGCTGCGTCATAGCGTCGAAGCAACTCTTTTAATTGTCGCCGTGGTGAAATTCTGTTGCATGGACGGCGGGATATGCACAATCTCACATTACAACGTGAAAATCGTGCTGACAGTTTCAGGGTCCAATGGAAAGCGCACGTCCTTAGCGAACTTAGCTTCTTCCGATCCCCTTCCCCTTGACCATCCCGCAATCGTCGTCTCGAACGCTCCGCACTCTGGCCGGGGAGATCGACGATGATACGGATCCTTCTACCGATATACGCAGCCCAGCTACGGGAGACGCTCAGACCCACACTCCTCGCTCTCATCTGGCTGACCTTCCTCATCCTCGCGAAGAGACTCTCTCTAGGAGATCACCCGCCAACATGGCCGACACGGGCACGATCTCTGCTCGATGTCAACCATTCTTCCGCCCTCGATCGCTCTCACGCAGGGTCGGACTTGACCTCGCTATGGAAGGATCTCGAATGGGCATCGTATCGCATCCTCGGCTCGCTGTCGACGGTGACCGGATTGTTGTTGGCGTTCAGGTCGAACAGCGCGATCGAAAGGTGGAGCACGGCAAGGAGGAAGTGGTCGGACGTTCAGGCGACATCGAGGTCCCTTTCAAGGCTGCTGAGCGCGTCGCTGTACGGAGCAGTCAGTGAGTATACACTGGCGAGGAATGCTTCTAGAAGGACGACGAGGGAAGACGTCGATCGGATGAACAGGAGGGACGAGGAGAGGCAGAAGGTGGAAGGTTCACTGGCTGCAGTGGTGTTCTTCAGCATCAGCTTGATGTGCGAGATGCGGGGTCGCACGCTGCGTCTTCCGTCGCAAATCGCATACAGAGAGGCAGGACGATACGAGTCGCACGACTTGTTGTATGGTGATCTCCTCGATACCCTGCCACAACCGCTCAAAGATCTTGCCCAACGACACCGCGACAACCACGACGAAGCGGAAGAAGAAGACACAGCCAGTGTTGCGGAAAAGCGCAAGCAGCTCGATAATCTCAATCCTCCGCCCGAAGTGCAGCCGGCCATCTCGCACCCCCCACAATCTTCAGTTGTCACCAACCTAGCGCTGTCCTCCCTGGTCCTGATCCAGCGATCCCTCGACGCGCTCCATTCTTCCCATACACTTGCATCTCCAGTCTACGCCCACTGCATCGGCCTGCTCAACAGTCTCTCGTCCCACATGACCGAGCTCGAGCGCATCCGCGACACACCCATCCCGCTTTCCGTGTCGCGTCACTTTTCTCGTCTGCTTGTCATCCACACCGTCTTGCTGCCGGTGGTGGTGGTGCAGAGGTTGGACGGGCAACGTTGGTGGTTGTGTGCGTTGATAGTGGGCGTGGTGACGAGCATGCTGTACGGAGTCGATAGCTTCGCAACCAGGCTGGGCCAGCCGATGGGGTTGGACAGGGAGGATCTGCCGTTGGAGAGGTATGTGAAGCAGGTGCAGGACGAATGGATTCAGATGAGGAGTGTCGGTCTTGCTGCAGATTGAACGCTGTCACCCAGACAGGTCTTGTAAGGGGTTTTTTTGCATTTCATCAAGCGGTCAAGAGATGTCATGATGTGTGTGTGATCGGTTGAGGGAAGATGTTGAGCGACCACTGCCGAACGGTACGATGATTCTCCGGCCTCTCACCTTGTTCCAAGTCCTCGCCTTCAGGTTCCGCATCGAAGTTCACTGTGACATCGATCAACGGTCCCTCCCAACCCTCCTCTCTCCGCTTCGGCGCACAATGCAACAGCGCTGCCAAGTAGATCCTGTGTTCAGGACGCATCGCCCCCGCCCACCTTCCCTCCAGCACATCCTTAGTCTCGACCCAGATCGGTTCCACCTCGTCCGAACCTTGAACTCGATCCGCTTGCTCCGCATCCAGCTCTACTGTGAACAATGCGATCCTCACCTTCTCTCCACGATCCACATCGATGCTGACGTTCCCAGCGAAACGAACGTTGTCGGAAGAAAGCGTAAGGACGATCTCTTCCCGAGTTTCGCGCAAGATGCACTGAAGCGCCGTTTCCTCGGAAAAGAGCTTCCCACCGATACCGTTGTGCGTGTCGCGTGCGAAACCTCGAAGTTTTCGAGCTAGGAGGATGCGCGTAGAGTGGGTTGCGAAGAGCAGCGTGTGCGTGTATCCCAGGTCATGCTCGCGAGGAGCATGTGGTGTGGAGATCGTGCTCGAAGGAAGAAAGGTCGAACGAGAGAGGGCACCCGTGTACCAGTCGTACGTCGGAGGTGGTCGACATCCGACGTATCGTTCGATGCCAGGTGAGCTCATCATCTTAAGTTGACGCCCGTCTTAAGTCGGCCCGCTCTCGTTGACTATGTCGCAGAAAGCAAAGCGAAAGTGATCAAGCAGGCGAGAAGCGCAAGATGTTGTTCAAAGGAAAGGAACAAATCGTCTGTGCGCGATCAAGGGTCTCGGGTTTTCAGCTCTCTACAGCCCCGACATCACGCGGCTCCTCAAGTGCTTCATCGCCATCAGGTTCAGCAACATCACATCAGGATCCGCAATACGCAGAACACGCGGTGTCGTAGAGTGGCGAGTCTTCTAATACATTAACGTCTATCTCTAAACAAACTTCCTCTAGTCAATCTAATCAAACACATCCTTCTTACAAGTTGGCCTTGGGCTCGCCGTCCTCGATCGAGCCTGCACCAGTCTTCCTGAGCACAGCCTCGGCGATCTTGGCCAGCTCTTCTCCCTCTTCACTGGGATCCTTTGCGAGCTCCTCAAACGACTTGACAGGGACCGCAGCTTTCGACGGGTTGAGCTGGGCCTTGAAAGCCGTTGCGTCTGTCACGTCTTGAGGCTTGATTGCGCTTTCCACTTTGATGGACGCAGGTGCCGCCTTGACAGCAGAAGCGTCCTCGAAGGGGAACTGCGAAGCTAGGCTGTCCACCAACTGCAGCATCTGCTTGACCCCGTCAGCCGGCATTGGTGTAGGAGCCTGAGCCAGGGCTTGCGATGCCATGTCCTTGACTGTTTCGATAGCTGGCTGCTGTGTTCGCAGTGCGTCGAATGCCTCCTTGGGGACAGGAAGGCCTTGTGCGTTGACAGCTTGCTCGAGCGCATCAACCGCCTTTGCGGAAAAGCGAAGTGCGGGTGAAGCGGTCGAATTGAGGTGCACGGAGAGCTTGCTCCTCGTAGGACTGCTCGGGTGGATGTACTTCATGAACAAATCGACCACCTGCTCCTTTGTCGTCTTGGCAATCGCCTCGACGTCTGCGTACCGAGCCAAAAAGTCGTAAGTGCCGCCGAATACGGGCGACCAGAATCGCGTGGATTCCTCCACCAGATTCTTGACGTTCTCCATCTTCTTGTGGATGATGCTGCGTTTGCGTCCTGCGAATTCTTCTTCGGTCATCTTCTCCAGTGTCTGTTTGAACTGGTCGAGGAAAGCGTCGACGCGGCCCTCGAGGTACGGTGCATCACGCTCGCTTTGGACGATGACGCGCCAGCCGAGGCTGCCAGTGCTGCGTCGCACACCGCTGAACACAAGGTAGCCGAGCTGTTCCTTGGTACGTAGCTGATCGAACACGGGCTCATTGGCAATCTGAGAGAAGAGCGAGAGGGTCGCACGCAGCGAGACGTCGGTAGGCTCGCCGATCTGGACGTAGTACTCGATGGCACTGTTGACGTTCGCAGCGTTGGTGACGGGCAGGTTCCAGATCTTGTTGCTCTTCTCGGGCAGCTGCAGCGATCGGCTAGAGATCAGTTCTGTTTTGTTGACGGGTCGCGACTTGACGGTGTCCCACGCCATGTTCGACAGCTCGATAGCCTCTTCCTTGGCCATGTTGCCGTGAGCTAGGACTTCGAGGTGCATGCGCTGCAGCAGGTCCGGCAAGAATTGCTGTACGTCGGCAACACTGAGCTGCTCGAGCTCGCGCAGCTTCTCCTGTGGCGTCCACATCTTTTCTTGGAGTAAGTACGTCGTGTAGTATGTGGCATGCCGGTAAGGCTCCTCGATGGCAAAGTTCTGGTAAGATCGCTTGACACGATCTTTGACCAGCTCAAAACGACGAGGGTCGACTTGGAACTTGGCCACGTTCTCAAGGATGCTGCGGGCCAGCACAGGAATCTTGTCGTTGTATCCGCTCAGCGAAAGAACAAGCGACTGATCCTGCGACTCGAGCATGTAGCTCAGCCCGGCGAGCGAAGCGTCGTACGAATACTCGACGAGCGAATCCGAGATGAGCTCGATGAGCATGCGCGTCTTGATCGAGGTCAGAGGTGTGGCATTGATGAGCGGGTTGCGGAAAACGAAGAAAATGTTTGCCTTGGGTAGACCGAATCGATCGTCGAGCTTGTGCCAAATGCGCATGCTCTCGTTGTCGAGCACGAGCTGAGGTCGTGGGGTGGGCTTCTTACCCTTGGCTTCAGCAAGTGGGCCCTTGAAATCAAAGTTAGCAGGAATGAACGAGTTCGGGCGGGGCAGATGCAAATCCTCGAACTCGGTCGGCGTCTGCGTCAAGAGCTGCTGTGGCAAAGGTTTGATCGAGTATTCGGTGCCGTACCACTTTTCCTTGCTCTCCCACGTCGTGCTGCCGTCTGGCAACGTCTTGGCCATGACGACGACTCGGCAATTCTGAGGCCTCAGCTGATCCAGAGTCTGCTTGATCAGATCGCGGTCAAAATCGCGCGTGAGCCAGGCTCCGGACAGAATCCACTCGCGGGGATAAGGCATCTGCATCTGTTCAGCCGTGCTGGAGGCGTAGTTAGCGGGATCGATCTTTTCCTTGAAGCGGAACATGAGCTCGCTGAGCTGCGCGACCTCGTCGTGGGTCCACTGCTCCAGGTTGCTCGTGCGAAGGAGGTGGATGTACTTGAAGATGGACTCGACCACCTTTTCGTGGTTCAGCAGGCCTTCCTGAGTGAGGTCGATGGAGATCTTGAAGAACTCGAAGCCATTTGCGTCACCCGAGGCGCCAGCAGATAGACGATCGCACCAACCCTTCTTCTTGAGGTGCGAGAGGATGGATCCTTCGCCCTCGTGACCGATAAAGTGCGACAAAAAGTGACCGGGCTTTGAGCGAAAGTGAGGACCTTGGTCCGGGATGGGGAAGGCGATCTTGAGCTTGCGGACGTCGCGTACCGACTTGGCAAAGATCTGCTTCTGCAGCTGCTGTGCGGTGAGAGGACTTCGGTCGAACTGAGGCGGCTCACGACCGGTGTTGCGGACGCCAGAGAACTTTTCGATGACCCAGCCTGTAAGCTGGTCGAGATCCTCTCTGCCGAGCACCACGAGCTTCATCACGTTGGCAGAGTAGTATTGGTCGTGGAACTTGAGCAGCTCATCGCGTGGGTCCAGACCCTTGCTCTTGGGATCCTCCCACAAAGTCTGGTAGTTACCAGTGCCAAAGTGCGAGTAGGGATGCGAAGGATCGGAGAGCGACTTGTCGAGCTGGAAACCACGCCACATGTCGCTTTGCAAGTTCTTCTTGTGCTCGCTGTCGACAGCCTTGACCTCGCGTTCGGAGCAGGAAGGGTCGAAGAGAGGTTCGAGGAAGAACTGAGCGAAGCGGTCCAAAGCGCCTTCAAAGTGATCCGGAGAGACGTCGAAGAAGTAGTTGGTGTTGTCCATGCCAGTGTATGCGTTGGAGCCTCCCGAGTGGTTGGAAAGGTATTCCGAGTACTCGTTCTCGCGCGGGTACTTCTTTGTGCCCATGAAGAGGAGATGCTCGCAGAAGTGAGCGAGACCCTGAAGCTCCTCTGGGTCGCTAAGGTGGCCAACGCGGATGTCCATAGCAGCGCTCGACTTGTCGGTCTTTGGATCGTGGATAACGAGCGCTTCTAGACCATTTGCAAGGCGGACGAGACGGTACCGCAAGTCATCTTGAGCGGAAATCTCGAGATCCTTGGTGAACACAGCATACTGCGCAGCAGCCTTGGAGCCATTGAGCGTGTCACGAATTTCGAAACCGGCTGGAAGACCCTCAAAGGGACCGGTGCCGAGAGTGAGGGCCGCTGAGGCTGGTGTGGCGAGCTGGCGAGACGAGCCGGGTACGCTCAAGGACGATGCTACCATGCTGCGATTGAGAGATGTGCGGGGTCGAGATGACAGAATCGAAGAGTGGTGACGAGCGGCAGCTGAACTTGGTGAAGCGCGAAGTTGAGGTGAGGCAGTGATGCCAGCCGTGAGGGTAGCCGGCTTCGTGTAGGACAAGCTCCGCAGTGGTGAGCGGACGAGAGCGCGACGAAAAGGCAGCATACAAGAAGTGGCTAGGACGTCTATTTGCTGAGTCCCTCGCGGTTGAGTGGAGGACAGCAGACGAGACGACGCGGGGATGTTGGTGGGGAGGACGAACAGGAACCAGAGGAGAAGCACGGCACACAACCGGAGTGAGTTTTGGAAAGCGAGCGTGCTAGCGTGTACGCGGCCTGTCGAAAGCCGAGATGAAAGGGTCTGTCGAGATGAGTGTGTATGTGATTGAGAGTGACGATGCGGAACGGTGCAGGACGAAACAAAGGGAAGAGTACCCGTCCAGTTTCATGAGTGCATCACGCCACGCCAAGCTCAGCTGAGCCAACTTTCTGTGTGTGGCAGGCAAAGCAGGCAGCCAGCGAAAGCCGAAGCCCGGGTCTTAAGTTTATTGCCTTAATTCCATCTATATGACGATCTGACACCCGATTTAATCAGAAAGCAGCCGATCGCGTTGCGAGCTCGTCCCTGACACCATCCGACGGATCATAGAAGTCGCCATGATTCTACTCGCACACAATGAAAGGATACACTTTGAACAATTAGACGTTCGATGCTATTCCAGAGAGTGATGTACATGATCCAACGAAGCGGAAGACAGGAGCAGTGAGACAAGTCGTGCTATCTTCTTAGACCGAGTTGTCAGCACAAGTGAAGGGGGCCTTGATGCTGCCGGTATTGTAGTTGTCGATGATCGACTGAACCGAGGCGTACAAACCGGGGCCCAGCACCATCAGACCCGTTGCAATCAAGACGAACTGGAACGCCGTCTCGGTACGTCTGATCCAAGACTGACCGCGCCAGAGCTGACCCCGGTGAAGTTCGAAGAAGGCGAAGGCCCAGAAGATGTACCCAAAGTAGCAGTCGAAGAGGGCACTCATAAGGGAAAGAAGGGTAGAAAAAAAGGGAACGGCCTCGCCAATGACCCAGCCGAGGATCCAGGTGACGGTAACGCATCCGATCCATCCGGCCCAACCGAGGACGGTGTGGTTGTTGTAATGCTGCGAAGAGAGATCGATTTTGAGATGGGAGTGGAAGGGCAGTCAGCATCCATGCTTCTCTTGATCTGACTCGCCTGGGAAGCTCTCTGAGACTTACCTTAGTGCCCATGAAGATGCGTCCAAAGAGATACTTGGCGACCACGGAGGCATAGAGGACACCGATGATAATGGTGGTGGGGAGCACGAAGGCGAAGGCAATCTTCTTGAAGACGGGTCGCAGCGTTCCGACAGCAGGAGCGGTGGTGTACTGTCCCGTGTATCGGTAGACGACGATGCCCGTGACGCTGAACAGGATGAATTCGGCCACGGTGACGGCGTAGAGGGCCTTGGGGAACTCGCGAGGATCCTTCATCTCGGCGATGAAGGTCGGGTACATGATGTGGCCCTGTGTGACAAATTGGAGACAAAGCAAAAAGGGCATTAGCGATTAGAATCTTTGTACAGCCCATTATGACTGTTCGAGTGGAGAGGGTTTCATCGAGCGAACCTGTACTTACGATCCAAGTGAACACAATGTTCAAGAAGGCACTGAAACCGTTGACGAAGCCAGTGCCCTTCGGAGCAAAGGCAGTGATGTAGACGGGCTCTGCGAAGTCCTCCACGGCTGGATGGGTGCCTTGAATACCGGAAAAGATGAGTACAAGGAGGATCGAGATAAACATCGAGATGGCCGAAACAACACCCAGACCTGTGAGTTGCTCCAGCTTTCGAGGCAGCGTAAGGAGGATCGAAACGACCATGATGATCACGGAGAACACCACCGAACAGGTTCCGTGGTTGGAGAGCGTGTTCAGGATCTCAGAGCCCGTCAGCGTATGCAGACCCATGATGAACACATTGTTGAGGATGAGAGCGATTGCTGTGAGCTCGTAGGCGATCTTGCTCTTGCCAAAGATCTGATAGCCAATGTCGCAAATGTTGAGGAGTTGTGGGTGTTTCAGACAGTACCTCCAAAGGATCAGTGACGTGTAGAGAGCGCCCATGCCAACACCGAAAGTGGCGAGAAGGCCTCCGGCCATACCGAGATAGCTGAAGGCCCAAGGGAACGACAGGATAGCAAGGCAGACGTATTCGGTGAACAGCAGGATAGCAGCCTTCTGCCAAGAGAGAGTCCGATAGACGATCGTACCTCCTTCTTGGGCTTGCTTGACACGGACAGCGGCGAGAGCATCTTCGGAGTCGGCCGTGCTGCTGACCTCGACGATATCGTCGGTAGCATCTCCATTCTTGGCCTTGTCGGCCTTGAATGAGCGTTCCAGATCTTCGGAGGAGCCAGCCTGCGAGTGAGGCGTCCTCTTTTCATTCGGTTCTTGTGCGAGAGTGGCCATCTTGCTGTGAATTAGACCCGCAGAGGGTTGAAAAAAGGGATGAAGAAATGGAGTCGGAGGCCGTTTCTACAGTGGCCTGGGTGGTTGAGGTAGAAAGGTAGGACGGAAGAAGAAATGAGCAGACAAGTTAGCTTCGAGCTTTGAGGGTGTACGCAGGATCGACCTGTCAGGAACATATGCACGTACAGGCACAGCAATTCGAAGCTAGCGAGCTCACTACCTGCGGTGGCAACACCCGTGACCGAACGCACATGGGAGGCTGGCGGAGGACCCGTTTAGACTCACTCACTTGCTGCATCGCAGAGCATGGCAACCGGGATTTCACTGCGAAATGAGCACATGCTGTTCAATGAAGAGGCGTCTGAGACGCAGGTCGCTTAGCGGACTCGCAAATTTTCCGTAGCCTGTGACGAGAGAGCCGCAACTGACCGCTGTGTCGATGACGGGCTGCAGCCTGTCAGTCTCCGATTGCGGTGTTTCTTTCTGGTCTCTAACGGCGGAATTTCCCAAGCGGCGGCGGTCCACTATAGGGCGGTTCTTGAACGGCGAAGTGCGGCTTCTTGAAGTCGGCGCTTGAGCAGTGTAGAAGCTACCCTTTGCTACGATTTTCCGCTTGCAGCGCGCGTGTTCTTATTTTTCCGTGGACTGTCGGAAAGCTCGTCATCCCGCAATCAAGACTGCAGTGCAGACAATGCACGTAGCACGACATTTCGCTTCATTCTTGTCCAAGCGCATTCGATCCTGTCCAAGGCAAACAAAGCTGTGTTGACTGTCATGGCAGCCTGCGTACTCTTCCTCGCTAGAACGACATAAGCTTGAGTGAGATACTGTTCCTGCTCTACACAATAGAGTATGCCGACTGCATTCAACTAGTCCGTCAAAAAGCGCATGACAACCGAACGCCGCTACGAATTGGGGCTGGGTGCTGCGTTGCTCTGCTCAGTCGCCAAATGGGTCAATCTCACCCACCTGCTGTTCAACAGGGACCCGCTTTCCGTTGGAAGCCGTCTCCGAGTCTCACAGAGGCCACTACCGAGGCGATGCGGGACGGGACGGGACGGGTCACACGACATGTACTCGATCAGATTGCTGATGGAACGGACCGGCCGCTGTCACACTGTTCGTACCATTGAGGACAGCTGCTTCACATCACCTGCCTGAAGCCGAATGTCATCCGACAGGCTAGCCTGGCCACCAACTAAATAATGTGAACATACACGATCTCACAAACTGTAAGCTCACCTCCTCCACCTCGGGTCTCGGGCTTGTTTTTTGAAATGGTTCGACGGCACTTTCGTTACTTCTTCCAAACCCGCCCTTGCGGAAGGGTCCTTCCTCCTCTTGTACGCTGAGCAAGCAATGTCGTGGCCACTACGGAGCGTAACAGCTCCTCCACGTCTCTCTTCCTCAGCACGCTCAGCCTGGCGACATGTATCGACATCGCCAAGCTCATCAGTAGCTTCATCATCGAAGCTGTCCCACGCGGACCCCTCCTCCTCAACTACCAGCTCCCGACCAAAGGTCATCTTCTCCGGCATCCAGCCCACCGGCATCCCGCACCTCGGAAACTACCTTGGCGCACTCCGCAACTGGGTCGACCTCCAGAATGCATCCCTCAGCACCTCGGACGAGCTGTACTTCAGCATCGTCGGCTACCACGCCATCACCATGCCTCAGCAACCCGCACGTCTCCGCACCGAACGATCCGACATGATGGCCACCCTCCTCGCCATCGGGCTCGATCCACACCGCTGCACCATCTTCCATCAAGACCAAGTGCCGGAACACACCGAACTCGCCTGGATCCTCAACTGCATCACCTCGATGGGGAAGCTCAACCGCATGACCACGTGGAAATCCAAACTCGCTACAGCTAAAAATGTCTCCGATACCACCGATGTCGACGATAAAGATCTCAGTCTCGGCTTGTTCGCGTATCCGGTACTTCAAGCGGCAGACATCCTGCTGTACAGAGCGACGCACGTTCCCGTGGGGGAAGATCAGATCCAACATCTAGAGTTGAGTAGAGACCTGGCAGATGCATACAACAGAAGGTTCGAGAAGAGATTCTTCCCGTTGCCGAAGCATATCATAACGCCGACAAAGAGGGTGCTGTCGTTGAGGGATCCGAAGAGCAAGATGTCGAAGAGCGCTCCGGATGCGAACAGCAGGGTGTTGATAACGGATACGCCGAGGGAGGTGGAGAGGAAGGTGAAGAAAGCCGTGACGGATGCGGAGAGGTCGTTGCGGTATGATCCGGTGGAGAGAGCGGGGGTGAGCAACCTGCTTTCGATTTTAGCGGCTCTCAGGCCACCGACACAGGGGAACACGGGAGAGGGAGAGGGAGAAGGAGAAGCCAAGCAGGATGCACAGCTCTGGGCGGATCGACTGAATGCGGAGATCGAGGCTACGGGAGCATCGTCTGGCCAGCTTCTGAAAGCTACATTGACGGAAGCTGTGGTGGAGACATTACGACCAATCCAAGAGGAGCTGGAGAGGTTGCGAAAGGATCCAGGCTACTTGCACCAGATGGAACAACTCGGCAGAGACAAAGCACAGACAGTTGCCAGAAGAACAATGTCCCAAGTCCGCAAGAGTGTCGGTCTTGCGTAGTACACGCTTTCTACTTGTTCAGAACGTTCAAATGTCATCTACAAATACAGCAAATGGGGGTATGCGAGGCCTCCTTCCAGAGGGGCCAAATTGAAACGGTCCATGACATCGTCTAGCCTAAAAGCTCTCAAACTTGGCCTTGATCGCCTCCGCAGCGGTCAATAGATCCTTGAGATCCTTCTCGATCTGTTCCAAATTCACCTTCTTCTCCCTATTCTCCTTGGCCACCTGCGTCTTGTCCTGTTGCAACCTCTGCTTTTCCGCCTCCAACCTTTCTCTTTCCTTCAACTCGAAACGCAATCTCGCGAGCATGAGCTTGTGTTCGTCCGCCAAGTCCTCCTCTTCTTTCTCTCCTGGTGGTGATGCATCCGTGTCCATCTCTTCCCCTCCATCTCGGCTGGCATGGAGCTGATGAAACTCTTGCAGATCCTGCAGCTCGATATCCTGAAAGATGGATTGGAACTCTTGACACACCTTGACCTCGAGCTCGAGCATGCTTTCTTCGTACTTGAGATTCTGCAGTGCCAGCCGCGCTGTGTCGACTTTGGCTCGTTCGTCTGCTACGAGTGCCTTTTGCGTGGAGAGATCGTTGTAGATCTGTCTATTGACCCGTTTGAGTTTGGAAAACAGCGGTGTCGAGGCGGATAGCAGTTGGAGAGCGGACGATGTCGCTTCTGTGGTGGTGAGAGTGGATTCATCGGAGAGTGGCTGCTTGAGATCTGATAGTTGCGAGAGTGATTCGAGTGCTCGTTTGAGCTCCTAAGGATGTCGGAAGGGAGGAAGCGTGGGATGCGGGAAAGAGTTGAGAGGGTCAGTCGTCGGGATCTGAACTGTAGCTCTCAATCTCACAATGCGAGACCTACCTCTTCCGTTGACTGCATGCTTGTGATGATGGCCTCTTACGTCGACGATCGAGACTTGCGCTTGCTGGTCTTGTGCTATACGGTGGAGAAGAAGGTGCGCTAGGGTCAAGGATGCTTGGAAGTCAACTTCCGCTCCGCAGTCTCCGAAAGCCGAGCTTCCAAAAAAAATCAATGCTTTCCGCGTCTCTGGCGATTCAACATTGCTTGGAAAATTGTTCCCCTTGTCAGCTCCATTCACCGTCACTATCTGACACACTATTCACACAGACTCGATCCAAAGATCAACTTGGCTTGCAGCTAGAGCGAAGAAGGTGAAGGTGAACGAGGTCGTACAAATACAATGCTAAGAAACCCCACACAAAGCTGGGCTTGGCATATTCAAGCCTGTGAAACGTTAGGGTTGTCCTTGACAGGACTGAATGACTGGAAGGGATGGTTCATGCCGCGCATGCTGGACACGTACGAAGTTTCGTCCATCGACGCTTTTGACGTGTTGGCAGCTATCGACTGCTCTTCATCGCTAGCCGTCGCACGTTTGATAGTGGACGGTTCATCCACAGGCGATGTGACGACCCCTGCGACGCTGTCGGTGTCTGTCGTCTGGCTTGAAAGCAGCGGTGCCGAGGGAAGAGTCGACTGTGATGACGTGCGCATGCTCAGCTCTTGAATCTCTTCGCTCGTACTCGCCGCCACTGCTCCGGCCGCTTCGATCTCGGCGCGCTCCTGAGCAAGCCTCGCAAACGCCAGTCTGTGGTAGGTATGCATGCTTTGCACAAACTTGCGGCCGACCGGATGCCGACAGAGGCGGAGCAGGAAATCCATCACAGCATCTCTGGCAGCCGCTGAAGGATGGAAGAGGCCCAAGGCCAAGGGAAGCAGCCCTCCCGTGTGTGGTGGCAACAGCGCCAAGACTTCGACGATCTGATCGTGCGTCACGACGCTCTTTGCGATCGTCTCAAAGATCAGATCCGACTCGCCCGCAAGCAACTTCTTGGCTCTGCGCAAACGCCCGATCTGATGCCCGAGATCAAAGGAGCGGATGGCCTGTGTATAACCGCCATACTTTTGCAATTCGATCACGAGCAAATCGTAGGCGATGGTGGATCGGAATCCTTCGATGCGCATCTGGTTCGACAAGATCTCGCGCATCTCTGCTTCGCGGTCGACGTAGACTGGGCCAGAGCCCAACTGCCCGTTGAGGAACGGCTGGCACGTGGGTGCAAGCGATGTACGGCCGTAAAAGTGCTCTTCGTGGCGCGCGACACGCTGAACAAAGAGGAAGACGTACTCTTGGACTCGAGCACGGACGAAGCGCTCGCCGTAATGCGATGCGATGGCGCTTTGAAGCTCCTCGAGGAACAGCGCGTTGCTGGGGTCGAAACGTGAATCAAACTGCGAAGCGTTGTTGCGGTCTCGCGACGTAGGACCGCCGAGGCTGGATGCTTTGTTTGGCAGAGGCGCGTTGGAGACGGCGCCGTTCGAACTGCTTGGGAGCGCCCCGAACTGCGCAAGCTCGGTGTCGACGGTGGCTCTAATGTCCTGGCCGCTCGCGCTAGAGACGCTGCCAAAGGTGTTGGAGGCCGACAGACCAGCGCCATCGCGAGGCATTGTCGATGATCGCAGCAGTGCCTGTGACGGTGCGCTGGCAGGTGGCACGGCAGGAGCAACGTCCTTTGCGACTTGGATTCGGCCTGTTTCTACGTTGAGCAGCAGATCCCAAGCATGCAGATCCTCGAAGCGTGGATTGGTGACACCGGCAATGTAGCCGGGCACCTTTTCGAGATCGTCAAGATTGAGCAGGTTGGTGTAGGGGAAAGCTCGAGCGGCGAACCCTTGCAGAACGACACCGCACCCGGATGCGAGGGCACAAGCGGCCAAGACGAAGCTGGCTACATGGTTGGCGGGTTGTCCGTATCCTAGAAAGATGACGCGCTTCTGTGTGATGAGAGCATTGAAGAGGACGATGATGGGATGTGTCGAGGGGCCGTTGGTATGCAAATGAGGGTGGATCGGTCCTGTCGGCGTGGACTGCGGACCTGAAAACGTCTGTATGAGGCGAATGAGTGAGTACTCGCCGACCTCTTCGGGAAACGTGGTGAGCGGCACGCGAATGGGCAAAGCAACGTTGCGGTAGGTGAGGAGAGTATCGAAGTAGTGGGTATCACGCGGTCTCGCTGATCCAGATGGAAGCATGGCCGGGTTCGAGATCGACTTCCTGTCTGACGCTCCTGCCGCGACACCGACTATCGAGTTGGCGGAGGAACCACGACGTGCGCCAAGCGCGGGACGCAGCGAGGCTGTGCTGAGCTTCTTCTTGAGCGATTTCGTCTCGGATGAAAAGGTGGATGTGCTGTCTGTGCGACGCCGTGAGGTCTCGATGCTGGCGCCATCGGTCGGAGATGAGCGGCTTGTCTCGATCTCTCCAGTCGGTGTGGAACTGATCGGAGTCGTGTCCACTTCGGAGCGCTGAGCGGCGACGAAGCGCTCTTCGAAGAGGTCGCGACGATCCGAGCCGCGGAGAACGAGCTTCTCGGCGCGAGTGAAGGAAGGTGCGGTCGAAAGATCGAGGCGGTTGATAGAGTCGTACAGCCGTGCCAGGCATTCCGGACCGGGCTCCTTGAAGTAGTCGTCGAGGGCAAGCAACAGTGCGGGCTTGAAGATGTCGATAAAGGGGAAGCGAGTGCCAATAGCCATTGCTTTGACCAGGGCGCCTCGACGCACCGTGTTGTCGTGCTTGGTACGGACCAAGTTGATGACATAGGTGAGATCGTTCGATAGCCATGACGTCGAGTCTGTTGCATAGTGCGTCTGAGAGAGATCGGAATTATCGGTGTGGAGAGCGACACGCTTGGTGCCGGGCGGTTTGAGGAAGAAAAAGGTCCAGTCTTCTGTCCTTGCATGGACACCATCGGGTAGCATGAGCTCTGCCAGCATGTGTTCGTCGTAGCCGGTCGGAGCAGGGTATTGATGCGAGAGGGTGGAGCCGCGATCGATGTCGAATTCTGCCAACACGCAGAAGGTGCAGTAGCCTTGGCTGCTCGTCGTTGCGGCGGCCGCAGATGGGCCCGCGACGTCGCCAGCCATATCAGCGATCGACATGATCGGCGGAGAAGTTTCGGTCTGTTGTCACGCCTCGGTCGAAGGCTTTGCCGTACGAGGCGGAGCTGCTGTTCAACGAGTGAACATGGCAATCGGAGAAGCGGCGTGGTCGGAACTGGCCCCTGCTGTGTGCGTCCCGTCTGCGCAGCGTCGGCAGTGCGATCGGAACGGATCGCAATGACTTGGTGGTGTCGTGATGTGCGAGAAGCAAGCTACGCCTGAACGATCGTGCCTCGCATCGGCTACGCTATCGGATGCGCAATGTCGAAGCGCACTCGAGATTCCGAACTGCCAACCATCACAGGCTCGCACAGCTCGCTCGCTGTCTCCGCCTTTTGACTTTTCGTGTCGTTCCTGAACCCTGACAACGCTTCTGTCACGCTCGAAACCCTTTTGGGCGCGTGTCGCAAGGCTGCTCGCCTCGAATTTCAACCATGATCCGACTGTTAGGTCCGCATGAGCACGTGACGCAACACGCCGAGTCCGCGTAAGTGAGTCGCTGTCAGTGTGTCTCTTTTGCCCTGCAGCAGCGTGTGGAGAGTCAGTCGGATAGAGGCCGAAGAGCATTTGTGACTTTTGTGAGTCGATTCTTCGGCAGGATATCCGACCGCTTCTCTCCTCTCTTCTCTGCCTCACTTCACCTATACCTTCTATCAACGGCGCAGCATCGCGATGCCAGGCAAAGTCGCTACCATGCCTGCTGCCAGTGGCACTCGCGGCGCGTCGGTCACAAGCGTCGCTGCAAAGCAGGCCGCCCGGACCAGGGGCACTGCTCCTGCTGCTACGCGCAGTACAGCCAGCGTCACGACTTCGTCCACGTCCAGAGCTACGACGGCCGAGGCAGCCACGACTGCTCCGACAGCGGTCGGCAGATCTCGACTTGCTTCGGACAGGCCAACAGCAAGGGCGCCGGCAAAGACGTCCTCGACATCGTCCAGTCGCTCCGCCTCTTCTGCTGCCCCATCAACTTCTGCTACGCGATCAGCCTCCGCTAGTACTTCGACCACTTCGACGCGTGCCTCAGCTACGCCACGAAAGGCATCCTCTTCAACCACCACACCAGCGATCGTTGCTTCCACCGCCCTCTCTTCAGCCGCGAGAGTCGCCAGCAGGGCTGCAGCCGCAGGACCTTCCACAACACGGACAGCGTCGTCAGCATCAAAGCAGGTGTACACCACCGTTGAAGAGACATGGACAGAGGCACAAATCCTTCGAGCTCTCGCAGATTCCAAGTCTGTTCCCCTGACGCTACCACACTATGTCATCCTTCTGCTCGACACCTCCGCACAGACACTCCAGCTCGATGCAGAGCTTGACCACGGCATCAGCTTCACCTCTATCCCACCAAAGCTTGCTCCCGCCCGACGCGTATACTTTGCCAAGCAACTCGTCAACGTAGGTCTCTCCACTTTGACTCAATTGACGACATCCGGTTGGTCTGCCTCGGCAGTAGAAGCATCGCCTCAGATCCCTCATGTCGCTGCTGCCGTCCATACTTTTCGCATCGCCGCACGTTTCCTTCTCCTGCCGAGAGATGAGCCTTCCTCCCACACAGCAGCCAAGCAGAAAGAACTCGAGGTCGAGACAGTCATACTACGGTCATGCACAAAGCTCAAAACCGTTGGACTCTTGGACGCTGCACAAGCCGACATCGGATACCTCGGACGAATCGTTGCTTCTGCCACCATCGATGACACGCTCCCCGACTCTGACGCAGCACCGACGACCATGTTACTGCCATCCTTCCAGAATTCGTCCCCGGCGCGCATCGCCTTTCTTGTGGACCTTCAGTGCGCCAGTGCGACTCACACCCTTGAATCGGCCAGTCTCCCAACCCTAGACTCGATCTTGACCGACCTCAACCACGAACATGGCCCTCTCGCCTGGCAGCTGTATGCTCGTCGCAATGGCGGCGAAGTACGCGTCCTGGATCGCGCCGCTTTCGCCATCGAACGCGCCATCTCAAAGACTTTGCAACGTCTCGATGCTCCCAATAGGCAGGAGTATCTTCCTCTGCGCACGCTCGCCCTGCAGTTGCTCGTTCAAGTGAGCGACATCGATCTCAGTGCCTTCTGGGAGCGCGTCGCTCGAGCTGGCGGATCCGTCCTCAAAACCGCGCAAAAGGACGGAGAGGATCTTGCGGCCGCCTATCATGCGGTGCAAGACACGTTCGAGACCGTCATCGCCACCGCCGACAACGTAGCCGAATACTCGTCGACCGAATCCAAACTGCACAGCGACGGCTTCCAGCGCTTCTGCGAATATTGGCTCAGCTTTGCTAGGAAAGCAGGCAGCTCAGTCGGCGTCGAACGCGCTACTGCGGCTATGTCTCGCTCAGGAGCCGCAATCCCGACAGAATCTACCAACACGCCGGTCAAAGACAACCAAGCGGGGCCAGCCGGCATAGGACTCGGCACGGCGCCAGCGGCTCAGGTACAACTCAGCGATAAGGAAATCGCCACGGTTTGTGGCATTTTGACGGGAACCGTGCTGGCGCTCGACAAGGTGCTGGTCGGGAGCTCAGAGGCAGATACACAAGCGAGAGTCGACGGTGCCGCAAGGATCCTCGAAGAGCAGGTGCCGGCTTGGCCTGCGACCAGCCCAATGTCGTCGCAGCTCAAGCTGTTCCGCGTCATGGACCAGCTGCATCGTCGCAGTTGCAGCAAGCTCAGCAACCAGGGCTGCGACAGCAAGGGCCAGCCCAAACCAGATTCGACGGGCTCTGCTGATGTTGACAGGCTCTCTCGCGCCTGCTTACAGCTTCTCGAGAGCCTGTTCCAACACTGCGAGAACGCTACGTCTGCGACCGAATCCACAACCGTTTCGACCCCTCCTCGAACAGTCACTCTTCCAAGCAGGGAAGCCTGCCTCGCAGATATCATCTATGGCCACAGAGTGTTGGCCAACAAACTTTTCAACGCAAATTCGCGTAGCGCTCGCGATGAGGCGCTCAACGAGATGAAAACGTGTCGCAGCCTCCTGCGCAGCGATCTCGCTCAGTCGCTCCCGAAGGAGCTCGTCTCCGAACAGCTGCGACTGCTATCGACCAGCTTTTACAACCCAGCAGGTATCCTCTACAATGCAGCCAACTACGTCGAGGCAGCTGTCTTCCTCCAAATGGCTGTCGATTGTGACGACGAGTCCGTGCAGCTCCTCCGCTCGGCCGATGGGCAACCGTCCGCTGTAGAAGATTCAGAGCTCCAGCTGGCACTCGCCAAGAGACACGATGCGCTCAACAAGAAGCTCGAGTATACCGCAGTCGCCTACCGTTTTGCAGGGAACAAGTTGGAATCACTGCAAGTCTATCGCAAACTCCTTCTTGCGCATGCCTCTGCGGTCGGCGACACGCTCTCGCGTCACGTTGCCGCTGACAGCATTGACCAAGCCTTCAAAGCAGCAGAGATCAAAGGTCTAGCCAGCGCGACCAAGGCCATCATCGATCTTTCCGTGCATGAGCTTGGCTTCAAGATGGATCCTGATGATCAGCAACACAGCCTCGTGCCTTGGCTTATCGAAAGCAGTAAAATCGATTCGGCCGTCAAAGGCGCCATCTTCGAACATGCCGTCGCCCTCCTCGACGCCCGAAGGCACGTCTCTGTCGCCGTCCAATCAATCGACAACATTCATCAAGCCCTCCTCCAGACTTATGACGCATCGGACTTTCCGTTGCGTCGAGCGAGAACCTTGGCGCGAATGCTCGAAGCGGACGTCTTGTCTCATGCCCTTCTACTCACAGAGGACGACGCTACCAAGATAGAGCAAGACGCGCTTGCTTGCCTCGAGAGCGCCACGCTTGCCAAGGATCAGGGATTGGCCTGTTTCCAGGCACAGTATCGCTGCTCAGTGCTGCTCTCGGCCGCATTGCACGGTCGCCTACGCCAGCCGTTCGACGACCCGCAACCCGTAGCTGCAAAAGTAGAGTCCGCCTGCAAGACTCTGTCGTCGGCAATCTCTGCCCGGCTTACAAACACGCAGTCTACATCTCCGCTTGCGACGCGGGCCTCCCCCAAAGGCGCGCCAGCGACGCCAGTGATGACTCCACGAACGAGGACGGCGCCCCGCAAGGCAATTGCACCTCCAGGCAGGACTGCCACCACACGAAAGGCCCTGGCACAGCGCTCTGCTCCCTCACAGTCTATGGCAACCAACGTCGACGTGACCACCCCACCTTCCAAAACGGACAAGCCGATCTTTGATAAGGCCGCGTCTGCTCTGTCCCGTCGCACCACAACACCACAGACGGCTGCTGGCGAACGCGTCTTCGACCGCCCTAACCAATTTTGTCAGTTGCTCCTCACGTTCCACGAGGCCTTCTCTGCACTCGCCCTCACTCGCTGCAGCGTGCAGATCCTCAAAGCTGTGCGTCAAGCAACACGTCGTGGAGGCGATATCACGTCCGGCCTGGAAGATATCTTCTGTCGAGCGTCCACAGACCTATGTCTGGCGTATCTGGCCCTTGGGAAGATCACTCGCGCCGAAACCACTCTTCGTCCGGCTATAAGTGTGCTGTCGAGGACCGCATCGACGAGCTCCCCTCCCGGAAAGCTCTTTTTGATCTCACAGGATGTGAGGTTCCGATGCTTCATGGCGCAGGCAGAGGTTCTCGCGCAGGAGCGAGATCTGGCTGGAGCTCAAGCTCGCTTTGCCGAAGGACTGAAGCTTGCCAAAACTCCGAGCAAAGGCGACAAGCCTGCAACCAGCTCGATGGACCGTTTGCGCCAACGCGAACGGCAGGCGATTGCCTTCTCGGTCTGCGCACGCGTACAAATGGCCCGAGGAGATCTGGCGGCGAGCATCGAGGCCACCACGCTTGCTCTGCGTCAGCTGATCCGGCTATCCAGCAATCTGTCTCACATTGTGAGCAAGACACAGGCGTCGGACCAGGACCAGGCGCACATCGTGCATTCGGATCAGCTTGCGCCATCGAGCGATATTGTGGAGCAGGACGAGCAACACAGGAAGCGAGAGCAGCGTCAGCCACAAGAGCAGCCTCTGCCCAAGTTCTCCAGTGCCACCTTCTCGAGCCTCTTCTGGAGGTGCTGCGGTCTCTTGCTCGAAAACTACGTGCGTCTCGGTCGATTGCACAGCGTGCGTGGCTCCGCGATCGACGCAGAGGCAATCGTCGGAGAAGGCATCGATTTCGCGGCCTCTCTCCGCTTCGCTTTGCCCCTTGCTCGTGTGCTGATTCAGAGAGGCGAGCTCCGGCTGCAGCTCAACCGCGCCGAACAGGGCCAAGAGGATCTGTCACGTTGCCTCGAGGTGCTTCGGAACACGTGGATCCCGGAAGTGGTTTCACTCTCGTACGTCCAAGGTGATTGCCTCTTGCGTATCGAGCAGTTGGGCGAAGCTCTTCGGTCCTATTCCGATGGCGAGGCAACGCTGCGCTCGCTCAGCTCAGCCTTTGCTGAAGCCGAACAGGTTCTGCCTTCGCCCAGGGCCCCGGTGCACCATCGCAGAAAGTCGAGCTTGTCTTTCCCGGCTGGACACATGCGTGCTCGGCTGAGCGGCAGCGGCACAGGTATCGATTGGGTTCTGCCTGAACTGCAGTCGAGGTTCTTGCAGAAGCAGGCCTGGATCTTGCACCTCATGGGCCAGTTGGAGAGGAGCGAGGACGCCGTCGAGAAAGCCGCGTCGATCAGGGATGGCCTTAACACTGTCGATGCGCGTGTGGACCAGTTCGTCCTCGAGGGCAGGATCGCGCTGCGCAGAGCGCTCGATCATCTCAAGAACGATCACTTTTTCAGCATGCTACCCGAAGCTGCCATTTCGATCCCGATGGTGCCGTCGGTCAGCGTGCGTACGCTAGCTGCTGCCACGGGTTCAAACCAGGCCATCTCTGAGGATACCGTCAAGACGGCGCTCGAGATGCTGACGCCTGCGGACTCAGCATTCCGCGAGGCGCTCTCCCTAGGCTTGTTGTCCTCACACTCGCTCGTGCTGCGTGAAGCCTTCGCCAATCTCGCTCAGGTTTACACGACACAGGCGGCGCTCGGCAAGAATGTCAAATTGGCAGCCAACACCGCGGCTGCTCTCTTGGATTCGGCCTCCAGTGTCGGCACTCGCCGCAATCTCCTGGTGGCAATCTCTTCGAAGATGCGCACATCAACCGCTGGCATGGACGACCAGGAGTGGCCCAACATCGTCGATGTCGTCCTGCAGGGCGACCAATGTGCTCACAGTCCCGAGGAAGTGGGATCGGATGACGAGGAAGCGCTCCCGACCAGGCTGGCCAAGCTCTCGTTGAACAAGCCCTCCCGAATCTCACGGTCCATCCCTGCCGCGTCGAGCAATCCATTGTCGGCATTCTGGCAGTCGGTCCGACTGCGCCATCAACAGGCGCAACACGAGCCTGCATCCACCAAGTTTCCGCTACCTCGCAACTGGACCGTCATTTCCATTTCGGTGCGGAGCACGGAGGTCGAGAATCTCGTCCTCACCCGCCAGGAAGGCGGTGGTGGCCTGGATGGATGCACGGCCAAAGAAGCGGTTCTTTACAGCTTGCCGATGAATCGTCGAAGCCAGCGCGACGGAGTGGAAGAGGAGGAGGAGGAACAGCTTACCCTCAAAGCGGCTCAGCAGAAGCTCGTCGAGATCGTCCGCCTGAGCAACGATGGCATCCACGGCGTCAAGGACGTTCAGAGCATGGACGCCCGGAGGCAGTGGTGGACCGAGCGGCACCGCCTCGACGATGAGCTGCGCGACTTGCTGCAGTCGATCCAAGATACATGGCTCGGCGGCTTCAAGGGCATCTTCTCCGAACCCACATCAGATGCAAGGGCCACCTCGGCGCTGCGTGCAAGGTTCGAAAAGATCGTCCGACGAGCCTGCTTCCCGACAGCCAACAAGCGCCCCACCAAGCTGAAGCTCGACGATGCGGTATTTGAATGCTTTGCAGGCCTTCCAGCCGACTGCACCGACGAGGATCTGGAGGATTTGGTGCACTATGTCATGGATGCATTGCAGTTCAGCGGCTTTCAGGTGGCCGTCGACGAGATCGACTTGGACGAGACGGCGATGGATCTGCGTGGAGCATTGGAGGAGTTCAACGGCAAGAAGGCGCAGTCTTCTCCCAGCAAGACGAGCATGGCCTACGTGGCGGCGGACGACGAAGAGGAGATGCAGGACCACCACATCTTTTTGGTGCTGGACAAGGACACGGCGGTCTTCCCGTGGGAGTCGATGCCCATCCTGCGAAATCGTGCGGTAAGCCGGATCCCATCCATGGCCTTCTTGCAGGACCGGATCGAGATGGCCGAGATCTTCAGCCAAAAGCCTGGTCGCGAACAAGACGATGACGTGGACATGGACATGGACGAGCTTGAGCTGAGCCCTCTGCAAAAGGGCAAGCAGATGGCTCGATCGCGCTCGCGCTCGCCGACAAAAGCTTCACGAGCGACCAAAGCAACGACACTTGGTGGAAAGGCTGCAGCGAAAAGATCACAAGGCGAGGATCAAGCAACAGGAGCTGCTCGCAATTCGGCTTGGCAGGTGACGTTGCGCAACGGCAAGCTGTTTAGCCTGTCGAAGCGCAACACGTTCTATCTCCTCAATCCGGGCGGCGATCTGGTACAGAGCCAGGAGCGCTTCGAGCCGTGGCTTCAGGGACGCAGCAACGGCAGCCACGGATGGAAGGGCATCGTAGGTCGCCAGCCCATCGTCGATGAGCTTCCCGCGGCACTGTCCTCGTCCGACCTCGTGCTCTACTTCGGTCACGGAGGAGCGGAGCAGTTCATCCGACAGTCGAAAGTACGCGAGCTGCAACGATGCGCCGTGGCCATGCTGTGGGGCTGCTCGTCGGCGATGCTGCATGACAACGGCGAGTTCGATGGCACGGGAACACCGCTGAACTACATGTGCGCCGGCGCTCCTGCGATGGTGGGCAATCTATGGGATATGACGGATCGCGAGCTCGACTCGGTGTGCGAAGGCGTCTTCGGTCGACTCGGACTGATGGAGGCGCGAGAACGTGCCGAGGTGAAACCAGCGGCACGCAACATCAAGCTAGACGGTCGTGGCGAGTTGGTAGCAAGTCGTGCGCCGACGGAGATGTCGCTGGCACGCGCCGTGGCCGAGAGTCGTGAGGATTGCAGGCTTCCTTATCTCACAGGAGCTGCCACTGTTGTCTACGGAGTGCCTGTTTACTGGCATGATTCCGATCTGTAACGTCCATCATCGTTGAACACCGGAAAGTAAGTCGACAATCCTGAAAGGAAATCTGTGCTCGTTTGAGTGTGATTCTGCACTGAGGCATCAGTACCATCCAAGGGTGGTGTTGTTCGCAGCTCTCATATCTGTCGCGAGACAGAAGGCGCCTAGGGCCGGAGACGCGCGAGAAGACGGCGTCGACGCGTATAGTACAAAATTTGGAAGAAATTGGTTAACAAAATGGGGCAAAGAAAAGATAGCGAAGAAACAAACGATTTTGTTCATTTAGCCTGTCTCGAAGCTTGAGTTTTCGGAAAAGGGTAAGAGGAGGCACTGCAGCTGTATGCAGGGTTGCAGCCAAGGTCACAAATTAGGCTCAGCTTTTGCGACGTGAGACCCACAGCCTGCCTGTAACAAACAAGCAAGCTAACGTTGATGAGCCCTTTGACACTCGATTCTCGGTGGCGAAATTTTGGCTGAGTCGGTCGACCAACACTTGGAGCTTCAACGCTTTCTTCTTCCGATCTTCCAGCGACCTTCTCACAACCCTACTCTTCCGCCCTCCCCCCTTCCGCCTTCCTCGTCCCTTTCCTGCGCTGGCGAAGTTTTATCTGTCCTGATCTCGTCTCGAGTGTCTCACCTGCTCCCCCCGAGGTTGCCTACCACGAGCAGTCGGCGCATACATCGTTCTCTCTCGGTGGTTTGTTGTTGGCGCCTACTAGTCCCTCAGCAGCAGCAGCTTCCTTGGTGCATTCTTGTTCGAACACTCGTCGGTCGATCGCTCCTCGCTCCAATTCTGCGTCTCCTACTCGAGTTCAAACCACACTTTCTTGATTGCATTTCCAGCTTCGCTTCGCAACTCGTCACGCCGTCGGCCCACTTCAACCTCATTTTACTCAGCTCCTTGCTGAGCGCTCATCAACCACGATCATCATGCCTCCTCGCCGCTCGGCTCGCCAGTCGGTCTCCGCTCCAAAGCGAGACGAGGTGATCGTCATCTCATCCGACGACGAAAAGATGGCGCTGGCAGCGCCAGAGACCCCTGTCGCCACCTCGTCCACTCGTCGTCGGGCCGCGAGCTCGCTGGCCGCATCCGCCATCAGCACTCCTGCCACTGCACGATCTTCCCGCACCAACTCGACGTATGCGTCTGGCAGTCACACTCCCGAGACTTCGGTGGAAGGTGACGACGACAGCAAGTACGATACGAAGCACCACCCTGACGCGAACGAGCTCAAGCACGGTCTTGTTGCTCCTGCTTCTCGCGCTAAGCGTGCCAGCAGATCCTCATCTATCAAGGCGCAAGTCAAGACCGAGTCGTCGCCCGCCATGTCCGGCCCCGCGAGTGAAGCTCGGAAGCGCAAAGCGGCTGCACCGGCTGTAGCCACGCCTTCCAAGACACCCAAGGTCGAAGCCGATGACAAGTTAGTTGCTCGACGACCATCAGTTCGCGGTAGGTCCTCATCCAAGCCTGAGCCGAAGAGCTGGTCTCAGGAGGACGAAGATGCCCTCGACGCCTTGCTCGACAAGGAGCTGGGACCCTCGACCTCGTCTGCGGCGGCGGTCAAGGCAGAAGCTGGTAGCAGCAAGTCGCGAAGCAAGGGAAAGGCAAAGGGGAAAGGTCAAGTCAAGGCCGAGCCCCGAACGTCTGCCAAGGTCGAAGACGAGAGCGACGATGTCTTCGATGATCCAGACCTCACCCCCCGCTCGCGTCGTCTGCCCCGCCGCAGTGCCGCCTCCGCTACCAAAGCATCCAAATCGTACCTTGACGACTCCGAAGACGACAAGCTTTCTCTTCTCGACGAAGAGGCTGACAAATACGAAGACGATGACTTTTCCTTCGACGACCAGAGCAGCGATGACGAGCCGCTCTCGCGCAAGAACAAGAAGTGGCCGGCTTACACGGCCAGCAGCGCCGGCGCGGCCGCGGGCGATGCCGGGCCCAGTACCTTTGCGACGCTCGATGACATCAAGTTCGACTCGGACACGGACGCTACCGATGACGACGATTTCCAGCCCCGTGGTGCCAACAGCAACAACTTCTACGCAGAAGACGTCCAGTACGAGACCGCCAAGCAGCGTAAAGCTCGTCTGCGCAGCGAGAATCACCAGGCGCGTCTCAAGAAGAAGGATGCTCGCACCCAGTACGACAAGAACCTGATCGCCCTCGTCAAGCACCATCCCCAGCTCAAGAATGTCTGGGAGAACCTGCAAAAGACGGTGGCCATCATCAAGCCCGAAGAGGCCGAGCAACCGTCGGGACTCAACATCAAGCTTTTGCCGTTCCAACGCGAGGGTCTGTTCTGGATGACGCGCCAGGAGCAGGGCACATGGAAGGGAGGCATGCTTGCCGACGAGATGGGCATGGGAAAGACCATTCAGATGATCAGCCTCATGCTCTCGGATCGCAAGAAGCCATGTCTTGTCGTCGCGCCCACCGTCGCCATCATGCAGTGGCGCAACGAGATCGAGCAGTACACGGAACCGAAGCTCAAGGTGCTCATGTGGCACGGTGCCAACCGCACGCAGAATCTCAAAGAGCTCAAAGCGGCCGACGTCGTGCTCACGAGTTACGCCGTGCTCGAGAGCAGTTTCCGGAAGCAAGAGACAGGCTTCCGCCGCAAGAACGAAATTCTTAAGGAAAAATCGGCGCTGCACGCCGTTCACTGGCGCCGCATCATCCTCGACGAAGCGCACAACATCAAGGAGCGCTCCACTAACACCGCCAAGGGAGCATTCGCGCTGCAAGGCGACTTCCGCTGGTGTCTTAGCGGCACGCCGCTGCAGAACCGTGTCGGTGAGCTGTACTCGATGATCCGCTTCCTCGGTGGTGATCCGTTCGCTTACTACTTCTGCAAAAAGTGCCCGTGCAAGTCGCTGCACTGGTCGTTCAGCGACCGACGCAACTGCGACTCGTGTGGCCACACGCCCATGCACCACACGTGCTACTGGAACAACGAGATCCTCAAGCCCATCCAACGCAGCGGTGCCCAGCACGGCGAGGGCCGCGATGCGTTCCGACGTCTACGTATCCTGCTCGAACGCATGATGCTTCGACGCACCAAGCTGGAGCGAGCCGACGACATGGGCCTGCCGCCTCGTACCATCGAGGTGCGTCGCGACCTCTTCAACGAGGAAGAGGAGGATCTGTACACGTCGCTGTACACAGACACTACGCGCAAGTTCAGCACCTATCTCGACCAGGGCACGGTGCTCAACAACTACTCGAACATCTTCACCCTGCTGACCCGCATGAGGCAGCTCGCCAACCATCCAGACCTGGTGCTGCGATCCAAGACAGGGCTCGCGTCGAAGCTGCTCGGCGCGGATCAGAGCGAGATCCACGTCTGCCGTATCTGTACCGACGAGGCCGAGGACGCCATCATGTCGCGCTGCAAGCACATCTTCTGTCGCGAGTGCGTGCGGCAGTACCTCGACGCGGACATCGCGCCAGGCATGGTCCCCGATTGCCCTTATTGCCACGCCACGCTGTCGATTGATCTTGAGGGTGAGGCGCTCGAGCCCCCGCAGAGCACGATCCGCATGAACGACTCGGGCCGTCAGGGCATTCTGTCGCGTCTCGACATGGACAAGTGGCGATCGAGCACCAAGATCGAGGCGCTTGTGGAGGAGCTGACGCAGCTGCGGAGCGAGGACAAGACGATCAAGTCGCTCGTCTTTTCGCAATTTGTCAACTTCCTGGACCTGATCGCCTTCCGGTTGCAGCGCGCCGGGTTCCAGATCTGCCGACTGGAGGGCAACATGTCGCCCGAGGCGCGAAACCGCACGATCAAGCACTTTATGGAGAATCCGGGCGTGACGGTGTTCCTGGTGTCGCTCAAGGCGGGCGGTGTTGCGCTCAACCTGACCGAGGCGTCGCGTGTCTACCTGATGGACCCGTGGTGGAACCCATCGGTCGAAGTGCAGGCGATGGATCGCATCCACCGTCTTGGTCAGCACCGTCCGATCATCGTCAAGCGCATGGTGATCGAAAACAGCATCGAGTCGCGTATCATTGAGCTGCAGAACAAGAAGAGCGCCATGATCGAGGCCGCCATCGGCAAAGACGACGGTGCTATGGGTCGATTGAGCGTTTCCGATCTGCGATTCTTGTTCACGCTCTGATCTCGCTGATTTCGTCTCATTTTATTATTGATTCGCATTGTGTTCCCATTCCCCGCTGTCAAGTTGCATTTACGTCCTCATCTCAGCATCCTCCTCATCATCACCATAATCATCATCATGACCATCGTCATGATCAGCGTCATCACCATCAACGCCAAAGTTTCGCTCGCAATGTCATCGTCGCTTTACTTGCTCGCAGCGTGGTCGCGCAGTGTGGTTCATGAAAAATGCTGCCGAGGAGCAGCCCGCTGGGTGTGACGAGAGTGGTGTTGCGGAGATCTCGGCCTTCTCCGAATGGAAAATGTGTGAAGGCGCGTGCAGTTGGAATTGCCAAGCGGCTGATTGGATGGATGCTCGGCTGGGCCAAGACTGACGCTACCCACGCACCGACTGTCATCCCCACCATTTTGAACCGAACCTGGGCATGATGTACTCTGGTCTGGTTGGAGGCAACTTTACCGCTTCGTCGGTAACAGAATCACTGTATGGGCAGACATCCACAAGCGAGCCACGGGGAGGGCTTAATTGGTGCTGTTGGCTCTTCGGACTTGGCCGAGCAACCGAATTTTCGGATTGTGCAGCAGTAAGCGACCCATCGTGCTGTGCTGCCGTGAACTGCTAGACAGGGTCGCGCGCCTGCTTCTGAATTTGTGGCAAGTTCAGGAGAAGATAGCAATCTCAACACGCACAGGCGCACAGTGCGCTGCAGTGCGGTGCGGGGGTGGCAAAAAAATTGGGAACCTCAGCTCTGCTTCCCAATTAGTCGCTGTCCAACCTATCGCTGTCCGACCCGCACTCGACAGCTTGGACAGCCAACCTTATCTTCGAAGGCCATATCCACTGCCTTGATAGCTCTTTGAGCAAGTTGCCCTTCTCACTCCCTCTTCTCTTCCATTACGCATCGCTCCGTCGTCTTTTCATCGTCGCTCCTTCTACTCACCTGCATTCCCTACAGATAGAACTCGGACTCCTCCTCTTCTCTGGAACATCACGGATCTCCGCAACAGCATGCCGGTCCCCACATCAACGACCAGTACGGTCGATGGCTTTGAGCTGCCTACTCAGTTCGCTCAGACAGCATCCAAGCTTATCTTCACTGTCAACAACACCCGCTTCCAGCTCTCTCCTGCCAAAGGCGACGATCTCGATCTCACACTTCTCGAGTTCATTCGAAGCAAAGGCTTCACCGGCACAAAGCTCGGATGCGGTGAAGGTGGCTGCGGTGCTTGCACCGTCGTCGTTGGCAAGTACGACTCTCAACTATCCGCCACTCCCTCGTCCTCCTCTTCAAAAGCACCTTACAGATACAAGTCGGTCAACGCATGCCTGCTTCCGCTCGTCGCAGTGCATGGTTGCCACGTGCTCACCGTAGAAGGCATCGGCTCTTCGTCCAACCCTCACCCAATCCAAGAGCGCATCGGAAAGCTCTTTGGCTCGCAATGCGGTTTCTGCACACCGGGAATCGTCATGTCTCTCTACGCTACCGTGCGAAATGGATACGGCCATCTCACCGAAGAAGACATCGAACATTCTCTTGACGGCTGTCTCTGCCGCTGCACCGGCTACCGTCCCATTCTCGATGCTGCCAAGTCATTCGCCACCGTCAAAAGCGCCAAGGCTGGCACCAACGGCTCCAGCGCATCCTCGAGCAACATCAACAGCGACGAATCGGACGAGGCAGAGCCCACAACGCCACCCGAGGCTGACCTCTTCACAAAGACGCCCTGTGCAAAGGGCGCAGATTGCTGCATGGTCAACGGCAAATCCAAAGGCTGCGCACCTAGCTCGTCTTCCTCTGCACCAGGTATTTCCACCACAGCCCACGCCATCCAAAAGGTGCTCGACCCGACTCAGTTCAAGCCCTACGACGCAGCTTCTGAGCTCATCTTCCCTCCTTACCTTGCCAAAGACACCTTCGACTCGCAGGATCTCGCCTTCATCGAGGAGCACCCAGAGACAGAAGAATTCGACGGTGAGACCCCGCCAGCCAAACCCACCTCGACACGACAGGTCTGGCTCCGACCAGGCTCTCTTCAGTCTCTTGTGCAGTGCATGAGGCTTTACGACCTCGAGAGCGGCGGAAAGATTCGCAGCGGAAACACCGAAACCGGTATCGAGGTCAAGTTCAAGCATCTCAGGTACAGCGTCTCCATCTTCGTCTCGGACCACATCAAGGACCTCGCCTTGTACAGTTCAGACGAACGTGGTATCACCGTCGGTGCCAACCTCAGCTTGACCGACCTGGTTCGTCAGCTCAAGGCCGAGCGCCCTGCTTCGACTTACGCCCAGCAGGTCAAGCGCGCCATCCTCGACAACCTCGCGTACTTTGCCTCGAACCAGATCAGGAACGTGGCCACCTTGGCGGGTAACATCGCCACAGCGTCGCCGATCTCGGATCTCAACCCTGTTTGGGTGGCTACCGGTGCCGAGCTCTCGTACATCGACAACACCTCGTCTGAAGAGAAGAGCGTCAACATGCGCGACTTCTTCCTGGGCTACCGCAAGACCGCTCTGCCCGCGGGCGCTGTCATCACCAAGCTGTTCGTGCCCTGGTCCGATGACGCTGGTAGCGTGATCCAGGCCTTCAAGCAGTCCAAGCGCAAAGACGACGATATCGCCATCGTCAACGCGTGTCTCCGCTTCTCTGTTCGAGACGACGAGATCACGGATGCTACGCTGGCCTTCGGAGGTATGGGTCCGACGACCATGCAGAGCGTCGAGGTGCAAAAGTTCCTGCAGGGCAAGCAGTTCAGCGCGCCAGAGACGTTGTCGGAGGCACTGCAGATTCTGGCCAAGCAGGACTTCCCACTCTCGTATGGCGTTCCGGGTGGTATGCCCGTCTTCCGAAAGACGCTTGCGCTCGGTTTCTTGACTCGCTTCTGGGGCCTGGCCGCGCCGCGTCTTGGTCTGCCGAAGCTGGCGACGGCGTTGTCCGCGCTGCCGGACCTGGAAGAGCTGGCCACCAGCACGGTGGATCGACCCGCCACTTCTGGACAGCAGGACCTTGAAAACGTAGCCATCAAGCAGCCTGTGGGTGACTCGATCCCCCACCTTTCCGCCATGAAGCAGGTCACCGGTGAGGCTGTTTACATTGACGACCTGCCACCGGTCGCCAACGAGCTGCACGCCGGATTTGTGCTGTCCCAACGCGCTCACGCAATCTTGAGCAAGGTCGATGCGACCGAGGCGCTGCAGATGCCTGGTGTTGTCGACTTTGTCACCTACAAGGATATCCCTGAAGGTGGCAGCAATATCTGGAACCCGCCCTCGATGGACGAGACGTTCTTTGCCGAGGACAAGGTCTACACCGTCGGTCAGATCATCGGTGTCATTGTCGCTGATACCAAACGCAACGCACAGGCTGCAGCTCACAAGGTCAAGATCGAGTATGAGGATCTGCCGCACATCCTGACCATCGAACAAGCGATCGAGGCGGAGAGCTTCTTCCGGCCTCGACCGGTGATCCATCGCGGTGATTCGTCGGAGGAAGGCTGGTCGCAGTACGACCATGTTCTGGAAGGCGAGACACGTATGGGAGGTCAGGAGCACTTTTACCTCGAGACCAACGCGTGTCTCGTCATTCCAGGCAAGGAAGACTCGGAGATCGAAATCATCTCTTCGACGCAGAACCCGTCCGAGACGCAGGTATTCTGCGCATCTATCCTCGGCATCCCGAACAACCGTGTCGTGACGCGTGTCAAGCGACTAGGTGGTGGTTTCGGAGGCAAGGAATCGCGCACCATCGCCTTTGCAGCTCCTCTGACCTTGGCAGCCAAGAAGCTTGGTCATCCCGTTCGTGTCATGCTCGACCGCGACGAGGACATGCTCACCACCGGTCAACGTCATCCCTTCCTCTGCAAGTGGAAGCTCGCCTTCAGCTCCACCGGCAAACTCGAACGTCTCCACGCACGCGTCTACAACAACGGCGGTTGGAGTCAGGACCTCTCGCAGGCGGTGCTCGAACGTGCCATGTTCCACATCGACAACTGCTACAACATCCCGCACGTCCACGTCGAAGGCTACATCGCCAAGACCAACACCATGTCCAACACCGCTTTCCGAGGCTTCGGTGGTCCGCAGGGAATGTTTTTCACCGAAGACTTTGTCGTCAAGGCAGCGGCGGTCATCGGTCTTCAGCCGGAGAAGATGCGAGAGATGAACATGTACAGGGAGAACGAGGAGACGCACTTCCGACAGAAGTTGGTCGATTGGAACGTCCCCACGCTCTGGGAGCAGCTGAAGTCGTCGGGAGAGTTTGAGGCTCGTTCCAAGGAGGTGGAGAAGTTCAATGCGGAGCACAGGTATAAGAAGAGGGGTATCTCGATGATCCCGACCAAATTTGGCATTTCCTTCACCGCCATCTTTTTGAACCAGGCGTACGGTGTGGTGCACGTGTACCATCATGATGGCAGCGTACTGTTCTCGCACGGTGGAACAGAGATGGGGCAGGGACTGCACACCAAGATGGCGCAAGTCGTAGCTACCGAACTCGACATCCCCGTTGACATGGTTCATCTTACCGAGACCAACACGTCTCAGGCAAGCAACACTTCGGCCACCGCCGCTTCGGCTTCCTCGGATCTCAACGGTATGGCGCTCAAGAACGCGTGCGTGCAGATCAACGGTTCCATCGCCAGGTTCCGACAGGAAGCTGCTGCGAAAGGTCTTTCTGGAGTCGAAGCTTGGAAGGACACTGTACACGCCGCGTACTTCAACCGTGTTCAGCTGTCTGCTATTGGACACTACAAGACTCCCGGTATCGGTTACAACTGGTCGGATGGAACAGGCACTCCCTTCTTCTACTTCACCCAGGGTGTGGCCATCTCCGAAGTCGAACTCGACACCATCACCGGAGACCATCGCATCGTCCGAGCCGACGTGCACATGGACATTGGTCGATCTATCAACCCTTCCATCGACGTAGGTCAGATCGAAGGCGCCTTCACGCAAGGCTTCGGTCTGTTCACCATGGAGGAAACCCTCTACCTCAACAACGGACAGCTGGCCACGCGTGGTCCTGGAAACTACAAGATCCCCGCTTTCCTGGATACCCCTACCGACATGCGAATCTCCTTCCTCAAGGTTCAGGATCCAAACAACCCGCGTGTCCTCAAGCACAACAAACACCTCGGTACCATTCAGAGCAGCAAAGGTATCGGTGAGCCTCCGCTCTTCTTGGGCAGCTCGGTGTTTTTCGCTCTCAAACACGCGATCGCCGCCGCGAGAACGCACTACGGAGGTGAAGGCGTCAAGGATGGCTTCCATCTGGTGGCTCCAGCTACGGCCGAGAGGATCAGGGTGGCTATCAACGATCCGCTGGTCAGGTTGGCAGAGGAGACAACGCCGAGGAAGGATGGCGAGAAGTCGTTCTTCGTCAGCATTTCGTAAATGAGGATGTACAGTTTCGAGCTGATTGCTTTTGTATGTATTCTTCCAAGGAATTTTCAGTACGATCGGTGCGGTCCAATATGTGCCAGACGGGGTCTTTCGAGACTTTGGCTGTGACTCGGGAGAGGTGAACTACTCCTTCACAGCGTTTAATTTGCCGATTGTCGGCGTGGTGGTCGCACATAGTGAAAAATGAGGATGGTTTGAGCTTGAATCAGTCTGAGCCTGCGATCGCGGCCACTGCTCGACCAGGGAGGTGACTCATGTGAACTCATAACGAAGTGGGCTGAACTGTCATCTCTCGTTGTGAGCAGTCACTCGAGCGCAGCACTTATCTAGAGATACTGAATGAAATGCACGAGGTATTGATACAAAGACGCTACTGTAGGCTTCTGATATTGACCAGGGCAGCAGCAGACGCTGTACGCGCAACTGGAACCGACTATTGAGGCGTGTACAAGCTGGAAATGGGAGGCAAGGTTGGTCTGTTTGGGTTGTGCGAGCTCGAACTGGATGAAGACGAAGATGACGAGGGCGAAGCGTTCGCAGTCATCCTAGCTGCTTCAACGGTGTGAAGCCTGCTGATGCTTCCTCTGTGTCCAGCAGAAGGGGGAGCAGCGATGTAGTCGGCTTCGGATTTGATGTAATTTTCCGGACTAGCGGCGGCGGAAGAGGACAAAGGTCGCTCGTTGGGCGTGACTTCGCCAGCGGATGAAGTAGGGGTGGAAGCGAAGCCTTCCCGACCTGCGGAGGTGGAAGTGTTCACGGAAGAGGACGACGAACGGAACTCGAGGCTGGGTCGATAGCGATCGTCCCGAGTCCCGGATGAAAGCGTGCTTCCGTCAGTGCTGGCGTGAATCTGTCCGTGTCCATGTGCGTAACGGTGAGATTCCTCGTCCTGATTCCATGTAGAGCGCGAAGGAAGGTGGAGTTGAGGGTGAGGTGGAAGGTGAGAGGCGGACAGATGCAAGTGAGGGATTGGGTACGATCGCGATGGGGGTTGCGCTGAACTAGCAGCACCTGATCGCGAGAGACTCGGCAATTGGGGAGCACCCTTCTCAACGCCTCGGAAAGTAGGACTGAGTCGAGGCCCGGGATGAGTTGCGAGAGGAGGCAACATCCCCCCGACGTACTCGCGACGATCCTCAACAGCCAGGACTGCACCATGTTCGCCCAATTGAGCGCGGTGTGCGATCGGCCTGACCAGCTGTGCCTGCGGATAGTCACCATACTGCGATTGCGACGGCGCTGTCGAAGCATAGACGGGAGGGCGACTGTCGAACTCTCCTGCAGCGTAACTCTGTCTTCTGGCGGCGGAGATCGACCTTTCATCTCCGTAGTAGAAATCTTCGGGCGACTTGCGCTTCTTGGGATTCTGCTTGTCGTTCGCCTTTCGCAGCTTGTACTTCATACCTCTGTCGACCAATGCATCCATCAATGCGGATGAGGCCGACAGGCCGGGATGCTTCCTTCGCTCCTGCACCTCGAATGCGTCGCTATAGACGGAAGCAATCTTGAAGATGCGAAGACCCACACGATCAAAGAGGTCGAACCTCAAACGATAGACACCACGGTTGCGTACGCCGAGCTCCTTGAACACGAAGAAGCTTTGGTCTTCGCGTGTGTCGATGCGCGAGTTGAACGGGCTCTGCAAGGTGTCCCCGACGAGAGGCTCGATCCGACGTGCGTCGGGAAGGCACTCTTCGCTAGGTGCATCGCCTCGAACTAATTGGGCGCGGATGAAGACTTCGGGAAGTGAAAGGAGCTGTTCATCACCAGAACGATCGATGAGGAGCTCGCAGACGGGGGGCGGGTCGAGGGGGACGGATCGTGCGGTACGAAGCGACATCTGGCTGTTTCCGATCGCGAGACCGCGTCGAGGTTGTTGTCGGATGACCAGAGAGAAGCGAGGTTCTTGTCGTCGAGTATCGCCGTACATGGAGAGAGCCTGGCTGACACTTGGCAGGAGAAGCCAGTCGGATCGGTTGGCAAGCGATGCCGATGCTGACGTCGAGGCTTCAGCGCGAGGTGCACGGTAGCTCAGCTGCTGCGACATGCGGCGGTTCGGAAGAGGTGGTGCGTCCAGAGTCGCAGGTGGCGAGCGCGAAGGTCCAGAGGCATGAGCCCACCCGGCATCGCGCTGCTTGTGCTGCTGTTGATGCGGCGAATAGCTCTGTGCATGCCTGACGGGATCAAGGTGCTTCGCAGAGCGGGCGTCGAAGGTGTTGTGCTGTCGGCTGGAAAGTGATGGCAGCGTCAAGGCATGGTCTTGTCCACCGCGAAGTGGGAATCGAAGACTGCCCTGGTCATGGTACCGATCGTCCATCGGATCTCTTGTTGCGGGCTTTGAAAGTCCGTGCGACCAGCTAGGAAGCTGGTGGTTCGAAAGAACGGCGGTAATGGTGAACAACTAGGCCGCCGTGGTGCGACCTGTCTGATATTGGAGAGGAGGTTTGAGGGATACGTGCAGCTTATCTGGATGCAATACTGCCTTTGCTAGTCCAGGCCGAGTCGATCTAGTTTGCTACTGGAAGGGTGTTGCGAAAGTTGCAATGAACGGCGACAGGTATGTAGAAACGAAGGAGCGTCAATGATGATGGTTGTTTGATGAGCAGTTAGATAGGATCGTCGGGAGACCTGACGCAGAGCTGATGGTGAACAGGGGCGAAGAACGCTTCGGTGACAGGTGGTAGAGGCTAAGCAAGCAAGGCCAGCCCCACTAGCAAGCCACGTCCACAACGACGGTCTTGGTACGCTAGCTACGCGCCCAGCACTGTTTGGTAAAGGGTACACATTGACAGACGGCGAATGGTTGGTGAGGCATGGCAGCTCTGTTTTGGTCATTGTACCAAAGAAAGGAGGAACATCGATCTGGCAGGCGAATCGCAGGACGAGCTTGGAGACGGGTGCAGCCAGCTTCTGAGTCAAGACCGGGAAAATGCAGGTGCATATGTCCAGGGTTCCGGTCCGAGTGTCAAGGGTGCAGCATGGGTCCAGCCGCTTCCAGCGGGAACTCAAGACGGACGAGGCTGGAACTGGGGGACGTCGGACTCAAGAGAGGGAGGCAGAAGGCGGCGATGGGGTCGGGGGAAGGGGGGACCCAAACGGCGTCCGCTTCGAGAAAGGCGACACCCCAAGGTCCCAGCTTGAGGAGAGGATCTAGGCCCTCGACGGATTCACAATGGCGGACAGAATCAGGTGTTTCCACGCGACTCAGCGTACCACAAAGTCGGTAGAAGCACGGATACCGTTTTAAGATCCGCACGAGGATGGCATTGCACCATTTCTGGAACAGGTACCGAAGCAGTGTGGCTGATGACCCGCGCATGAATCGGAATCCGACAGCAAGCGAGCGCCAAATTCGACAGCTGTGGAACTGGACATGCTGATTCACGGCGACCCATTCCCCACTTGACCAAGTCCGCCCAAAGCATTACATCCTCCGCCATAAAGAAGAACAAATCCTCGCCGCCTTTGGACCGTAAAGAGCATCCCATTGAAACGCAAAGCCGCGCAGCCAGACTAGATGTCTGCTCCGTCAAGTTCAGGACAGGCACCGAGCGGCACTGCACGGCAGCCTTAACTTGGCTCGAACATACTCTAAGTCACGCGCTGAAGTTTGAGATTCTTGAACAGAAAATTGGAAGATTGGAAATCGGAACGCCGCGCAAACGGCGAATGGAATTCTTGAGCCTCGCGTAACTTGCAGATGTAGCGTGAAGGGGAGCTGTGAATCTGGGCCCAGACCGAGACATCCCCGCCTCAAGTCCGTCCTCTCCGTTTAACCTTTGGCGGGTTCCCGTGCCAGCGTCCTCTGCCACAGCTGCTCCTTCCACAGCTGGAAGACTACCGGCAACGCCGATACCTCGGGTAGCGATGTTTCGTGCCTAGGAAAGCACATCATTCTGACATTTCTCAGGTAAGTGGGGAGGATGCCAGGTCAGTTTGTGGGCATAAAAGTCCTTCTATCGATGTGCCGCTCCGCCAACGCGGTCGAACGCGGCCAAGGTCAAGATGCCGTTTCCGAAGCGCAAATTTGCGCATCCCCACGTTTTGCACTGCGATCCACTCCGCTCGACAATGTATTCGAAGCTCAGATCAGGCTGTAGGCTCACGACGACATGCGAGATCGGTCCAAGATTGAGACTGAGTAAGGCCAGGCCCAGTTTCGTTGATGCAGGCGTGATCCGATCCGCGTATGCGGTGATTAAAGCAGAGCAATACGTTGGCAGAGCACAAAATTCTAAAGCCCGACGGCGTTCCACATGGGATTCCAAAGCAGCCCGCGTGTCCACGAGCAGCCGCGCATGGCGAGACTACAAGTTGCATGCATGTCGAAAATCCTGTGCTTTTGAAAAGGCGCGTCTTGTGTAATCCAAATACAAACCTAGCTCGCATCGTTTGTATTCGGGAGTCTAGACCGTACGGATCTTGTTCCGACCAAACTGGCCCGAAAGTTGGAAGGCCGGAAAGCCATTCGGGAGGCGTCAAACGGAGTGCATGTTTTCCATGCGGAGGACTTGAGAAAGCACAGCTGCTGCTCATCGCCGGTTTTCTTCGTGCCCCAGGGTCTTTGAAGGCGAGAAAACTAAGTCGCACGCAAGTGTCTGCATCTCGAATTCCGTTATGGACTCAAGATGGGCCTCTTTGAAGAGAACGTGACTTTGTAAGAACGGTCGTACGTCTGCTGAGGCATCTTCGAGGTTCGTTGTCTGCGTGGTCATTGAGAGCGTCCGCGATGCTTCACGTAGCTGGCAGGGGCATCGACCGGTCGGCGGCTCGAGCAGCAAAGGTCTGTCCCCATGGACTTTTGCTTGGCTTAGAAAAGAGCCTGCTCATCGTCAATGCTGCCTCTGGTTTGTGTCTGTTGGGATGCGAGCGCTGAACGAAGGCGAATCAAGCCAAAGTCCGAGGCAATGTCCAGAAAACAAAGCCGCCGAGAGTGCTTGCTGACGGCGACCGGAACCTGAATTTGCAATGCGCATCGACCAGAATCCGATCTTTGTGCCACGGGACGACGATCATGCCATCTCGCGCGCATGTACCCTTATCGTTTCATGCTTTTTCGACGGCCGATTGGTACTGGTACCCTCGTCGGACCTAGCACGCAGAGTGGAGCCGCTGCATCGTACCGTGGGATCCATCCTATCGAATCCCCACCAAAGCTCGTGGATTCCTGCCATCAGTTTCACCCGATCTAGCATATTGATCGGGTCTCATCGGCAGGCCAGATCACGACATCTTTCCTTCGCTCGAAGAAAACTTCACGTGCGTGTGTGTAAATGTCAGGGGATGCTACCATGTTCGTGATTGCTGGGTATAAATGGAGCTGAGAAGATGTCGTGTGCGGACGAATGGGGTCTCCCGTTGGTCATACGCCTCAAAGGCTGGTTGTATGACCGCGCAGGAACGCCGAAACAGCATCAGCGGTCCAGCAATTCTGCTCCATTCGTCGCCGCTGTCGTTCTTCTAGATGTGCTGCTCTGGCTTCAGCGCCATCTTCAGAATCGTCATCGCTGTCTCCGTCTGAGTCATTTCCTTCCTCTTCCTTCCCTGCATCATCTTCCCCTTGGTCTACGGCGGCTATGCGTTCGCGTACATTCAAAACGTTGCCTTCTTCGTCGGGAGCATTTCGAAGGTGATACCAGATGCGCAACGCCCGAAGCGCCAGCGTGTCGTGCCTCGATATCTCATCCTGGATGTCTTCGAGCTCGGCATTCACGTCGCCCTGAAAGTCTGCCGCTGTGGACGCATCGTAGCTTTCGACCAGCCTGCTTTCTTCTTTGAGGATGTCGGCCTCTGGTGCTGTTCGGAGCAGAGCGCCGAGGAAGTTGATGTGTTCTTCAGAAATGGGAAGCACTGGATGTGCGAGCAGAAGCGGCAGTGGATTGTTGCGATCGTAAAAGCTGAGCTCTGGCAGACCGTCGGCGGTAGCCTTGACGCCGTCATCGGCAACGCCACTAGAACGACCTGCGAGAATGCCTCCAAAGAGCGTAGATGACTCTGCTGCATCGGCATACAGGTTTGCGTTGGTTGCTTCGGCTTCGAGTACCTTGTTGAACGACGCGAGCTGCGACGGCAGGAAATGAGGCGAGGCCGACAGGAGGGAAGAGGATAGCGAATAGGCGTGGGAGAGCAAATTGGTGTACCGATGCAGCAGCGCTGGCCATTCATCCATTCCCGGCACCACCGAGATCTCTTCCTTCAAGCCCACTATGGACGACAGCAGTGATTCGAACCTTTGCAAAAGGATCTGCAGGTGCTCGACTGGGATTTGCGCTCTTGGCAGCGTCGGAGCAGCCGACATGGCTGCTGCTGCGGCTGCTGCCTCGTTTGCTCTCTTCGATGCCATGGTGAGCGTGTGCTGCGTTGCTGATCGGACGATCCGGTGTCTTCGGTTCTTGCAATTCCGTTTGCACGTGCCGAGCTCGAGCCAGATGTTGACGTCTTTGTCGGCGCCGCCGAGCTGTCGGGCGGGGCGATCACCACCGAGTAGACGTCATGGGAAGGCCCTCAGGTGCCGATCTTTCCGTTTCTGCAATTGTAGCCGGTTTCTAGGTGCAGAAACACGATTCCAGAGCGTTGGTGGTGTCCAGGCGCGATCGACGATTTGGGGTTGTTGGAAGAAGTCGGGATAGCGGAATCGCGCACAGATCTACGGCAGTCTAAATTCCCGACTTCGGAAAAGCCGCGCGGTGAGGGTGGAGAAAACTCGCGCACCACGCAGGTTTGCTTGGCACCTCGGCACCGTGCGCACCGAACGAACGGGTTCTCCTCCACAAGGTGGGATTGGAGAGTCCTTCTTGAAGTGCCTCCTTGCCGATCACAGGTCCGAGATCAAGGCAACATCTGTCTATATAGCAAAGGGTATCTGTCGAGACGAGAAAGCGCGTCGAAACGCCTCAAGACTCCGACGGGCGGGGCTCAGCAGCTTCGGGTCAGCCCTGCGAAGTGCAACGACCCAGCAATCGGTTCGAGTTCGCCAGTATTGCGGCGCTTTCTCTGTCCATCCTACCTTCGTTTAGACACGACAAAGCGCAACCCTCGGTATTGATTCGGCGTCTGCCAAGCTGCAGGGCGAGAGGTACTGCTTGCGCTGCGGCATGTCCTCCTCGTGGATAAAGTCGCTTCGCGACAGGGCCGCACAGACCGGTGGATCAAAAGTGCCCGAATCCCTGTACCAGACCGATTGGTCTCGGTCGTTGGCGAACGCTCAGCTCAGCAGCGCTGGTACCTTCAATGAGGGACTTCTCGCTGGTCTCGCCCTCCCAGGCGAGGTCACCGCCATGGCTTTCGACCCCGTTCAGGGTTTCCTTGCCGTCGGCACCACCCTCGGCACCATTCACCTCTTCGGATCGCCCGCTGTACAGCTGGCTTTCTCGCTTCGACCAGCTCACAAAGTGAACCATCTTGCCTTCAAGTCAGATACTGGCCTGCTGGTCTGCATCGATGAGAAGGATAACATCAGCATCTACGACTTGTCACGACCCGACCCGCAGATCAGGGCCGCCCATGGATCGTCCAGCAATCAGTACCGCGCTACGAGCGCTGCGACAGGACACAGCATCGCAGGTCCGCCCCATCCTGACACACCACAGCGAGTCGGAATGCATACCGTGCGCAACAAGGTGATGTGCATCGAAGTGTCGTCCGCCCATTCTCATATGTTTCTCGGTCTCCGCGACGGCACCGTCGACGCCTTTGACCTCGATCGAATGTGTCCATCTCCGTACCGAGTTCCCAATCTTTGGTGGGAGGAGGAAGAGATTTTGCGCAAGTCTGGCGTTCCGGATGCACCCAACCGTCGCCACATTCCACTGATCATCGACATCAAGACTCATCCCAAGGATATCAACCAGCTGCTCTTGGCCTATGAGGGAGGTACCATCCTGCTCGACATTCGTGAGCGTGCCGTCCTCAAGACTTTCCAGCTACGACTGCTGCCAGGTGCGCTCGGAGCTGGTGGCAACGCCGACTCGGTATGGACAGAACGTGCACCTCCAGCCACATGCATCGCATGGCGACCGGATGGCGAAGTCTTTGCCATGGGCCATGAAGACGGCTGTATCTCTTTCTGGTCTATACGCGACGATGACAAGCCCATCATGGTCCGTACTTTGGATCACCTCGACGTGGAAAGACCCGTCACGGATCCAGCTCTCTTGGAGGTGCGCCGGCCGCCAACGGAACCCATCTTCAAAATGACATGGTCTGCATTTCCCGAAAAGGGCTGGATCGACATGGCCAGTCAAAGTGCCGCTGGCTGGCAGTCGCAGCCGCGTCAACGCCATTCCTCATCAAACGACCCCACCGGCGACACAGTCAAAGGCACGGTGCTCACCGTTCTGGGTGGTGCCAAACCTGGCATAGACTCGTCCGGTCTTTTCACAGCCAACCTCCCTTCCTACAGCAGCAGCCTCACTCTGTGGGGAGGTGGCTCGGCCGAAACCAACCACAAGCTACGTGTCTCTCTCCACGATTCGCTGATTCCAACCTCCGAAGCTGTCTACCCCACACCGAGCGTCGTTGAGGATTTTATGTTGCTGCCCAAGAGCAACCCGCACTATTCCGGCGCCTACGATCCTTCGGCGGTTGTGATGCTCCTCGCAGCCGACCCAACTCTGCCGACCTTGCCACCACCTGCTGCCGCGCGCGGCCTTATTTGCTATGCATTTCCTCCTCAGCCACGATCGTCCGCCCCCGCACCACAACCAGCACTCGGCTCCGAACAGGAACAACACCATCGTTTTGAGGCCTCTCGTCACAGTCCACAGAAGGAGCTACATCTCCCTTTGCCTCTTACGTTGTCGGGCGGAGGCGCCATCCTTGGTGCCAAGCTAGAAGAACTGGCACCTCATGCCTACCGTAAGCTGGTCGGCCCTCTCGATGTGACGGGCCTAAACCAGAAGCAAGAACAGGAGGCTGCTGCTGCCGCACTGCGCTCATCATACAATGACAGCAAGCCACTGCTCAAGTTGGCTGGAGGCAAAGCTTCGGCGTGTTTGTCCGGCGACGGCACCGACGGCATCCCGGATCTGCTGCGCGCAGCTAAGTTCCGCATCCTTCTCACGTGGCATCTCGACGGCACCGTGCGATTCTATGATGCAAGTCCGCACTTGCTCCTAATGGGCGAAGTCGATGAGGCAGAACTGCGCAATCGCTCAGGAGCCCGACGCGTCTGGCTGCAGCAGGGCTTCCCTTCGCCTTTAGCTCACCTGACCATCGACATCAGAAATCTGTTGCGCGATCCTTCGATGGTGGGTCATCCCTCTTTCGATCGAGCCCGTGGCAGAGCCAGTATACAAGACGTACACTTCGCTGCCGAAGTCCTCGAGGCCACTGTGGCTCTGTCTACGGGACAATTGGTGCATTGGCGCTTTGGATTTGCTCAGCTGAGCGAAACCGAAGCCATTCACGAACAAGTCGAACAAGACATCCTCAAGGAGGAAGCGAACCTCGCGATTCCGCCTGTCACAAGTCCGCGTCAGGCAGGAAGATCCTCGCTTTCCCTTGCTTCTCCACGTTCCTCGACCGCCGCTGGCTCGTCGAGTCTTCTTGATGCCGAGATGTCACAAGCTATGAGGGAGCTGGGCGTTGAGAACGGCCGCGATAATACAGCAGGCGGGATGCCGTTTGACACGGCTGCTTCATCCGCCCACGGCGCAGAGCCCTCTACAGGTGTCCCACCACCTCGCCCGCGACGGGACCCCAAGAGACTCAGCAAGCCTGACATGCCCGATAGCAGTTCGGCTCATGGTTTCGCTAGTCAAAATGGGTCGACATCTGCGTATCCAGCGACAGCCTCTTCCTTTGCGCCTCGGGGCCCCAATGACTCCTTACCAGCATCGACGGACCACGACGAAGTCGTCTTCCTTCACCACCTCGCGGATCCTAGGCACGACGGTTTCAAGCCCAACCTGATGCTCGATCCTATGCGAGGTGAAGTTTCGGCGTTTGCCGCTAGCAATATCGGCTTCGTGGCGGTGGCTTGTGGGACGGCATTAGCCGTCCTGGACTTCCGCAGTGCCGAACTAATTCTCAAAGATGGATTCGGCGACCAGCACGACACTGCACATGGCGATCATGTCGATGACAAGGCCCTGCGCAAGACGTTGGAGGCCGAATCGAGGAGTCCGATCGTTCATCTCACCTTCAGCGTCTGTCGCGTCGCTCAGGATCCAAGTCTAGCTCCGCGTCTCATCGTGGTGCGTGCGAATGGACTGACCACTGTTTGGACGCTGCAGAGGACGCTCGACATGTGGCTGGCAGAGCGCACAATCACGCAAAAGCTCGAGGAGATGAGCGAGATCCGAGGTGTCCGTATTCTCGATCTCGACGGTCGAAGTCGTGCGGCTCTTCCCAATGATCTGCAACAAGCTTTGCGAGAGCAGGAGTATGGTCCGGTTGGGACCATGGCCGAATCTTCGCTGCCGCCTGCCGACGTACTTTTAGGCTTCACAGATCGGCAAGTGACTCTTCGGTACGGTGTCACCGGATCTGTCGTTGCTCGGGCCGAAGTAGGAGAGCAAGTATTGGGTTGTGGCGTCATTGAACGATTCCAAGACAAGGTAGCCGCGGTAGTTACGCAGACGAGCATCCGACTGTTCAGCCTCCCTCGACTGGAAGCAATCGTTCGTCTACAACGGCACCATCGTACGGTCGGCGAGGTGCAGAGCAGGAAGCCGTCCATCTCGCTTGACCCGCACGGTGATTTCGTCGAGGTCTGCAGCAGCCTCGACGTGCGTCTCTGGACCACGTTTGCGTCTCTGCGACGACCAGGTCAGCCGAATCTGACGCTGTTCAACCCGGCACGCAGTCACGCGATGCCGGTGCACCCAGGGGCTGCAGGATCAGCAGCCGGAGTTGCGACCAGCATCGCGGGTTGGTTCGGGACCAAGACGACGGGAGTGCTCTCGGTCGGTGCGCAGATGGACGGGGTGCTTGCGGGTCCCAAGCGGCCGGACCCGCCGAAGCTTGGCGAGGCGCTGCCACCACGCGATTATCGACCGCCTGCGGAGCCGGCCGCACAGGAGCAAGGCGGACGAGAGCGCGTGGAGGAGCGCGCTGCCGGGTCGAGCCTGCCCGCGGTGAGAAGGGATGCGAGCAAAGCCAAGGCGGTCGCCGCGTCGACGGAGTCAGCATGGCAGACGGGTTACCAGAACATCGATCTTCTCAAGGCACGTGGCGCCATGATGAGCGGCATCGAAGACGGATTGACATCGCTGGAACGCGGAGCAAGCGACTTCCTGAAAAGCACGCGCGAAGCAGCCGTCAAAGGCGCTGCCAAGGATAAGCTCAACAAGATGTTCTTCTGAACGCGACGCATTCGAAGCCCAGCATTGCGTCTATGGCAGAACGGTGCGGCTTGAACACTCACGGACTGTTGCAATCGAGGATCGGCACCATCTAAGCGCCTGTGCGAAGTGGACTCAGTCTGCCAAGAGGGTCTCTCCGACGTCAAGAAGAGAACGTGGCCTTGCGAGAGACGCCCCGAATCCGGCCGCTTTCCATGCCCAGACCATTTTCATTGGCAACGTGCACGGCTAGCTCCATCGGAAAAACAAAATTTTATCCCATTTACTATTATTTTATATTTACAAACCTTGCTTGCTGAATGCCCAAGAGAAGCCAACGCGGCCTCTTGCGTTCGCACAGGAAGCCACCACAAGTCGAATCGTCATGAGATTCACTCACGGTTGGATCGTCAAGCGCTTTGGCTCCAGTTTTGAAATCGGCTGTCTGCGTTGAATTGTTCCTGTATTGTAACCCCAAACACAACCGGCAGAATTTTGTACATTCGGTGCTGCGCGTTACCTGTTGTGCCGCCGCTTGAGGGTTCGCTTAGCGGTTGGAGGCAGGTGAGAGAAGCCATTTTCGGTGGACCCTCGATCCTCAATGTTGTGCCGCTTCAGCTTGTAATTGTTAGGCGAATTGCCCATTTCTTCTCTTTTCTGGGACCTTTTTTGCCAAGTCAAGTCGAGTCCCAGAGACGCCACTTTGCTGTCGGCGACGTACCCTTCGGCACAGCAGACAAGGCTCCAACCCCGTTGCCCTCGCTCCATAATCGGCGTTGTGCGGGTCGCTTCCGACAACAACCACTTGAGCTCGCGCCACCCGCTGACCCACACGACAGTCGCTTGCAAGCATTTTTGCGTAGAAGATGCGGTGAACATCACCAGCAACACTTCAACCTCTCTCTCACCATCTAGATCGTCACGACCACCATCAGCACCACGTGTGCCCGCTTGCGTCGCACAGAGCTGCGACACCGCCTCCCGCACCAATCCGATCCTTGGCTTCCACCTGCCCGTCGTAGCGTCCACTGGGCGCGCTCGTCAGGATGAAGTTCGGCAAGACGTACATGGAGACCATGGCGGATCCCGCCTTCCCCGAGGAGTGGAGGAACGGCGCTCTCGAATACAAGCATCTCAAGAAGCTCATCAACGGTGTCGTAGCCGAGCTCGAGTCCATTGGTCTCGGTGCCGATGTCTTGAGAGAGCTTCTCATCCGCCCAGAGGGCGATGGCACCGATTCGCCATACGACTCGCCAAAGTCCAAAAGCAAGCCGCTTCCCGGTCACCTCGATGAGGCAGAGTCTGCACTGGCAGATGATTCGGGAAACAGCTCAGAGCAGGAGGATCAACACGAGGCGTCGGACAAACTCACTCCCGCCGGAAAGTGGGTGAGCGACTTTTCGGTCGACATGATTCGCAGGGCCTCATCACCGGGCAGAACAGCTGCTGACACGGATGCCAACAGTACAATGGTCATCGAAGCAACCGATGCTCCAACAAACGTATCGCAAGCCAGCGAGTCTCGTAAGCCGCAGAATGAATCCAACTTCCTGCTTCTACCCACCTCTCCCAAGCCGCGCAGCTTGAGTCACGGTGTCGAAGAGATCAGCTCCTCGTTGGCCGACGCCCATTTGCAGTCGGATGCGCGCGGTCGCGCTTCTTTCAGCGTCGGCTCTCCGTCAGACTCGAGCAAGTGGGCAGGGCTCGGACGCAAGGATTTGGCGGCCATGGGTCTGAGCAAAGGCGCCTCTGATGGCAATGCTACAGCAGGCTCCAGTCGGTCTCACGAGCCCAGTCCAGGTCGTCACGATTGGAGCGCCAGCAAGTGGAGGGAAGAGGCCAAACTAGATTGGGATCCCAGCTCCAACCCGGCCAAGAACGGTCGATCTATGCTTTCGCCGCCTGCGACTTCACGCACCGAGAAGAGCGTGAGCCCTGCCAGGCATCGATGGGTCGAAGGCAAGTTTGGTCGACGCGCGCGGGCTGAATACGAGCTCGGTGGAACGCCAGATCACCCAGTACCACGCATTCGGCTTTTCGTCGAGTCTCCCCTCCCATCGGATGACGAGGGAGACGACGACGATGCAGACGAAGCCGACGCTGGCAGCCTCTCGGACGACAATAGCAGCCGCAAGAGTCTGGAAGAGCAGATCATCGAGCTTCCGGCCACCCCGACTCGACGCTTCTCGACCATTCCAGAGGACGGACCGGAAGGCGAGACGCGAGAGCAGAAGGTTCAACGTCAGACCGAGATCCGTCGCAAGCGCGGTACCCGCTCGCGCGAGATTGTCATTCCGCTCACAGCCGACACGCAGTTCTTGGACACGCTGACGCACGCGCTGCAGAATCTTTCCAACATCCAGACGCACCAGCGCGAGAGCTTTGTGGCCGAGACCGAGTCGCTCTGTTCTGCGATTGCACGCGCCTCGAGTCCGTTCGCTTCCAAGAACGACCTGTACGTGTGGAGGGAGATCTTCGGCCTCTGGGTGGACATGCAGGTGTTTGAAAGTCAACGCGAAAAGGATCGCGGCGAGCTAAGCATAGATGAGAGCGAAGCTCGATTGAAACGGTTTGCGCTCGAGCTAGCCAAGCGCGGCTGGATCCACGATCCGAACTCGCCAGCGCCCACCGCGAGCAAAAAGGGTCGTCTGGTCAAGCTCAAGCTCGGATCGGGACCTAGCAGCCAGGGTCTGCACAATCAGGCGAGCGCAGCGGCGATCGAGGATTTCCTGCGTCTCAATTTTGCGCTCCTCGATGTCAAGAAGTTCCAGCGCGTGAATGTCGAGGCAGCACGCAAGATCCTCAAGAAGCACGACAAGAGGACGGCCTTGACGGCGAGCAACGATCTCCGCGCCTTCATGGCGCAGCAGGAGGCCGCTCGACGTGCAATGGGTATCAACCCTGTTGGATCCGGTGGTGTCGTCACCCTTCCGGCGTCTGCACTGGAGCCCCCGTCGAACGGCAACTCGACTGCGCTTGTCTCGTCGACAGCGCACCCCTCTCTTGCGGCTCTGCTACCGTCGGCCACTACAGGTATCTTGTCCGAATCGCTACCCCACATCCTTCTCTCGCTGGTCACCACAACGCTTCTGCCCATCTTGCCGTCGGTGGACGACTACAGCTGTGCCATCTGCACGTCAGTGGCGTGGAGACCGGTGCGACTCGACTGTTCGCACCTGTTTTGCTTGCGATGCCTCGTCAAGCTGCAACGACAAGGCAAGGACGACTGCCCGCTTTGCAGAGCGCCAGGTGTGGTCAAGACGGCGGACCGCAAAAACATGGACGAGGAAGCCGACAAGTACCTGCAGACTTGGTTCCCTCAGGAGGTCAAGGAGAAGAACAAGGAGAACGAAAAGGATCGTCGACAGGAGGATCTAGAGGCTATGGGGCTGCGGGAGAAGGATTGTGTGATTATGTGATCGTGGTCATGGGATGCTCTGCGTTGTGGACATGTATCAAAGAATACCCCGTTTTGTCTCGTCCAAGATGAACTAAGTTTGCGTTCCGTTAAGAGTGTGTCGAGCCACAGCCGAAAGGTCGGCGAGTGAGAGTCAGCCTGCATTGATTGACCGTGCTTCTAGATACAACAGGTATATGTAGCGTACTCAAAGTGCGTCGAACATCTGCGGCCACAGGAAGTTGAAAACACCGCATCCCGTCCGATCTGCGAAGTTAAGCAACTTACCGCCTAGTCAGTACTGCGGTGGGGGACCACGCGGGAATCCTAGGTGCTGCAGTTCTTTTTCTTCTTTTTTCCTCTCTCGAGTGGAGGAGAGAACTGCCGATTCAGGGTCCACACAGCTTTTGGCTTCCAAAATTTTGCCTCTCGTTGCTCACATTTGCGTTCTTCGCACACCCTTCCATCTCGATATCACCACTTGATCACCCTGTCCCTCTGTCCGCTGTCACACCCTCGGATCATCCGAGCTGGCGTTCAAGATGAGTGTTATCCCGAGCATACCGTCGACCTCGGCGAACGCGCCTACACAGCTTCGGACCGCACCATCCTACGCCGGGCGGTGGACCAAACTCTCCCCACCTCTTACACCATGGATCCTCTGGCTACTCTCGGATCTTTCCTTCGCACAAATGACACCTGTCCAAGCATCTACAATCCCCCTCTTTCTTGCGCACAAAGATGTCGTTGTCGAAGCGGTGACGGGGTCGGGAAAGACGTTGGCATTCGTGATACCAGTGTTGGAGATGTTGCTGAGACGATCGACGAGGTTGAGAAAGGACGAAGTTGGTGCGTTGATCGTGTCTCCGACTAGAGAGTTAGCGGAGCAGATCCACAAGGTGTTGATGATGTTCCTCGATGCACAGTCTTCAGCTGACGAGAAGGAGGAGGAGGAGGAAGCGGAAGCAGAGGAGGAGGAGACAAGTGATAGTGACAGCGATTCCGACTCGGCCACTGTCAGGCAACCGAAAGAGACAAAGACCGCTAAACGCAAATCCACGCGAATCGCAGGATCGCAACTCGTAGTGGGAGGATCAAAATCGACACCCCTCGACGACTATCGACTGTTCCGCGACAGCGGGCCGGACATCTTGGTGGGAACGCCAGGACGACTTGAAGAGCTTCTCTCCAAAAAGGGCGTCAAGAAGTCCTCCCTCGAAGTTTTGGTCCTCGACGAAGCAGACCGACTACTCGACCTCGGTTTCACCGAGAACTTGCGTCGTATCCTCTCTCTTCTACCGAAACAACGACGGACAGGTCTGTTCAGTGCAACAATGACAGATGCGCTCTCCGAGCTCGTGCGTATGGGTCTACGAAATCCAGTTCGAGTGGTAGTCAAGGTCGAAGCCAAAACCAAATCCGTCGGTTCTGACGAATCAAGGAGAACACCCGCAAGTCTACAGAATCTTTACCAAGTCTCAAGACCAGAGAATAAGCTAGCACAGCTCGTAAGGATCCTGCTGTTCGAAAGCAGTGACAAGGGGATGAGTGGTGGTGCACGCAAGTTCATCGTCTACTTCAGCACCTGCGCCCAGGTCAACTACTTCCATTCGGTGTTCAGTCAACTGCCCATCCTCAAGTCACACTCTGTGACGCTATTTGCACTGCATGGCAAGCAGACACCTTCAAAACGCAAATCGCAGTTCGAAGGTTTCGTAACCAGCACGTCTCTCGATTCCGGGAGTGGGGCTGGGGGTGCAGCCAGCGTTTTGTTCTGCACCGATGTTGCGGCCAGAGGACTGGATCTGCCGGATGTAGAGGTGGTTGTGCAGTACGATCCACCGACGGATCCGAAGGTTTTCTCGCACAGATGCGGTAGGACTGCAAGGGCGGGAAGGAGAGGTAGGGCGATCGTCATGTTGCATTCGGGGAGGGAGGTAGATCTAGTCAACTACATGGGGGTGAAGAGGATCCCACTCGCCCCATATCCGTACCTTTCCGCGGGGCTGGAAGGTGCGGTGGAAGACGAAGAGGTTGATGCGTCGGCAAGGGAGTTGGAACTGACAATTCGGGAGATGGCCAAGAGCGACAGGGAGATCTTCGAACAATCGATTCGTGCCTACGTCTCCTACGTTCGAGCGTACAGCAAGTACGAGATGTCGTACATCTTCAGGTTGGGCGATTTGGATTTGGCAGGCGTAGCGAAAGCATTTGGATTGATCAGGTTGCCGAGTATGCCCGAGTTGAAGGCGAGAAAGGCGTCCAAGGAAGGACTGGAGTACGACGAAGAACCAATGGACTTCGCCACAATTGCCTTCAAAGATAAAACGAAGGAGAAAGCTCGGTTGGCCAAATTGGAGGAAGAGAAGGCGAAAGCCACTCGCAAGCAACAAGACGCCGAAAACGACCTCAGCGACGACAGCTCCGACGATTCCGACTCTGCCTCAGCAAAGCTCAACGGCAAAAAGAAGCGAAAAAGGATCGAAACACCCGGCGGAGCGTGGTCAGCACAAAAGGAGCGAAAGGAGGCACGACTGCTGAAGAAAGAGAAGCGTGCGCGCAAACGTACCCTCCTCAAACAGCAAGCTTTCCAAGCCGCCACCGCCGAAACCAAGCAAAACCGACCCGCCACGCACGGCCCCAGCGAAGACGACGATGAGGAAGAAGACTGGAACGAGGAATATCGCAAGCTTCAAAAGGACAAACGTCAACAGCGACAGCGCAAACACAACGCTGACGACGACGACGACGACGCCATGGGCTTCAACAACGACAGCGACGATAGCAACCCACCCGCCGCCGATGCGGAACCATTCTTTGTCATCTAACCTCCTCGCACCGCACACTCAATTGCACACCTCATTCCGTGTCTCTCTCACACACACTCACACACATCCCCTTTTCCTCTTTCGCGTGAAATCCTGAACTGTCGAGAGCCCAGCAAAGCTGCATCAAAGAGCCTGTTGCGGTAAAAGTACATCGTGTGGCAAAATCAATGCAATGGCTGTAACGATCCGTCTATAAAAATGGGAAAGCGAACCAGAGGAGATAAGGAACAGAAGATAAAGAAAGAGAGGCTGAGAACAATGACACGGAGAACAAAGCCATAACAAATGAAAGGACAAGGAATGCAAAAGGAGAAGCCAGTGGAATAGTATGTGGTGTGGTCGGTGACGAGGGCGATAATGATGGAATATAGCGAGCGTCTTTACGTGGTTACGTGAATGTGGCCGCCCTCGGCCTCAGTCACCTCTTCGGCCTCCTTCTCCGCCACAGAGTCTTCCATCGCTACGCCGAGAGAGGGGCCATCTTGACCGTCTTCCATCGCGCGCACTACTTCGCCCTCGAGATCGCGTCCCAATCCGCCCTGTTCGCGCGACGAGCGACGCACGATCAACGGGGGCTTATCCGCCATAGCCACGTCGGGCGCAGAGAGAATCTTGGGTGCCGGTCGCACCTTGGTCGGTACGGCGTCCTCGGCCACCACCTTGACTGGTCCATGCCGCAAGAGTCGACGTTTGCTGCTCTTGCCTAGCCGAGGCGTCGCCTTGTACTCGTGCTCCGGGCCAGGCGGACCGTCTTCGTCACTCGTAGCAACCGAAGCTTCGTGTGAGAGACTCCCCAAAGTCGAAGTCGATCCACCGATGTCGCTGGTCAGATCAGCGAACTCGACCGAACGAGACGATGAAGCGACAACGGGTGTAGCGGTGCCGGCGATTTCCGAAGCGACGGCTTCGCGTTCGGCGATCGGGTTGAATGAGCCTCGACGTCCGGATTGGATCGAGCGCGGTCCCATCACCGTCTCGGTCGAGTCACGCTCGATCAGCTGAGGCGGCGAGCCAGGCTGACCGGGACCTGGGATGGTGATCTCGAGTCCAGCTTCCGGCTTCTTGACCCCAAAGTAATCGCCGAGCACCGGCGCCGCCACGTATCTCGAGAGACTCTGGCGTGTGGAAGGGTCGAACAGCCATTTGACTAGCGTCGATTCCAGCGCAGCACTCTTGACTGGTTTGGAGAGGTAGTCCGACATGCCAGCCGCCAAGCACTTCTCGCGGTCACCACGGATGGCCGACGCTGTCATGGCGATGATGGGCGTGGTGCGGACATCGACACTGTCCGACTTGCGCAGACGTTTTGTCGCCTCGTAACCGTCGCAGTTGGGCATGTGACAGTCCATCAAGATCAAGTCGTAGGGGTGTTTGCCGACCTCGTCGATCGCCTCGAGGCCGTCCTTGGCGACCTTGCAGCTGAAACCCATCTTCTTGAGCGTCTTGAGTGCGATTTGTGCATTGATGAGGTTGTCCTCGGCGACGAGGATCCAAATGTCCTTTCTAGGTCGTTGCAGAGGATTCTCGCTGACCCCAAGGCTGCTCGTGGCCTCGTCCATCTGGATCTCAGGAATCACCTCGTCCTCCGGTGAGGAGTCGCCGCTCGAATCAAGCGTGCGCACCTTGTCAAAGGGAATGCTGAACCACGCGTTGGAGCCTTTGTTCTCGACCGACTCGAGGCCGATCGTTCCACCCATGAGATCGACGAGGTTCTTGCAGATCGAGAGTCCAAGACCAGTGCCACCAAAGCGACGAGCAAAGGAAGGGTCGGCTTGACTGAACGGTTGGAAGAGCTTCTTGAGCGTGGTTTGCGAGATACCGCAGCCCGTGTCGCGCACTTCAAAGTGAACGTGTAGACTCTTCTGGTCCTCGTAGGTCTCGATGACACGAAGCGTGATGGAACCGGCGGCAGTGAATTTGATGGCGTTGGTCAACAGATTGGTCAGCACCTGTCGCAAGCGACCCGCGTCCCCCACGATCTGCCCTGTAAAGTTGAGCTGACACTCGTTGCGGAATTCGAGTCCCTTCTTCTGGGTTGCAAACGTCAGCATCTTCTGCGTGTCCATAATGACGACGTTGAGGTTGAAAGAGGTCTTTTCGAGATCCATCTTGCCGAGTTCGAGCTTTTCGAAGTCGAGAATGTCGTTGATCACGGTGAGAAGCGCATCAGCTGACCGCTGAATGTTCTCGGCAAAGTCGCGCTGTTCCTGCGAAAGCGGTGTGTCGCAGAGTAGCTCGGAGAGGCCGATGACACCTGCGATTGGCGTGCGGATCTCGTGGCTCATGTTGGCCAGGAACTCGGACTTGATGCGGCTGGCTTCCTTGGCGGCGGTCTCGGCGGCGAGAGCGCGCGACCTCTCGTGCATCGACTCTTCCAGCTTGAGCTCCGCACGTCGACGGTCGGTGATGTCCATCGAAGCACCGACGACGCCGATGATGGCTCCCTCGCTGGCCTCTTGTTCGTACGACTCTTCGCGTTGAGGAGTGTACTGGGTGCGGAACCAGCGGCCTTCGATCTCCATCTCCTGAACGACCGACTCTCCATTGAGGGCACGGCCGATTGCCTCGCGGATACCGGGCGAATCCCACACCTCGTAGATGCTGCGGCCAATCATATTGCGTTGCTGTGAACGCTTTCCGGGGCCGCTCACGGCGCTCTGACTGTTGGTCTGCGACTCGGCGTCCTTACCCTCTTCGCTGCGGCCAAGGGCGGTGCTGGCGCCGAGCGAACCTGAAAGCGAGTTGCCCGAGCCCGAGCCGTCGCCGTCAGATCCGTTGGGTGTGCCAGGAGCGAGTCGCAAGGATCGAACGCCGGGCCCCTCAGCGACGGTGATGACGGCGTCTCGGTCGATGGACCAGATGGTGACGTGGGCATGATTGATGACACTCGTGAGCTGCGCTTGAGATTTGCGCGACGCTTCGAGTGCCTTGACTTCGCTGTCGCAATCGGTGCAACTGCCGTACCATTTGATGATTTTGCTTGTCCCAGGCTCGCGCACGGGCAGAGCGCGGCCCAGCATCCACTTCCAGACACCGTCGTGCCTCTTGGCGCGGTACATGATCTGGTAAGGCTCGCCCGTGCGCAGCGAATGCGACCAGCGGATGTTGGTCTCCACCATGTCGTCTTCGTGGAAGCATTGTTGCCAGCCAACGCTAAAGAGAGTCTGCGAGTCAAGGCCTGTGTAGCGGTACCAGCCCTCGTTGAACCAATCGACGGTGCCATCGGGAGTTGCGGTCCAGAGCATCTGGGGCATGCTGTCGCAGATGGTGCGGAAGTACTCTTCACCCTTCTTCTCGACCTCGAGCCTGTAATTCTTGTCGGTGTCGGTGACATCAATCAGCGTGATGACACCGCCGATGTGTTCTCCAAAGCCTCCGGCGTCGCGAACGGGCTTGGCGACGATCTCGTAAACTCGGCGTGCACCGGTATCGGTGGCTACACAACCGATGCGAACGGGTTTGGTGAATTGACCCAAAACAGCGGCACGGTAGATGGGCCAGTTCTGCTCGGGGAAGGGCTCGCTAAAGTCCTCCGTGTAGCACACCATGACGTCCGAGAGCCAGGAGAGATCGACCTCGACGCCGTCCTTCTTTGGCTTGGGTGGCTCTTCCTTCTTCTTGGGCTTATCCTGCGGATTCTTCTTTTCGAACATCTTGAGCATCTCGTCGCAGGCGCGGTTGCGGATCACGGTCGAGCCATCCGAGGAGAGGGCCAAGATGGCCGTCTCGATGGTGTTGAAGACGCCTTCTTTGAGCTGCTCAGTCTTGTTGATGTGCAAATCGGCCGGGCTCATGCGTCGCTCGGCAAGGCGAGTCGGGACGATGCTGATGGTGAAGTAAGATTCGTGCGGGAGGGGCGCACCTCTGCTCTCCATCGGGTCGATTCGATTGGGTGTGGAAGACTGGCTGTACTCGAGGCTGTCTTGCTTCTCGGCATCGGAGGACAGGCTCTTGGCGAAGTGGTTGTTGAACGTTTCTGAGAAGACCTGGTCTGTGGGATGCCAAGCGGAGATGGACATGTCTGCTGTAAACATCTTGTTATCGTCCTGGATGAAAGTGAGTCGAGTGAGGACTGGTGGAGCCCAAGCCGCGGTGGCTCGAACTTGAGACGCTTCCTGGATGGCTGTGTAGAAGTCGGCGCGATGTTTTTCGGCGACAAGCTTCTCCATAGTTTGACCCATACAGCTGACACCCGTCATGAGGAAGATACTCTCGCAAGGACGGTTCATCATGCGGATGCGTCTGTTGTGATCCAAAACGAGCATGGGCGTGGGCGCAAAGTAGAGCGCCCTGACTGACTCGTCGAGGTCGAACATATTGGTGGAAGAAGACTCTCCGAAGTAGGAAGAGGAGTTGGAAGGGAACGGGACGAGGCTGGCGGAGGGCCCGCGTGACTCGAAGCTGGACAGAGGTGGACGACGAGGCGGCGGAGCCGAGCTAGAGTTGGAAGGCGTAGCGACTGTCAAAGGCGATTCAGGGTTGCTGCCGGGCGCGAGCGAACCAGCGGTGAGCTTGGACTGCGAACCGGTACTGCTGGCGGAACGGACGGGATTGGTGGTCTTTGGCGAAGAAATGGCACGAGTGGGAGGCAAGGGAGTATAGTGCGGGCCGGCGAGCGTCTCTTGGAACGGAGTGAGCGGTGCGCTGGAGTGCGCCGAGGTGCCGGCGGTGGAGGCTGGGGGCGAGAAGGAGGCTCCACCGCTTGAGCTCTCGAAGCGCGCACGCTTTGAGGAAGGCGAGGCGGCAGCAGCAACTGCCTGTGCAGGTTCGACGGACTGCGACGCCGCTTGTGTTGGGACGGATGTGTCACTGGACGCCTCTGTCACAGGTCGCTTGCGTGACGAAGGGGGTTGGAGGGGATCTTTGAGCGGAGGTGGGCCGGAAATGGTGACAGATGTTGGAGATACTCGCAAGCTGCTAGACTCGGAGTATCGTCGAGATCGGCAAACTGAAGTTGCTGTAAATCGAAAAGGGGGCGGAAACAGGCCAGTCGGGTGGGCCGAATCAGTATGCTGAGCACTTTTTGCTGATGGGAGCGAGGCGCAAAGCGGTTGGGACGGTCACAGTGCTAGATCAGCAGCGAGCATATGAGCAGGTGCAATCGACGCAGCGGGGGGCGAGCCTCCAGCAAGGAAGGGTGTATGGTGTACGAGTCGATGCCTGCACCCTGTATCGTTCGCGACTGACCGCAGTAACGACAAGATGTACGAGGAGGTGGTGCGAAGGGGGAAACGCAAAGGTGATGGCGGAAAGGGGGATATGGAAACACGTCTGGCAACAATGTACCGTGTGGGAATCGGAAGCAGAGAGCCAAAGCAAACCCAACCGTGTCGGTCGGCGATGCAGAACAAGCCAACGGAGAGACCACTGCAGCGGATTCGCGGTCTCGAGAGACGGCGATGCAGACGGAAGACAGCCGGGATCGCAGAGCCCAACGAGTTCGAGAAAGAGCAGAAATTAAACATCGAGATCGGAAGTCGCAGCGATGCAGCAGAGGCACTGAGCCAGTCTCCCAGGACGGACGGAGGCAGTCGGCAAATGCCGAGGCAGAAATAATGAACAAACCGAAATCGCAAAGATTTCGGAAATGCTGCCTGCCATCGTGTCTCACGACGGAACCTGACTGACTGAGTACAGAGGAAGCGCGCCAGCCGGATCGACATGTTGACGTCCTGTGAGCAAGCTGAGAGCCTGAAGCGGCGCTTGCCCGTGTAGCGGTATCGAACATGACTTATGGCTGCTGGAAGACGGCAGCGACGTTGGCTTTGTGTTTTGCGGTGCAAATCCCACGTTCGCAGTTTCCATGGAACGGCCCCTCGCAAGATTCGATCGGAGCTTCGATCGTGTCGCGCTCTGTCGCCACTGTACTGCCGTGTCCAATGAGGATGCAGTCGACTGCCACCGACTGAGACGGACCCCGACAGTTACGTATAGAGCGACGCCGAAGCGCAAGGCTGACCAGATATCGACTTCCGCAAGCAAGGTGTCCGCCTGTCTGCTGTCTTAGCTTTGCTTCCATCGCATGTGATCTGAGAGTGGGGAAGCGGCTCACCGTCACTGGCATCCGGGCTTTGAGAGACCCGACGGAAGGGGGGCAGACGAGACGCGGGTGCGATTCACTTACAGTTGGATCGAATCGTGCAGCGACGACGGCGACTGGCACCTGCTTGTAGTGTTTGTGGCGGGACGGCGGCTGGCTTCTGTTCCAAACGCTGGAAGTCTGTAAGCTAGCGAAAGAGCCGAAGATTTGTGCGTCAGAGCTACAGCACCCAAAGAAGAACACCTTACAGTAGTCGCAGGATTGAGAGCGTGTGTTCCTGCTTGGCAGCCGAACGGTCGCCAAAGCAAACCATCGCGTGGAGGCTAGAGTCGAGCAAGATCGGATTCAACCTGACCGAATCACGCACCCTCAATCCGACGATCCATGGTACAAGCGTAGTCGAGCTCACGCGGCCAGCCACGAGCAGATCAATGGCCAGACGGTCCGACCAACGAACCAACGAACGCAGCACGCATGGTGCCTGTGTCCGATTTGTCGGACCGCCAACGCGTCGAAATTCGACCCGATCGTGGCGCTGACCCGCTCGCTTGCGAGTTTCCAAATGCCGCGTCTCTGCCTCGCAAATCCCGGCATGGCACAGCGTCGAATTTACGCCTCGACCAGCGGCGACTGGGCAGGAATCACTTGGGAACGGTGAGTCGATACAGGCTTAGCACAGTATAGTCTCGCTGTACGAAAAGATCAGGCAAAACTGTCATCGGGACAGAAACGACTAATACTGACTTACGAGTCGACGAACACCGGCAGAGATAGAAAAACGACCAAAAAAGCGGGTGCGAAAAGGGACGCGAAAAAGACAGGATCTAGGTCCGCAGTGTATGTTGTTCAGAACACGGGGTCCGACTCGGCTGGAAGGACACACTGCATGGAAACTGCAACGTCGCGTCCGATGCGGAGAAGGCAAGTCATGCATTCGGAATCACCGACTTTGCTCTCGCTCTCTGCCGATCGCCCGATCGCTTCCACCGCAAGACGATGCTCTTGCACCTGCTCCACACTCGGTGCGGACACGCTTTACGACAAATCCGGACGAACAAGGCCTCCACTGCGCAGCGATCTATGCATGCAATACCTACGTGTACGGTTGGCAATCAAGCCCGCGGAAGAGTGTCCAGTAGAGTGTTGGGGACTGCGACGAACGGTGCGAGAGCTGGGCTCAGGGGTATCGGTCTCAAGAGAAGGGTCGAGAAGCTTGTTGATGGCTCGTGTATGGCTGATTGGGCTGACTGTGCGCGATGACTGCTTTGGTCGGATCAAGAAGAGTCGGTGAGATACGGTCTCTGACGTCGAGGATGATGGTAGCGGTGCGAGAAGAAGCACGCTGCCCAATTCTCGCTCTCGAGGACCTTCAACGACGTCGGCGAGCAGACTTCCAAGATACAAAGCCCTCTACGTGAACAGCCGGTTGCTCGTACGGCTCTGTCGGGGACCGCTTCCTTCCAGTGCGCCGCTAGATGGGCGATGGCCCTCTTCTCTTCCTCCAAGTCGAGCAACTCGCTTTGCCGCTCGACACTTTTCACGGCTTGGCTCCGATGCGAGGCGATGATTGCTCACCGCTGTCATGCGAAGACGCCTGCGTTCTAGCTGTCGTTGCACGTTGAATGCCGTAGAAAGTTCGCGACGTTGAGGTGAATTAGAGCTGGCCCGGGGTCCAGCCGGGGTCCGGCCAGGGTCAGGATTTCGATGCAGGGAAGGAACGCGGTGTTCGCTCTCACGCCAGCCACTCGACCCAAATTCTCGCCGAGTCGCCTGTCACCTTTTCGACTCTTAGCAAAGAGTCTGGACCCTGCTCACATACATCTACACAGTACATACTGTGGTCATCTGCTGTTCCAAAAAACACGCTCCAGAGACCGCCTAGTCAACGCGAGGCTTCCTTGTGCAGACAGCACGCTTTCCTCCGTCCCGCCGAGGCGACCAGGTCCGCATTCGATTGACCGCCATTTGCATGGCTCATGCGAGCTCTCAGGCGAGAGACACCCTAGCCTCACGCACTGTTGCGTGTCAATCTTGAAGTTGCTCTCAACCAGCGGAGCGGTACGAGATCGGAAGAGAGCACAGCACAGACCATTGCTAGCTCGCGCCACTCCCTCTTGCCGCGACTCGACACTTCCGCTGAAAAGACTCATTCGCGACGCTGTCGATTGTATACTCACAACCTCGTCACCTGCGGCACAGCGCACTACATCTCATCGGACACTATCGGCAGACACGAAGATCGACATTGCATACATTACACGAAAGGAACAGACTATAGAAGCTGCAACGCGCTCAGATGCGCGCAGGAGCGTGCTGGTGGGGGAGGTGCGAGTACAGCGCCGAGGTGAGGAACTCATCCGGTGCAGGTGCACGCAGCTGGTCGGAAATGTATCGCTTGGCCTTGTCGACGCTGGCGCCAATCTTGGAAACCTTGGCAGCCTCCTCGTCGAGGATGCGGTCGACGTAGGCAGGCGTGATGGCGTTGCCCTCGGCGGTCTTCTGCTTGTGGTACACCCACGACCACAGACCCAGACGCGAGATCTCACCCGTAGCAGCATCCTCCATCATGTTGGCGACGGGCACACATCCGAGACCGTTGAGCCAGTTGGCACAGTACACGAGCAAGGCAGCCACGTTGGCGCGCACACCCGCCTCGGTGATCTGACCCGGAACGTTCGAGTTGAGCAGGTCGAGAGCCGAAACCTTGACCTCCTCACGACGGACGTGGTATTGGTTGGGTCCGAGCATGTTCTTGTCAAAGATCTCGAGCGCAATCTTGACGAGCGCAGGGTGGGCGACCCAGGTGCCGTCGTGACCCGCCTGAACCTCGCGAAGCTTGTCGGCACGCACCTTCTCCATGGCGGCGTCGTTGGCCTGCGGGTTGTCCTTGATAGGGATCTGGGCGGCCATACCACCGATGGCAGCGACACCACGCTTGTGGCAGGTCTGGATGAGCAGGTTGACGTACGCCTGCATGAAGGGCACCGTCATGGTGACAGCAGAACGGTCGGGCAGGATCGAGCCGCTGTTGTAACGCTGACGCTTGATGAACGAGAAGATGTAGTCCCATCGACCACAGTTGAGACCCGAAGAGTGCTGGCGCAGCTCGTACAAGATCTCATCCATCTCGAACGCGGCAGTGATGGTCTCAATCAGCACGGTACCACGAATGGTGCCACGGGGCATCTTGATGTAGTCCTGCGAGAGGTTGAAGACGTCGTTCCACAGTCGGGCCTCGAGGTGGCTCTCCATCTTGGGCAGGTAGAAGTAAGGACCGAAGCCGGTTCGGACGAGCTCGTGGGCGTTGTGGAAGAAGTAGAGACCAAAGTCGACGAGCGAGCCGGACATGGGCTTGCCGTCGACGACAATGTGCTCTTCGTTGAGGTGCCAGCCACGAGGTCGGACGAGGAGGACGGCGGTCTGGCCGAGAGGCTTGAGCTTGTACTCCTTTCCGTTGCTCTGCTTGAAGTCGATGGTGCGGTGGATGGCAGCGCGCATGTTGACCTGACCATCCATCAGGTTGGCCCAGGTGGGCGAGGTCGAGTCTTCAAAGTCGGCCATGTAGGTGTAGGCACCCGAGTTGAGGGCGTTGATCACCATCTTCTTGTCGACGGGACCCGTGATCTCGACACGTCGGTCACGCAGACCAGGCGCGGGGGGAGCACACTGCCAGGTGGCATTGTCGCGGATGTGGGCGGTCTCGGGGAGGAAGTCGGGGAGGGCACCTCCATCAAACCTCGCCTGTCGGAGCTGACGAGCTTTGAGGAGCGACTGACGGGTGCTTTCAAAAGATCGGTGGAGGACAGAGAGGAAGCGAAGAGCCTCGGGCGTGAGGATGGAAGCCTGCTCGCCTTCGATCTTGCCTGTTGTTCGAAAACGGTAAACGGAGAGCATCACAGACGAGGTGTGACGAGGCGTCAGTATATTGATTTACAATTGCAACGATGTCGGTGAGCTTCCCGAAGACAGCGAATACCTACCGAGTACGCGGACACCTTCGACGGACATGGTGGCTGTTTGTTTTATGGGGTAATTTGGGGGTGAGCGGTGATGTGTGTTGCAATCACTTGGTGCTGAAGAGTCGATCTAAGTGACGAGCGACGAATGGGATCGAGGGTATGATGGGTGTGGTGTGTTCGCAGGACGCTGCGCAGTCAAGGATCGAGTCTGGTCTATATACTCTGTGGCAGCACAAGGCAAGATGGGGCCTTTCAAGGATGGCGCTCTGCTATTGCTTGTCAAAGAAACCGGCCTTGTACGAGTCTGCTGTGTGACATTCTGCCAACTTCGCGCTGCCCGACCGTCCAAAAAAGATTGTGCGGAGAAGGCACAGACGAAGGCACAGACGGTAGGCAGGCATCCGGCACTGTAGCCGGGTGAAGGCAGGTCAGCGATAGCCCTCAAGTGCCTTTGCAGCTGGTCTGTACGGCCAGAATCGGCAACTGACGAGAAGAGAGCGAGCCATGCACGAGCGTGAAATAGGCGGTCTGAAAGCGGTTGAGCCAGCTGAAGAGAGCCTCGTTGAGGAAAAAAAAGGTGTTCAACCTCCACAGTGGTGGAGAGGCGATACAACACACTGCTGTGCTGCCCGAGAATTCTTGGCGGGGTCAAGTGGAAATAATGTCCCTCCAGGTTACCCGCTTGGCCGCTTAGCCGTTGGCACAAGCATGAAAGCGTCCCTACGACGCAATCTCTGGGGCGGGAATTCGCCCGGTGGCGCTGCAGCACGACTTTCCCTCACTCCTCCTCACTCGTGTGGACCAGCATCACCAGCACCATGGCATATCGATCAGCATATCGGTCTCTGCGCCCATTGGCTCGCAGCGATGTCCTGCGCGCACAGCGCTGGCCGTTTGAATGAGGGCAAGACACTTCGCCACTTGCGAGAATACGCAACGAGCCGACCTGTAGTCAGCAACAACGTGACATAAGTTAGCTCTGGAGAGCGGAGGAGGCCGACAGCCGCGTGCATCTGCGTTGCAGCTCAAGACGTGAAGCCACGGTTACAGCGCGCTCGATCCGGTCCAAAGTGCCAAGGCAGAGACCGTCTGGACCGAAGCGTCCGTGTCAGGAAGATTCACATCCGAGACGGCATCGACGTCAGCGAATCTTCAGGTCACGAGCGTTGTCGAGGCCGTTTTTCTTAGTGCAGACAACTTGTGGTAGAGGTCCGCCAGGTTATGAACAGGTCGCTGGCTATCTGCGTGAAAAAGCACAGGGTCCTAGCGGCTCGAAATGCATCTCCGGAAAGGCCGCGACTCGACGAAGAACTGCCAGAAAATGTGATTTTCTTCTCTCGTACGTGTGTCGATCTGCTTATGCCAATCTCGCGATGTGAGATTGCGATAATCTCCCGATGTGATCTCTCAAGCATGGTTCGTACAGGATCATGCCGGCTCTCGTGGCTTGGTCAAGCTGCTAGCCAATCTGATAAGAAAGCGTCCGCAGCGGACGCCTTTCGTCGCACTTCACAGCGACTCGGACCGCTCGCAGGCGCCAGAGCCACTACGACTTGCATCGACCTCGGGTCTCATCGTGTCTCTTGTTAATATATAGCTGTTCACAGCAAGAGTCACGTTTGCACAGGCAGAAAGCAAGGTATATGCTCTTTTGCAACGATCAAGTCATATTGCTGTACTTGAAACTCGTGATCTATGCGACCACCACTGCCTCGAATGTGACGCAAGGGTGAATCTAGATCTCGGAGATAGCTTGCTGAATAGTGCGAAACCAAAAGCAACAGAAGCATGTCAGCGCCGACTTCAGGAAAAGCATTGAATGGCAGAAGTCGCATCTGAGCAGCCTTGACGCTGCAGCGACACTCGTCTCTGCGCTTGCAGGGCGTGTAGCTGGTTCCGGGGCCCTCTGACACATACCTGAAGAGCTTGCGGGTTGGCACCGAGGACCTGCTTGACGTTCTTACCGTCCTTGAAGAAGACAAAGGTGGGCATGGCCTTGATACCGACCTCGGCGGCGATCTTCTCCTGAGCGTCGACGTCGACTTTGTAGAAGCCAAGCTTGTCGCCAGCGGGCGTCTCGGAGATCTTCTCGAAGATGGGACCGATGACCCTGCAGGGACCGCACCAGGTGGCCCAGAAGTCGATGACGACGGGCTTGTCACCGTTGATGAGGGTCTGGAACTCCTCGTAGGACTCGATTGCCTTGACGACCATTTTGTCGGATGTGTTTTCGGAGAAGGTGTTGGGAGATGGATGATGGGTGTGAGGCAAGCTGGTGAGCCACCGAGCGAGTGACTGGGATTTTATTGACGCGACCTAAAATGCTGCATCTTCGTGTTGGCAACGGCATTCGAAACAGAACGTTGGCCTGATCGGCGGCGACTCACGAAAGCACGTCAGAGACCCGATTGGTGCAAGCTGAGCAGGATCGGATTTTAGCGCAGAGTTTCGGTACCCATGTTAGATTGAGTATCTGGGATCTCGTCAGGGACCAAAGTCCAAGGCGTTGTGGCTGCGTTCGTGTGTATTGCCGACGAGAACAACACCCTTCGCACCAACAAACGTATCACCGAAAGCACGTCTTACTGTCACTCTCGACCTTCTCTCGTCGTCGAGGCAAGCCAGTGCAAAGCATCTGGAAGCGTCGAGAACATTCCTCGGGCCCTTCAGCGCCATGGAGGTCGGGACACACTGCGAACTGTCCACGTGCGGACGACTTTCGTTCCTCCCCATCTCCTGTCCGCTGTGCACTACCACCTTCTGCGAGTCGCACTTCCTCCCCGAACAGCACCGTTGCGACAAAGCTTCGTCCACAAGCAAGGCTCTCAGCGACGACGAGCTATTCGAACGCATCGCATCGACAGGCTCATCCGGACGACTTCCGTGTCAGAAGCAAGGCTGCAAGAAGCTCAGTTTCCACGTGCAAACGCAGCCGTCGACGAGCGCCGACTCGAACGCGGCAGGATTCCAGAGGACTTTCACACATGCAGCACCTCGATGCGAAAGGTGTAGAGGTCTGTTCTGCGCCGTTCACCGCTCAGCAACAAGTCATGGATGTACTGCTCCACCGCCAATGACGGAGGGTCAGCAAAAGCTCAAGGCGATCGAGGATCGAAAGAAGAAGGCGGCTGCCTTGATCGCCAAGAACTTCCCCAACCGCAAGGCATAGGAAGAAGCACCTTTGCTTCCCCAGCCAAGGTGTACTTTCCTCAAACATCTTCAGCATTCACACCAAGATACCCATACTTCAATTTGCATCTTCGTCGTCAAGCATCAGCAAGTCGTGCAGGACAGTGCAACGTGACTGAGACGAGTCTGAAGAGTATGTGAAATTTCAGATCGAGAGCTATGACTGATGGTCATGCTTTGGCACTGAGAATCCGTTGGACCTCGTCACAGCTGTCTGCAGTGACGCAAAAGGTGCCTCCCAGATCTAGTTCTGCATCGACGCCATCGAACGATCCTTTTGCTCGCTGTGCATGATCCTTAGCGTTTGAGCTGGTGTCCTTGTATGAGCAGCGGACCTGTTGTGGGAAGGGACAGGGGCAGTGCGATGGTTTGGCGACGCAGGATAGCGTTCGTGGACAGAGGTACTGTGTGCAATGTGCCGCATCGACTCGTGCTTCGAACCAGCTGGCATCACCGGACTGTGCAGTGAGAGTTTTCAGGTTGTGAGACAGAAGCTGATCAGCGTTTCGGAAGAAGACGACAGGTGTGGCTTTGAGCTTCACCTCGAGCTTCCCATCGAAGAACTTACCGGTGGAGGTTCTTGCTCTCGTCCTCCAAACATGGACCCTCCTCCATTGGCCCCAAAGAACTGCTGGAAGAATTGCGCCTCGGCAGGTGCCAGCAGCAGCAGAAGCTGTGCTACAAAGAGCAGCACCAGTGAGGGGAAAGCTTTCGACATGGTCCTTGTCTATCTGTCTCGTTGCCAGAGGAGGAGCACGTTGGTGGAGGCTCTTGTGGGGTTTCGCCCGGTCGTGTCCAGCGTGGAAGGATGGAAAGGGTCCGTCTTCCGAGAATGTGGCTACCAAACCCTGGAATTTTTCCAAAAAGAAAGAAAAGGTTAAGTTGCGCAACAAAGCATCATCAAATTTAGGAAGAACGCTGATGGTGGCACACTTCACTCCGCTCCACCTCTCCGGCCCCCGCTAGTCATATATCACCCAACATGTCCGAGGTTGCAGCGGAATCGGAGTCCGCAGTCACAACGGTCATTGTTGATCAGGCATCAGCAGTCGACTTGAGACGCCTTGATCAGGAGAGCGTTCCACAAGTGCGGCACGACGAAAGCGAATTGGATGCGGTACCTCTGACAACACCGGAAGACTCGTCACAGGCTGCTCACGCCAGCGAGACCGCGGCGGCCACTGATGAGATGGTACTTGGAACTGCTGAAGCTCAGACGTCAATGCCATCGCTCGACCATGCTGAGCCGCAAGTAGATGCAGATGCAGCAACCCAGTCACATCCGACAGCCGACGAAGACGATGCAGACTTTGTGCCACCCGACATGGAACACATAGTCACCACTGGAGCAGCTCAAGATGGCGCATCATCGATGCAGGCGCTTCGCGAGCTTGTCGCACAAGCTCGAGCGTCGTCAGGACAACCACGTGAAGCCCTACCGCCAGGCTTTGGAGACGACGAAACCGACGCGAGCACCTCCAAACCGACTCAGTCGCATCGTGGCGAGAAGCGCAAGGCTGAAGACGAGCTTGAGCAGCTCGTACAAGCAAGCGCTGGCATTGAAGAGGTCAAAGCAGCTGCCGAGCAGAGTCAGCACCCAGAGACAAAGACGCTGCTGCAGAAAGCCCTTTCTTCTATATCAGGCCTCGTTTCCCGGCGCCCTAAAGCAGAGTCATCTACAGCAAGCTTAGATTCGACACTGGCCGACAAGAATGGTGACGAGCCGCTAGCAAGAAACGGGGCTGGCTCTGACGATGACAATGATTCTAGCTCCGACTCAGGATCGTCCAGCTCCGACTCCTCTGACGATGAGGAAGAAGACGAACCAACACAATCTGGTCTCGCTGCCGCAGGCGACGATGACGATGATGATGAAGGAGGTGGCACAAGCATAGCGCCGGTCACCAAAAACGAGATCCTTGCTCCGGAGGTCGAGCAGCCATCAATAAGGGAAGTCACGGCAGCGGAAAAGCAAACGCTACGGAAGCTTGGAAAGGTGCATTCTATCGTCGACAGCGTAGTCGTGGTGGAGCAGGACGTCCAGCAATCCAATCAAGCCGATCCTGCATCCGCCAACACTGGATCCGTCCCCGTCGACAGCACGGGCCGTCAAGGCGAGCGCCAAGGCGAATACAGTGTCTTGGATACAGGAAGCTTGCTCTGTTTCGAAGATGGTAAGGTGCTTGGTCTCGTCTTCGAGACGTTCGGATCCATCCACAACCCCATGTACTCGATCAGATTTGCTTCCGCCGCGTCAATTGATCGCGACATGATCAGCGCCGGCAAAGTTGTCTTTTATCTGCCCAAGCAAAGCACATACGTGCTCACCCAGCTGCTTCGATCCATGAAGGGCAGCGATGCAAGCAACATCTGGGACGAAGAAGTGGCCGAGGACGAGATCGATTATTCGGACGACGAACAGGAAGCCGAGGCCAAGCGTCGTGCAAAGGCAATTCGTTCCGGCAAAGTTGATGATCAGGGCAACCCTCTTCCTGCCCCATCCGCACGCGGCAACAAACGTCAGAAGCAACAGCAGGGTGCAGTTCAAAGCTCTCAACCTCCTTACCGAAACTCTGCGAACGGACTCGCCAATCAGGCACCTGGTCAACAAAGCTCGCAGTCACGATCGGCCAGCAACGCGCCAGCATCTTTGCCAAGGGGTGGAGCAGGCCTGCCTCTGCCACCCAACCCCGTTGGATCTGCGTCGCTGGCACCCGCCTTCCCGCATGGAATCGCATCTCTGCCACCGAGACCCGCAGCGGGACTCCCCTCCAAACCCACCTTCTCGTCTGAAGCGCCGAGGGGGAGCAACTCGAATGACCCGCATTCGCCAGCTGCATCTAGATCGAGGACGGGCACCGCAGAAGGCAGCTCGAACGGTCTCACGCACAGCAGGATGAGCAGCGCATCAGCCAGCGGTCTGCCCGCCAAGCCTGTCGACGCAGTCGCAGCGGCAGCATCATCCACAACAACATACCGAGCGGCAGCAGGCGTCACCGGTGCGTCGTCACCGCCAAACGCTTCGCGCGGAGCATCAATGAGGGTTGCTCCGCCGGTGCCATCATCGGCTTATCCCGGTCAGGGTTCGCCTAGTTACTACGGTGGAACCGGTTCCGTTCCCTCGAGCATGCCTGCTTCGCCAGCTGCGCCCTCTCGGAACGCCTCGACGCATATTCCCACATACAACTCCGGAGCTGGAGCGCCGGTTGCAGCGCAGGGCGGCGGCCACTACAACCCAGCGTACGCGGCTCATTGGCAGCATTCGTATGGTGCTGCAACGTCGTCACCGCAGCACGGAAACCATGCTGCTGGCGGGCCTGCTTGGAACCGATCGCAGCCGTATCAAGCACCACCTTTGCATATGGCACCAGGAACGATGAGCCAGCAGCCGTATGGAGGCTACGGAGGAGCTCACGGCGGCTACGGTACTTCGTCTGGGGCTTCGAGCGGCACATGGTCCGCACAGAGCTATCCCGGGTCGCACTATCCCGGCTACACTGATCGACAATATCACGCTTCGGCTACGAACGCTGCTGGCGCTGCTGGTGGCGCTGCTGGACATGGCAGCCGCCAACAACATGCTCCGCCCTACCAAAGCTACAACTACGGTGCTTACCCGAGCCAAGGCGCCAGCGCCGATCCCTACAACGGATACACGTACACCCCTCCGAGCGCACAGGCAGCGGCGACGACGAGCGCTGCTGCCGCTCAAGCAGCTCAAGACAGCTATGATCCTCGAAGTCCTTCAATGAGCGGGAGTGGCAACGGTCAGAAGCAACATGCGACGGATCCATCTCAGGGACAATGAAGTCGGCTGCTGCATTGCCCCTCCCTGAAGTCACAAGGTCTCTTGTCAAGCCTGCGCATGGCTTCTAATCGTCCGCGAATGCGAGCTGGTTTGCACGGGCCTTCACGCAGACAGCCATCACGCAGCCTTCACTCTCGTCACGCAAACCCACTGTCCGCCTGGAGCATCCCATTGCCGAAGGACTGTCTCAGCAGCAAGGCAGCATCCTTTCATGTCGCAATCGATCACACTTCATTTCACTTCATGCAGCGGCTGTTCCGACAAAGCTTATTCTTGAACGAAAAACGGCTGCAGCACTGGAAAATGAACTCTACTGCTGCCTCTGATGAGAGCTACTCGACGCCTTTTCCCTTTCATCGAATCCGCCTCATGGAAAAATTTTACTGAGGAAAAGAGACCAGCTTCTGGGTAAATGCGTAGCGTGTAGATCTCATTTTGCCAGTCACCCGAGCATCCGCCTGGAAATTCCTGGCCAGTACATGCGCAGCGACGCAAGGTGACAAAAGGCTCATCAAAGGCTCTCGATTCTTCTTGGACTCTCGTACCTTTGCAGTAGCCATTGATTGCGCACTCGACATGAGCCTCCTGACCCTCTCCCTCCATCTCTGCTTCCATTCTCTCTTCTAATCGCATCTCCGTCACCGCACGCCCACCTCGACACCGTCAAAGAACTGAAACACGCCCTTCCACCTCGCGACGTAGCCCAAGTCCAGCCAATACTCGCGCTCATGAGGGGACACTCCGGCGATCGTCAAGCATCCCAGTCTGTTGGTTCGGAGTCTTACGGGCGTCGTGCTTATGATATGCCACCCACCGTGGCGCAGCGCCCTCCACGCCCCGATTTCGTCGATCCGATCGAGTCGGTGCAGCGGCCGCGAGGATATCCAGAAAGGGACAGTGGTTGGGGCAACCGCCGCCGTCATGGCTCAGGCCGTCCTGGCTCAGGCAGTCATGTTGCGCCCGAAGGAGCTGACCCTCGCCGAAGCAGCGGCCGTCAGTACAGCCTCAAGGGTGCTCCTCCGCCGCCCCAGTCTCCTTCCATGCGCGCGGCATCACCGAGATATAGCTGGGCGCCGGAGACGAGGCAGCCGCTAGGTACACAGGACCCTCGACGACCGACAGCGTCTCAGCTGGATGTGCCGCGGCCTCCTTCCCCTCCAGCCTTTGCTGTTGAGGTACCGGAAAAGGAGAGAAAGCTGGAGTACCTGCTTCGTACCATTGAGGCAAGGCTGCACGCAGCGAGACAGACGCCTTGTTGGCAACGCCTCGACACGCACCTCTTTGTGCAACTTATCGAGGAGCACAAGAAGGCGGGCAAAGATAGTATTATGGTGTTGAGGACAATGAACTCAGCACTAAGCCATTATCGTCTCTTCATGCAAAGCCGCGAAGGACAGATCGACGACCACGTCACAATCGACAAATTCGAGACCATGCGGCACGGACTGCAGTATATCGTCTTCGATATCTGCGAGCACAACAATTCTTACATTCGCAAGAAAGGTCATCGCGCCTTGTTGGAGCTGAGCCGTGGGGACATGTCGCTTGTCAAGAGCAACTTGTCTGCCCTCGTCCAAATCTTGCAGAACGACGACATGGACGAACGCGACCTGGTCTCCGAACTTCTGTTCAGCCATCTCGAGCTGGTACAAACCGAGAAACCGCTTGGAACTTGTCTCGCCGACTGCTTGCAGCTCATGTTCTGCGATCATGCCAGCTTACGCCATCTAGTGATCGACTTCTTCTCCTCGGGCTGGGGCCAGAAAGCGGTGGATCTCTGCATCGGCGACTGCATCCTCGAAGCTGCACTTGCCGAGCATTTTGCTGCTGCTCTGCCGCACGTTGGCGACGGACACATCGTCAAGCTTGTCGGGCTGCTGCACGACCTTCAAAGCATCTGGATCTCTCGGGACGACGCAGTCTCGGAGGCATCCATGCGGGCAGCCAGAGCAGCCGCGACCAGCGTCTTGTGGAACCTGGGTGTTGCCTTGATGCGCAGAGCGAACGTTTACTCGGCAACAGATAAAGATCTCGTAGCGTGCGTATCTGACGATGGGGCCAACATACTACCTCCGATGTCGACGGATCTCGCAGTCGCCAACGGGCTCAAGACTTTCAGTAACTTGGTCGCGGTTGTTGATCGAGTCATTCGAGATCGCGACGATGACCTGAAGATGGCCGCAGCTCAGAAGCTGTCTGAAAACAGAATCTTCCTCAACGACCTCGAAGCATCCACCGCATGGCTCTTCTGCTATCTGCCTCTCGACACAGGAGAGGGCGGAACACAATCGGTTGTCGAGCACTTTACACCTCCGCAAAAGCTCATGCTGTTCCGATCAGCCGCAAATCTGGCCGCACGCGTGGCTTCAGCTGCCAAGCAGAGCCCAGCGGACCTCTCCTTCCCTGGCGACAAGACCGCCTCGGAGATCGCACAAGTCGTTGCTTGGGCGCTAGGGAAGGAACTGCCCGCGAACATACTTGCAGTTGTGGAGGAGCGCGGATGTACAGGAGGAGAACCCGCCTACTTCATTCTTGCTGCCGAGGCGCTACTCACTGCGATCCATCACTGCGAGTCGTGCATGTCGGTCTGCAAACATCGGCCAAGGACGATCTCGACCGACGATCATCTCCGCATAAGGGTACGAGGACTTCAAGCGCTCGCACAGAAGATCGATGACGAGCAGCGAGGCCGAGACGAGCTCCAGCAGGCCGCAAAGGTTGTACTCGCTTTGGGTCAGGAGCACCTACGCGTAGCATGGACTAGGAATGCGGAGCAGCTGTCACCAGCGTGGCTAATGGCACCTCCGCACATGCCTGGCTGGGTCAAGCCGACAGCAACCGCGGTCCTCACATCACCAAAGACCAACTCTCGGAAGGACAAAAAGAGACAGAACGACGAGATTGAGCAGGAAGATGCGAGCAAAGACAGACGCGCCCGTCGCGGCGAGCCTCACGCTTCAAAACAAGAAGGATCGACGCAAGGACAGAGTTTGGCGGTCAAGCACAACTCGTCGAACACTGTCAAGAACGAGCCGGCTACCTCGGGCACCCAGCACGAAGAAACTGGCATTGCCATTCGGGGATCGAGCAAAGCTCAGTCCCATTCGCCCACGCTGCGTAGGGCGGACTGCTATCGACCAGGATCGACCGGATACCAACGAGCAGAGCCGGCGTCGCCGTCGCTTCTGAATCGCATGCAAAAGCGAAGAGTATCGGACGAATGGCCGGAGACATCGCGCTCAAGGGACAGGCCGAGGGACGTGCGAGAAGATAGTCGATCGCGAGACTGGTATGAAAATTACGACGATCGATGGGATCGCCGCGCTGAGTACGACTATGGCGACTACGGCGAGAAGAGGCGTCGTTGATGCTCACGTCGTTGTGACCGCTGCAGGGTCCAAGTGCGGATCGCGAGCAAACAGATGTTGGCAGGTTCGGATGATGCTTGCATTACGCTGGTCATTCGCCATCCTGATCGCTGTCCATGCTCTCTTCGTCTTCGTCTTCGTCTTCTTCTTCGTCGTCTTCCTCCTCAGATTCATTCTCGTCATTCCAATCGTTTGCTCCCGCAGCAAAGTCATCGTCTTCAGGAGCGGAGTCATCGAGATACCGCTCGTCACCAGCAACGTCGTCCTCGTCATCGCTTTCATCCAAAAACGAATCCAGATCTTTGTACTTTTGCTGTGCCTGGGTTGTTGTACTGTTTGCCTCGAGGTCGATGGGTGTTGAGCTGCCGCGTGAAGTTGGAGTGGCGTTCCCTTTACCTGGGGTCAGCACGATGGGTGAGGAAGCTGCGAGTGGGGAAGAGTTGAAGTCGGAGGATGAGAAGGATTTGAGATTGGCGAGGGTGGTATTTTGGAGGGTGGTGGAGGCTGGAGCTGATGGCGGTTCGCGAGTGGTGGGTGGGGTTGGGGTGGTGGTCCATGGTGGAAGGGTGGTGTCGAGCCAGCCTTTGATGAGTTTGCCGCCGAGTGTGAGGGAGAGTGAGGCGAGTTCTGGTGCCGAGCTGGGGGTGCTGATGTCAGACGTGCCGTGATCTTTGGTGCGGGTGTCGACGCTGATGCTGGATGCAAGAGATTTGCCTTCGAACAGCACGTGTATGACTTGTTCCCTTCGCAGACGTACACCTTTGAGATCGGCATCGCCTTCCTCGCTTGCGCCTTCACCAATCGTACGTGCCGCCTTTTCAATCGCCAATTCGATCGTGTTCCCCTGCACCTTTTCATCCAGAGATGCCAGGCTGCCGCTGCCATCATCATCAACGCCGGCCGCCTTCTTCGTCACGGTGAGCGGCGACGTCAACCCTTTCAAGAAACGCGCACGGTCTCGCACGTCAAAGTCAGCATCGTATCGAGCCAACTTCAGCAGGTAAAAGTGTAACACCGTCATCGCGGACATCAGCCGCTCAGACCTCCCCTGATGCTCCTCGTCCAATGCCGGCGTCGGGACCAGTACGCTCGGCAGAAACGCGAATGCCTTGCTCGACATGGTCAAGATCTGCAACTTGACGATCGACGACTCGTTGGTGAAGTTGATGGCACATCGACGGAGAATATCGGGCACGATGAGCTCGGCTAGCGTCTTGCTCTCCTGGGTCGAGCCCTTCGAAAGCGGAACAGTGCTCGAGTCAGAGGTCGAAATGGTCTGGCGTGCGTGCTGGCCAAGCAGCCAAAGGATGCTCGCTCGCGCTTCGGGATGGAGGATGGCGCCTTTTCCAACGGCCTTGGGTTTTGCTTTGCGCTTCTGCTTGTCGTCGGCGCCGGCTTTGGAAGGTGTGCCAAAAAGCAATGCTGACAAGCGATAGACGATGGCAGACGTCCTCTTCGACTCGATATCGCTCTGGCTGGAAGCTGCCTCCTGAGCAAGCTGCAGGAGATTCTTGATGACAAGCACTGCACGTGCCACGGTCGCGTCGTGTACTCGAGGTCCCGATCTGCGTCTGCGGAGCAAGTCAAGCAGAACAGCAAGGCACCTCGAGCTCGCGCCCAGGTCCTCCCGAAGAGCAAGTTGACCGAGGCACGAGACGGAATGCGCAGCGATGACAGCATCTGCGGACCGCATGTGACTTGCGATCTCCGACAACACAAAGTCGAGATTGGCAGCATTGCATATGACGACCAAGGTATCGAGCTTGAGGAGCGAGAGGAACATCGGCTCTTCGTGAGATGCGCCGAGCAGAAAGGAGGCGGCGTAGGGTGCGAATAGCGAGCTATTTCGACGTGCAATGGCGAGAATGTTCAGCAGAACCAAGTAGCTGACGTCTGGAGGCGACTTGAGTAGCCTCACGAGTGGTCGTACGAGCATGACTTGATCGGAAGGGGGCGCCAGGTACAGTATCAAGCGTGCCACTGCGAGTACGACTGCAGAGTTTCGACTGTGCAGCAGGCCTTGCGACTTCGTCAGAAGAAGCTCTAGATCCCGGTCGAGGTTTGAAGAAGAACCGTTTGCTAAGCTTGAGAGCAAGTCCGCATTGCCACGTTCAGTGCTTTCGATTAGAGAAGTCGAAGGGGCCGCTTCACTTGACAGAAACGCTTCGAGACCATCGGTATCACTCGCCTTTGCGCTTGTTCCGCTCGACTGATGTGTTGGAGCAACTTCCGCCGATTTGACCAGCGTTGCTGATTGCCTGCCAGACGGTGAAGGCGCCGAGGAAGGAGCTGTTTCTTCTTTCGTGCTGGGTTGGTTGAGATTCGCTCTTGCATAGCGCGAGAGAACCTGGAGAGCGACAATCTGACCCCATTCATCCATGTCCGAAAGGGCATGGCAGATTCTCCGGTAATTCTGATGAAGCAATTGCCAATTTGTCGGACACATTCGCTGGAATGCAGAGAGGGCGGCGCCTAGGACAAAGGGCGAACGATCGGACAAGAGGGTCGCGAGGACCTCCTGAAGACTGTCGAGCTGTAAGGAGTCGATCTGGTAGCATTTGGGGATTGCCAGTGCAGCGATCTTGCGAACGTATAGGTTCGGGTCGCGAGAAGCCTTGGTGACTGCCATGATGACGATGGGAGCAACCATGGCCACTTTGATGCTGCTGAGTACACGTAAAGCCATGGCACGGATGAGCGGACTGGGATCGGAGAGGTCGCGTTGGAAGCTGTTGATGCTGAGGAGTGTCAGGTCGGGATTGCTGTTGGCGTAACGCAGCAGTACAATGTAGACGAGCTTGCGAACATCGAGGTTGGAGGAGGAAGTGAGCTTCAGGACGGCGGGGAGGAAGGAGGAGGCATCGCGGCCTTTTGAGACCATAGCGACGATACGCGTGAGCGCAGCAATGCGATCCTCATCCCTGCTGGAATCGATCTGGGTGGCGATGGTGGACAGCTTGTCCTCTGAAGTGTCGAGATACTTGGCCGAGCCGACGCCGCCAACGAGGCCCTTGAGCGCGGCGATTGCATCCTCCGAGGTTTCCGAGAGGAACGCAAGCGCGCGCGACGAGTTCGAGTAAGCTGCACTCATGATGAGCAGTGCGCTGTCGATGCTCGGTGAGACGAGATAGGCTTGTTGAGGAGGTGAAGCAAGAAAGGAAAGGATGAGAAGTTGAGCGCAGTCTTCGAGGTGGAGGTGTGAACACGCTTGGATCCCCAAAACCTTTTCTTTTCCAAGTTCGCACTTGTGTCATCTCACCCATTTTCTGGTGCACGTACATCTCAGACCCCTCTCTTTGAGGCTAGGAGAGCTTCTGGAGGCCTGAGTAGGAGGCTAGAGAGCGGAACATAATAGTAAGGGTACCATAGGATCAAAACGCCATGAAGCTATGAGGATTTGAATTCAGGCGAGAGGAACTTTCAACCCTCAAAAAATGACCCCGACGGTTTCGCCGGGGTCGTCTTGAAATTTCTGAGGCAGCACACAGTTCAATTTTCGGTGTGCTGAGGGGCACTCAGCATCATTCAGCTTGGCACACAAGATTCATATGACGTTGAAACAGACTATAAGGGCCTGGGCGTACAAGCTCGACGATGAAGAGCCAGCATGCAAGCAACCACTTTAGCGCCTAGCGAGAGCAGGAAGAAAAGCAAAATAGTGTTTCTAGCGCAAACCGAATCAGGGTCCGACGGCGGCAACGCGCTTCTTGGGCTTAAATTTTCAGGCGCACGGTCTTAGAGGGCCCTTCTGAAGTCACACGCCTGTATGCCGTAGAGCATTCAGTTGCGAACAACACCATCATCACCGAAAGAGGATCGTCTTTCTCAGCGAGTGACAGACAACCAAGAGACACCAACTTGGGTCACACAAATTGGTCTTCTTGAGGCTCGCGTCCTCGAAAGCTGATACTGGACCAGCCAACGAGACTGCACATCGCTCTAGAAAGGCGCAACCACACTTCAAAGCAACGGCGTCAGCCAGAGCTGCATTTCGTATCTCGAGCCGCGTTTTGTCAAGTTGCGCTGGACGATCCGCTTTTTGGACGTAGGATGCCGGATCCTGCGGCTCCGTCTCTGTCTGCGATCCGACCATCGCAAGAGCAACGCGATCCGAGCACAGTCCAGGTGCTGGGTATGGACGTCCCACCATCTCAGTCTATTGCTCGGAAGCGTTCCGACGCTAGCGACCTCTCCTTGCCTTCGGGCGCATCCACACCTCAGATGTACGGAGACTATACCGGGACACGCAGCTATCTTCCTTCCCACAGCTCCACGGTCTCGCGTTTGCACAACCAGTCTTCCTTCAACACACGCTCTTCGCACAGTTCCGCCAGCAGCGAGGCCCACGAAGAGCTTGCCTCTTTCGGGTCCACCTCGGCGAATCAAGCTGATCCTTACACGCTTCGGCTCGCCGGACCCTCCGAATCTCGCGCACCACATCTCACACACAACGCCCGCGTTTTGAGCCACAAGGACTCTTTTGGCGGTTCCTACAGCATGAATTCTGTCGCAGATCCAGGTCTTGTGCTGGTAGAAGAAGCGTCGGCCTCTCCGCAGCTGTCGAGCTCGCAGCGGTTCGCCAACACTCACTCTGACGATCGTTCCGACGAGGGTCACCAGCGCACCGTTTCGCTGTCCCGACCCGCGCAGCGAGCTGATCGAAACACACTGAGCGCACGACGATCCGATTCGCATCACTCTGCCGATGGCAGCGGAGTTTCCGACCTCACCGAGCCAGTTGAGCTACTCGGGCGTCCCTCGGCATTTGCGAGCCCGCCAGTATCCGTTCCGTCTGCCTCGAGGCATTCCACTCTCACTACCTCTCGCTCCCGCGCAGCTCTGTCTGCTGCTGCCGACGCTGCATCTGCCTCGCTGCGCGAACATGATCCCGCCGATTCCACCTTCGCCGCTAACTTCGACCAGTCTTTGGCCCTGGAGCCAACCTCTTCATCTGCTTCCGCCGCCTCTACACCCTTGACCAGCTCGAAACCCGTCCGTCGCTCCGTGCCACCGTCAGATGATCCAGAGTCCCGCCGCGCAGCGCAGAGCAATAACGCTACGCATATGTCCACGAATGCATCCAAGGACCGTCGCGACAGGGACGTTGCCGATAGGGCAGCGGCCACCTCGGGCGCCAAGCGACCAACATCGAGCCGCGCACGCGAGTCTGCTCCTCCTGCCAGCTCAGCACGTGCTGAAGCCAACACCTCCGCTGCGCGCTCGTTGAAGACATCTCATCGCACTCTCCCTCAACTCCCCTCGGCCAGCGACGTTCAACCAGCGCCGCCACCGGCCATGTACTGGTCAAAGGCACCTGCGCACGGCAGTGTGCCTCGACGCAGCTTTCGTGCACACACCGCAAACCTCTGCGACGAGGTGCTCTGGTTGTTTGGCGGATGTGACAATCGTGGCTGCTTCCGTGACCTTTGGTGCTTCGATACCGAGACCATGTGCTGGTCTAAGCCCAAGGTGACCGGAGATGTTCCTCCTGCTCGCCGTGCCCACTCGGCAACCATGGTCAACAAGCGTCTCTTTGTTTTCGCAGGTGGTGATGGCCCTCACTATTTCAACGATCTGTACATCTTCGACACTGTGTCCTTGAGGTGGACCAAGCCCGAGGTTGGTGGCATCGCTCCCAGTCCACGGCGCGCTCATACCTGTAACTACTACGAGGGACAGCTGATTGTCTTCGGAGGAGGCAACGGCGTCGGCGCGCTCAACGATGTACATACGCTCGATGTCAACGATCTGTCACGTCTCGAGTGGCGGAAGCTGGAGTGCAGCGGCAAGGTGCCCATCGGTCGAGGATATCACACCTCGAACTTGGTCGACGGGAAGCTTATCGTCATCGGCGGCAGCGACGGTCACATGTCTTTCAACGATATCCATATTCTCCGACTAGACACACGCACCTGGTATCAAGTCAAAACCGACGAAATTCACAACCGTCTCGGTCACACGGCTACGCAGGTCGGCTCGTACCTCTTCATATTTGGCGGCCACGATAGCAAGACGTACACCTCGGAGCTCCTCACGCTCAATCTCGTCAATCTACAGTGGGAGCCGCGAAAGGTCTGCGGCAAGAAGCCGCAAGGTCGAGGCTACCATCAGGCTTGGCTCAGAGACTCAAGACTGTTCGTGCACGGCGGATTTGATGGCAAAGACATCTTTGACGATCTGTACTATCTCGACCTGGCTGCATGTGCCTATTTACCCCAGATCACCAGCTTCAGCGTCGAACTCGACGACGAAGAGTGATCTACGCTTGGCGGCCTCCGTGCTCATCTTTGCAATACAGAACACATTCCTTTCACTGCCAAGTGACGGACGACACATGCGATTCAGTGCATGCTCACTCACTCGCAATGAGCATTTGACCCACCTGTGCTGGTTGTTCAGATGAGGCGTTCATAGTACAGAACTGCGCAAGCGGCTCGGCGTCCTAGTTGTGGCTGTGCTATGCGCGATTGGTGGGTCTCTCTCTACTCGTGATGTCGAACGTCGCCGTCATTCGCAGGCTGTTGAGCGATTCTCATCCAGGTGCATTCCAACGGCTCCTTCGGCGGCTGACCAAGCCGCCAAACTACAGTTCGCGATTATCGGCCAACGCTCACACCCGCCCAACGCATGCCGTGATCTCCTCTGCCGGCCGATCAACCCACTTTGATCAAGATGCAACGTGCAGCAGCTCCAACCACAGTTTGGACAATGACTAGGATCGAATACTTGTAGCCTGATCGCTGATCCCCACTCTTACAGTATGCCAGGAGGATTCACTGCATGCAGCAGTGAGGTGAAGTTGTGACGAGCTCGAGGCCGCCTTGATACAGTATGCAGGTGGGCAACACTCTATAATGGTTGGAACGACGACGGATTCGGAACTGAGAACACAGAGCCCGACGGCCATCGGCACGCGTCGATCGCAGTCGGTGCTTGCATAACGCTCCATAAGACCGACCAGCCGCAAGTCTTCTCGTCGATCCAACGTTGGTTGGAGCATATATGCGGTATCAATCCAAGCGGATCTCAACGTCAATTGGCGGGCAGGCGGTGTCTGATGCACGGTTGGAAGCACGCACGGCAAGAATTTCGGACTACGGTTGTCATTTCATGTCCACCTCACTTGGCCCACTTCGAGGCATCTGTCAAGTACCAAAGCACTCCGGTTGGAGCTCGATGCCTTTATGCCGCCTCACGTCGGCTCTGACTTCGACGTGTTGCCCGCTTCATCTCATCTCGGTCCACATTGTCCCACGCGCAACAGTTTCACTCTCGGTCGCTCCGACGTCGAGTTCCGCCTCTGGTCCATTTAAGCACATAGGGGCAGTCTTTCTCAGTCTCGCTTGAAAGCAAGCACTGGTTTCATGTCCTCAGCAAGACCCATTTCTTGTACTGTACAGTACCGTACGACCTCGGCGACGATGTCCGGTGCCGACACACAAATGAGATGGGGCTCACGCCATGGGCCTTTTGGCAGCAACGGGTTTCGCCGTCGGTGCATCAGTGGCGACGATCTCGACTCTCACCAGCGAGACGATGCGGTGGGCTCTGCGTTTCTGGCAGAAAGTCGACTGTCGTCACCCCCTTGCGTTGCTCAGCTCCAAATGTGTGCTTTGGACGATATAAGAGGCACACGAATCAACCGCTTCCTCTATTTGCCCTTCACACAATTCTCTCTCCTCACAGTCTCCCGATCCTCACTCTCATTGTTGCTCGTCTTCGAATCCTTCTGGCAAGTGTAGTCGTCGACACACATCTCTCATTGTCATCATGAAGATCCAAGCATCTTTTGTGACGCTGCTCGTCGTCGTCAGCGCCGCCATCTCGGTTGCTGACGCAAAGGCTCCTGTGGCTAACAAGCGTCCCTCCAACCTCAACCGCCGCGACGAGGCTGCCGCTCTTCAGAAGCGCGGTGGTTTCGGTGGTTTCGCCAGCCGCATCCTCCGTCGCGATGGTGGCGCTTACGGCGCCAACTCCGACGCCGATGGAGGAGACATCTCGTCGCCTTCGAACCAGGGTGGTGACGATGGCCAAAAGAAGCAGGACTACGGCAGTCCTCAAAACGGTGACCAGTCGAACCCTCAGGGTCAAGATGACGGTGCGCAGAAGCAGGACTACGGTAACCCTCAGGGTCAAGACGACGGAGCGCAGAAGCAGGACTACGGTAAGCCTCCGGGCAGCGACCAGCCTGGTCAAGGTCCACCTGGTCAGGGTCAACCCGACCAGAACCAGCCCGGTCAGAGCCCACCTGGTCAGGGACAGCCCGACCAGAACCAGCCCGGTCAGAGCCCACCTGGTCAGGGACAGCCCGGCCAGGACCAGCCCGGTCAAGGTCCGCCGCACGGATACGCTCCTGACTCCCAGCCTCAGCCCCAGCCAGACCAAGGTGGGCAGCAGCAGCAGCAGCAGACGGACCAGCAGAAGAAGGATCAGGAGAAGCAGAAGAAGGATCAGGAGAAGCAGCAGAAGGACCAGGAGAAGCAGCAGAAGGAGGAAGCTAAGCGTCAGAAGAAGGAGCAGGAGCGTCAGCAGAAAGACCAGGAGCGCGCCCAACAGGACCAGCAGAAAGCGCAGCAGGCGTCGCAGCAAGGCGGTCAGGGTGGCGCCCAGCCGGGTAACCCTAACGATCAGCCGCAGTCCGGTCCGAACCAACAGCCCGATCAGGGCGGTCAGCCTGGTCAGCCTGGTAACCCTGACCAAACGATCACCGTGCCTGTCACTTCTGGCAACGAGCCTCTTTCTCCCGATGCGCTTGCGCAGAGCCCTATCCCGGTCAACAACCAGGACCAAAGCCCAGGTTCGCCTGACAACTGCCCCAAGTTCCCCAAGAAGGGCGGCGGAGAGGCTGACACCGCTCCTTGCTTCTCCAAGGACGCCAACCGCAAGGACATCTGCTCTGCCTTGAAGCAGTTTGGCATCGACACCAAGGCCGTAGGCTGCTCCAAGGACGACTGCAGCGAGGATGCCAAGGACTACTCGAACCACGCTTGCAACAAGAAGAAGCAGTGCGACTTTGGCTGGGACAACAGCTGCGATTTTTACCTTCACATGGGTTTCAGCGACGTCGCCAAGTTCGGTTGCGGTGCCGCTGGCTCTCCTGCCCCCGGTCAGGACGGCGGTGACAACGGTGCCGGCTCCCCTGCTCCTGGTCAGAACGGAGGTGACAACGGTGCTGGTTCTCCTGTTCCTGGTCAGGACGGCGGTGACAACGGTGCTGGCTCTCCTGCTCCTGGTCAGAATGGCGGCGACAACGTTCCTGGCGCTCCGTCTGACAACGGCGCAGGCGTGTCGCCTCAGCCGGGTCAGCCTGCTCAAGATGACAGCGAGCAGTGCGACGACGACAAGGGAGCTGATGGTCAGCAGCAAAACCCTTACGGATCCGGCGGTGACTCTGACAACGGCGACAACGGTGCTGGTCAGCAGAAGAGCCCTTACGGATCCGGTGGCGACTCTGACAACGGCGACAACGGTGCTGGTCAGCCAAAGAGCCCCTATGGATCCGGTAGCGATTCGGACAACGGCGACAACGGCGCTGGTCAACGGAAGAGCCCTTACGGATCCGGTAGCGATTCTGACAATGGCGACAACGGTGCTGGTCAGCAGAAGAGCCCTTACGGATCCGGCAGTGACTCTGACAACGGCGACAACGGCGCTGGTCAGCAGAAGAGCCCTTACGGATCCGGTAGCGATTCTGACAACGGCGACAATGGCGCTGGTGACAAGAAGAGCCCTTACGGTAGCGGTGACGATGCCGACAAGAAACCCGACGACTGCGAGAAGAACAAGGGTCAGGATGGTCAGGGTCAAGACGGCCAGGGTCAGGACGGTCAAGGCGGCCAGGGCCAAGGCGGCTACCAGCTTATGGCTGATCAGGGCGGTAGCGACCAAGGTCACGAGCCTCCTGCTCAGTTCGGTGACGACCAAGGCCAGCAGCCTCCTCCCCAGGGCGCCGCTGACGGTCAGGACGCACAGCAGGCTCCTCCTCAGGATGGTTCCCAGTGAACCCATCGCTCTTCATCGTGTCGAGCCCTGTTCTGTCTCTCCATGCTTTACTCTCGCTTCCTTTAGTGTCGTCGACGTCTGCGGCTTTGTGCCTTCCAGGTCGATTGGTTTACTTTCTCGATCTCTTTTTCTTGGTTCTTCCTCCCCGCTCAAAAATGATCATATTTCTCTCTCTTTCCCTCGTCGCTTGTGTGTCGACCAGATCAGCTGAGTTGAAGATACGTCGTTGTACGATGAGGCCCGAATGCGGCTGGATATGGAAAAGGCTACCGATGGGATGTGTGGTATTGAAATTTGTCCAAGAGCGCCAGCTGCAGGGTTTCCGGATAACAGTTGAGTTGGAATAGCCGAGTATGCACGTTGTGCCGTAGCTCAGCCCGGTAAGGCTTCTCGACGCGTTCCGGATCGCCTTCGACACTTTCACAGCTCTCTGCACGCATTCGATTTCTAGTTTCCCAACTCGTACTTCCATCATCATCACCGTCGCCGATATTCGTCCTGCTCGCATCCACTTACCCCTTCAACACCCGCTTCAAGTCGTCATTAAACCTTCATAATGCAGATCAAAGATCGACTATTCTACATCACCGGCGGAGCGTCCGGTTTGGGAGCAGCCACTGCGACTCATCTCCACTCTCTGGGAGCCTACGTTGCGATCATGGATATCCAGCTTCCCGCTGCCCAATCTCTCGCTTCTACGCTCAACTCTTCCTCTCCATCTACAAAGCGAGCGGAAGCGTTCGAGGTGGACGTGTGTTCAGAAGAAGATGTGGTCGAAGCGATCTCTGCGTGCGATAAGCAATGGCCTTCTATCCAGGTCGGTGGTTGCGTCAACTGCGGAGGAGTCGGTATGGCAGGCAAGATCATCTCTCAAGACGGCTCGCCTTTCGACCTCGAGACATTCCGCAAGACAGTAGAGATCAACCTGATCGGAACGTTCAACGTCTCCCGCCTCACTGCAGCACGTCTCGTTCGAGACCTAGCCAAACCGATCCCCAAACCGACCGAGTCGACGGAAGACCTAGGTGTGATCATCAACACCGCTTCCGCTGCAGCGCTCGAAGGCCAGGCAGGTCAGTGCAGCTACTCGGCAAGCAAAGGTGGTGTGCTGGCGCTGAGTCTACCGATGGCGAGGGATCTGGCGTGGTTCGGCGTCAGGGTCATGACGTTGGTCCCGACCTTGTTCGAGACGCCCATGATGATGGGATTGCCGGATAGGGCGAGGGCGAAGATTCTGAGCCAGTGCGAGTACCCGGCTAGGTTCGGTAAGCCAGAGGAGTTTGCGTTGAGTGTACAGGGGGTTATTGAGAATCCCATGTTGGTAAGTTTCAAAAGAAGTAGAAGAGGGAGGTGATGAGGGAGGGACAAAGCTGACTGATATCTTGCGTTTCCATGATCCAACAGAACGGCTCGTACATTCGTCTCGATGGTGCTTCCAGACTCGGCAAGCTTTGATCGACCCAAGAAAGAAACTCTCTTCGTTCACAATTCACACGCACCACACCCACGCAATCGGATCAAGACATTCTACCGGCGAATCACACACACTTCTTCCTTCGCACACCTCGTCTTCGTACCAGAAAACAATGCAATTTGCAATTCACCCTCTACCCATCCCGACTAATCGCGTGCCAGATCTAATCGTCATCATCAAACTTGATCGAGTGCGAACCGTACACGTCGATGGCGCCACCTCTGTAGCTGCCGCGCTTCTTCTTGTTCTTCTCCTTGGTGAAACCTTTGCCGCGTGTGACGATGAGGTCGCGACTGGCACGTGCGCCGTACTCGTCGCCGGTGACGCCCGCCTTGCCGGAGTAAGACATGTCCTTCATGCCTTCGTGGAGGTAGGTGACTTTGTCGGCCTTGACGCGTTGGAAGGGGGTGTTTTGGGTGGAATTGGAGTGAGGCTTGCGGGCGGAGGAGGTGGATGGGGTGGGAGTGGAGGCGATGCTGGTGGTGGTGGTGGTGGCGGCGACGGTGGGAGCGGGCGTGGGGGTGGCAGGTGGCGAGACAACCTTTTGTCGCTTGGCTGGTGGGCCCTTTGGTGAGGGAGAGGATGAGCTGCCAGAGGAGGAGGATGAAGAGGAGGAGCTGTCGCTGTCGAATCCTGATTCGGATGAAGAGGATGAATCGCTATTGCTATCGTCGGAATCAGAGTTCGAGTCGGAGTCCGAGTCAGACGAGTCGCTATCGTCGCTGCTGCTGTCGGACGAGCCGTCGTCGTCGTCACCGTCCTTTGAAGCCACAGCCGCTTCTGCTCCATCATCGCTGCTGGAGGAGGAATCGTCAGAGCTCGAGTCGGAATCATCCGAATCCGACTCAACAGTCTTGACGACCACCTCGACCTTCTTGATCGTCGCCTTGTCTTCCTTGGCATCCTCTTCCTCCTCGTCTTCATCATCGCTATCACTGTCGTCCGAGTCGCTCGACTCGTCATCGCTATCGTCACCATCGTCGCTGCTGCTATCGCTGTCGCTGTCACCGCTCTCGTCATCGCTGTCGTCCGAAGAATCGTCGGAGCTGGAATCCGAGCTCGAGTCGTCCGAGGGAGTGGCTTCTCGCTTGCGCTTGTTGGTCACAACAGCAGCAGCACTGACGGAGGACGCTCGTGTAGGGGTTGCAATGCCATTGCTGGGGAGCGCAGCCTCCGCCTCGTCCTGCGAGTCGGAGACGACGGTGGAGGACGCTGCTTCGGTGTCCTGATGCGGCGGGTCGGGCTTGGCAGCCTTGACCTGCTTGTCTTCTTCCGAGTCTGATTCATCGTCGTCATCATCCGAGCTGTCGTCATCTGAATCGCTGCTATCACTATCGCTGTCACTGTCATCACCGCTACTGCTACTGACGCTGCTGCCGCTGCTGCTGCTGTCGGAATCGCTGTCGGAATCAGAGTCGGAGCTGTCGGAATCGGTGTCCTCGTCCATGGGAGTCGGCGACGACGGAGTGGCCTGCTGAGCAACCAGACCGGGCCATGACCGCCTAGGCGAGTTGCGGACATGATCGACGAGTGCTGAAGCAAGAGTCTTGGGCGGAGCAGGTGAATCGGGTAGAGTTGCGGCCAGCTGTTGAGCTGCTTGAGGAGCGTGTTCGGCCAAGAAGGCATGGACGATCTGGAAGGTGTTTCGCAGCGCTTCGTCTGCGGCGACCGAAGTCGAGTTGGGGTTGATCTGGGGCATGATGGGAGGGCGTATGTGATGATGCGGAAGCTCGCCGTGGGTCTAAGGGGGAGATGGTTCGGTGGTGAGGGGGCAGCCTAGGGCTCTTTGGTCGGCTTTCGCTCTGTTGGTCACTGCGACACCACGGTAAACGGCGATGCTGGTATTGCTGAGGAAGATCGTGACGCTTGTGGTGATGCAGAAGGAAAACAACGAAGAAGTTCTGGTATCGCAGCCTCCCGCGCCGCAATCTCGAATAAAGCTTTGATTGGCGAGAAACAGGGTTCACCGCCACTCTGAAGCGCAATCTCGCCAGACCCGTCTTTTTGCAGCCGATGCGAAAAAGTTTCAACCGCGCTTGCAGCTCAACGAGAAAATTGAACCCTGAATTTCTCACCTTGCAAGAAGATAAAGCTTTCATTTCTTCCTGAACTGTCATGATTACCTAGGCAATATGCCGATTCCCCGATGTATGCCTCCACACGCTGAAGTCCGGGTTGGGGGTGATCTTCTCGACGCTTGGACCCGGGAAGATACCTGCCATGCATCTTCAATGACTGCAATCACGTCGACAGAGCAGCCATCGAGTCGGGACTACAAGTAATGTCGGATCAAGCGTCAACCTCGGCGGATGCGCCGTTGTCAGCGCTCAGCTCATCCACGCTCGGATCCGCTCCCAAACGTATACGACATCGCGAGACGCAAATCGGTACGGCCTACGAGCTGCAGCGAGTGAGTCTTCTTTCCGTCTCCCTTACCCTTCACCTCACACATGCTGACCCCTATTTCATCCCTCCGCTGTTGCAGAATGCGGCGATGAAAGGTGCGCTGTTGTACACAGCTCTCGGCGCATCCAGCTGTTTCATGGCACACCACCTCTTCCCCGGCTTCCGACGTCAAACCCTCGCCCTCAAAGGTTTCATCACCTCCGGTTTCACCATCTTTGGCTTCGTAGTAGGCGCAGACACCGTTCTGCTCAGTCACGAATCCCAACAACGGTCCGAAGAGAACATGGTCAGGAGTAGAGCCAGAGCGGAGCTGGGAAAGAAGGGCATCGTAGCGAGTGAGAAGGAAATCGAGAAATGGAAGGACGAATACGTAAAGCAAAAGTTGGAAGAGAGGAGGTTGAGGAGAGAGGAGAAGTTGAGAAAACTGCAGCAAGACGAAGCAGAGTCAGGATCAAGCTCGACTTGATAGATGCAAATAAAAAATCCAAGCGTTCAGAGTGCAACAGGCGTGAAGGTCGGAGCGATGACATGTGCTTTGCTGTCTCGCCATGTGGCTGGGATTGCAACGCGGGTCACTACGACAAGGGTATAAGGCTAGCAGTCACAGCGCGAACGACGTCCGTCCCGGGCTCGCGCATCAACAGCAGAAACCTGGTCTCGATCGGATTCCGCGCTTTCCTCCTACCTTTCTCCTCCTCCTCTCCCTTGAGCGCCGCCAACCTCGCCTCTCGATCCTTCAACTCCAACCAAGCGCGCAGCGTGATCGCCCCGATACCAAAACCTTTGCCATTGCCGAGCGAGTAGTCGCCGTCCAGCACCGTACCCACAGTGTTGTTCCAGTCGGCGCTGCGGTTGTGCATCTCTTCCGGATCGGTCGCCGTGGAATTGGAGCTCGACCAAGGATTCGTGCTCTGCACAGCAGCTTTGAGTTTCGGCTTGAAGGAGGAGCTTTGCGGAGCACTTCGTCCCAGCTGCATGATCTCACAGCGTCGTTCGATCAGCGACTTGAGATGTTGTTTGTCCATCTTTTGCGCTCCAGTGCTGCTGCGGTTGGCGACCGCGGCTGGATGATCGATCGGGTGGAGGTGATGTACCCAACTGAGGTGATCTTCGAACGAAGGTGCTAGCATCAGACTGCTCAACGGCATGACTGTTCCCTTTCGAACCGCTCGCAAGTTCATAGCGACCATGGCAGATGCAAGGTTCGCTGCTGAAAGCGCCGCTTCGTTCGGCAGCTGAGCCGCTGCCGACGCCACTAGCCACGGCTGTTGCAGCTCGACTTTTTCGTCTTGCTGGGCAGCAGCCTTGCCGAACAGCCTTTCGGAGTTCCCGACGATCCACTCCCAGCAATGTGACCCGCCGAATGGATACGGCCTTGAAGCACCTGTTCGATCCTTTGAAAGCTTTGCCTGGACCTGATCCGCAGTGTTTGTTTGTTGAAAGGCAACCCAGTCCTTATGAGACGGGAAAAGGTATTCTGTCCTCTTGCCCTTGGGCCTCCTGCTCCACACCTCTTGTCGCGTCGCCGCTGCTTCCTTTTCACTGACGGCATGCGCCTGCGTGCCGAGCCAATTGTGTGGATAGCTGAGCATGTCCGCTTTGGCTGCTGGCATCTTTGCGCCAACAGCCGCGGAAAGGGCGGCCAATTCGAGCCGCTGATGTTTCAGCTGATGCTGTCCCAGCACTCGTGCTCCACTCGAGGCGCCAGATTGATGCGTAGCGACGAGGGAGAGGAAGAAAGCCGTGCCCCAACCGCGAGGTACGATAAGAGTGAATCGATCGATCGATGGAGTCTGCACGAGGTGGTCACGGATGATGACGACGGGTACAATGTCATCTCGAGAGTCGGGCTGCAATCGAGCACCAGGCACGACGTTGAAAGCTCGCCTCGAGTCGATCTCGCCTTTGCTGAAACGAGGTGGAGTGGCTCCCGTCCAAAAGAGCTTGTCAGTCGATGGAGCCTCCAAAGCGGCCTCGTTCTTTGATTCCGAGGATGTCTTTGCAGCAGAATGTATAGGCTTGAGCTTTGGTGGGTATGAGAGTCGAGGGTCATTGACTTGCACCTCGACCATCGAAGTTGCTGCGCCATTTTGCTTGCTTAACAGCTGTCTAAGATTGCGCTCAGCAGCATCCTGGCTGACGGCGGGCGACAATCGAAGCACGGCTTGCAATAGCGACGTCGCGCGAGGACCAACGAGCTCAAACATGTTGAAGCCTTGCTTACGCATCAGCGTCGTTCTGTCATCCAAGATCACGCCGTTGCTTGTTGCATCGTCAGACGTGTCCATCTCCTGCCCGCTCGAGCCCTTTGCGCTTCCGCTGCCGTATGCTTGTCTCCTGCGCTTCTTCTCGAGCTTCGACAGCGAGCTGTCCTTTCCTCCTGCCGCCAGCCACGGATCGGGCGCCGAATCGAGCTGGAATGCGTACGTGTCGACCACTCGTGCGGCTGGTGGCTCGAGATCGAAGAGTGCGTTCTTCCTCTCGTCAATCAAGACTATCCCGGCTGCTTTGAGCGCACGTCGTATGTGCAGGTCGGCCGCAGGGTGGGCAAAGACGAGTGCTTCCTTGCAATCGTAGCTGTACGGAGCCTGCTGTGGCAAAGTCTTGGAGAAGTTTCGACAGCCGGAAAGCAATATGATGCGGGCTGGTGCTAGCGCAGCTTTGAAGATGGAAGCTGGAATGTCTGTGATACTGCTCTGCTGGTCTCCTTGAGACTGCGTGAGAACGGTGTCGAGGACGTGGGAAGACGAAGGTGATTTTGCAAGGCCCAGTCTTGAAGCGTCAGCAAAACCTGCTCTTGAAAGGCTGGAACGCAGCTGCTCGAGCAATTTCGCATCGACATCACTCGCCGGTTCGTAGCCGGCTGCACGCACGCCGACTCGAAAGACCGAGTGGTAGCTAGCATCATGCACCGTAACATACTCCCTCGCACTCCGCCAGCTCGCTCGATGACTCTTCATCATCGTTGTCTCGGGAAGCACAAAGCCCCACCTGCCACACTCGTTGCCCTGATCGCGCTCCTTCCTCTTGCCCTTTTCCGTCGTCATCCTGAACCTCTTTGCATGCCACATGTGCGTCTCAAGCCACCTTCTCTGCGGATGAGACGCCCGTTCCGCCAGCTTCTTTCGCCTAAGTGTGGATTGAATGACGCCATGGCTCGGCAAACGCTTCCGAATGTCGGACCGTGATCTTGCTTGCGTAGTACTGCTGCGAAGTTCTGCCAAAGCTTTTGAGCGTAGCCGTGATGGGAGGCGAAGCAGATTGTGTGAGGCAGCGCGGCGGCGTGCATGCCGTGGAAGGAGCTGCCATGCTCTGGTGGTGGTGGCCGACTTGGCCGATTTGATGGATCGAAGAAAGCTCTGGATCTGAAAGGCTCTTGAGGAGACGAGCGATTCGAGTTCGACACTTGTTGGTAGATTCGAAGTGGAAGCGCCAGTAGCCGCTGACGCATAGGCAGGAACAGGGGTCGAGGACTTAGACACCGTCCGTGAGCTACTTGCTGAGGATGAAGCTGTTGTAGGCGCTTGGGTCTGAATGAAACGAGCGGTATGTGCACGCTCTTGCTTGCGCTTCTTCCAGTTAGGACCTTGGCCGTTGGAAAGGTCCGCCGGTGTAGGAGGCTTCGAGCTCGAGCTCGAGCTGGCCGATGGCGCTGGCCTTTTCTGAGCGACCATGACCCCTTTCCCAGCTCCCAGTACTTGGAGAAGGCGCCGAGTGGCTGTGATGAAGCCTCAAGGGTGGATGTGGGAGCTCTGATGATGTTGTTGAAGCTGGAAGAAAGGCAATGTACCCAAAAGAAAAAGTTAAGGCGAGGTGGAGCATAATTCAAGGGTCCAATACACAAAAACAATCCGGCCGAAAAGTGACACACTGCCCGAACGAATTGTGGGACGCGAAACGCATTGGGCAAGCTTCTTCAGGGGCGACGCCGAGACAAACACTTTCGTTCGTTCATTCATCTTCCTACACCTCAAGCATCCTGCCGAGCGGCTTTGCGCATCGACACCACGGTGTGCCCGACCTATACACGCGCGCTTCGACATCGACAGCAATAATCGACCTTGCCGATATGGCGTCGACACAGAGCAGTGGCCTGCAGAGGCGCAGAGGAGCAGGAGCTGCCTCTGCCTCTGCAGCGCCCAGCACCTCTGCCAATCGCATCGATGATGAAGAATTCACACCCTCGCGCACATCCTCGCCTGCACCTGGTCGAGCATCAACACCATCAAATGCCCCGCGCAACGGCCCCGCATCTTCCTACGGCTCACGCTCAGCAACTGGATCCGTAACAACCTACGACGAGTCCACGGGGCATCGAGTTGCATACGACCCGCGTGACCTCAACGACGAAAAGGAAATCGGCGAGAACCCACGACTCACACTCATGGAAGAGATCCTGCTCCTCGGCTTGAAGGACAGACAAGGCTACCTGTCGTTTTGGAACGACAACATCTCGTACACTCTACGAGGGTGCATCCTCATCGAGCTAGCGTTGCGTCGTAGGATCGCCATCACCAAGGATCCAATGCGAAAGCGCTACGGCTTGACGGAAAGAGTGGTCGAGGTGATCGATGGCAAGATGACGGGAGAGGTGCTGCTCGACGAGGCCCTGAAGATGATGAAGGCCAGCGAGAGTATGTCTGTTGCACAATGGGTTGACCTGATGAGCGGCGAGACGTGGAATGTTATGAAGATCGGCTACCAACTCAAGCAGGTACGAGAGCGCTTGGCCAAAGGCTTAGTGGACAAGGGCATCCTTCGAACCGAGAAGCGCAACTTCCTTCTGTTCGACATGGCAACACATCCGCTCAATGACACGAGCTGCAAAGACGCCGTCTTGCGGCGTGTCTTGGCTCTTCTCACTTCCAACTCGTCGACGGTGCATGCCAACACCTTCTACAAAGAGGACGCTTCCTCCAGCGGTCGACCCGTCGCATTACGCGTCACACGAGCGCTCTGCCTGCTCTGCTGCTCCTTCTCAGCCAACGTGTTGGAGAACGCATTGAACCACCTCTCGTACGAAGCGCGCGAATCAGCGTTCCAAAAGGCAGACGACATACTCGAGGAGTTCGCCAACTGGCCGATGGCTCCCAGTGCCGGTTTGGCGGGCGGAGGTGTAGGAGGTGGTGGAAGCAGTGGCGTTCCGACGAGCATCTCGTCCAATGGGCCAAGAAAGGCGAACGGTGGTGCGAGGATCGGCGAGGGATCTATGCTGAACGAAAGGGCGTATGACGAGGTAGGCAATGTGGGTGCTTCACTGCAAGAGTTGGGAAAGGCGTTGCAGAAAGAGTTGGAGCAGGAAGGGGATGCTTTCATGTTCGAATGCATCGCGGCCGTTCTCAATGTCCTGAGCAGGATGGACTCGTTGCTGTAGCATTCATGGCACATCAAACATATCCTTTTATACACACTTTGCATGCACAGACCGTCGCGTGCAAATGGTGGGAGCATGTTCTGGTGAAGAGGGGATATGATGATTGCACAAATTTGGTCTACATCAAACCGACATCATATCGTCGTCCTCATCAACAGGTTCATCCATCATCTCTCCCCTCGCCGTGGCGGTCAGCAGCTCTCTCCTGACCTCTGGTGAGATTCCCTCGTGCTTCTGTACTCGCAACAGATCCAACAAGGCAGATTTCTGATCCGGTGTCAAATCCTGCTTGTACCTCTGAGCAAACACCAACATACTCTGATGCCACAGAACGGGCATCCTCCTCTCCCTCGTGATCTTGTCCAACTCAACGCCAGAGTTGGATTCCGCGAATCGAAGGTAGTGGAAGACGAGAGAGTCGACGACCTTGTAAGGAAGGGCGTACTTTTTGTCGAGCAAGACTCGGATGAAGAGCGATGTGGGACCGGAGTATTCCATCTCAGCAAGACGCAAGAGGGCGGCAGCAGAGTGCAGAACGGGAATGGAAACTTTAGCGAGGACGGAAGAGACGATGGCGGCTTCCTTGAGCGTCAACGTTCCCGACTCGCACATGGGGAAGAGGAACCCTTTGAAGAAAGCAGCCGGCTTGTAGATAGCCTTCTTCATGGCTTCGTACGTCTGGTAGGAGACCTTGCCGTCGTCTTGGATCTCGTCTCGTACCTTGTCGAGCAGGACGAGTTCGTAAAAGCGTTGCATCTGGTCGGCTTTCATTGTCGAGACGAAGATTCGTACTGCTGCGAGGGTGGCGTGAGGTGTCCAGGAGGCTGGGTCGGTGATGTAGAGAATCGACTCCCATGCGGGTAGGGATGGTACGATCTTGAATGCTTTGGGGAGGGGACCGGATTTGTAGCGAGAGAGAAGCTCTCCTACTTTGCGGTATACTTCGATGACTTTTGGGTTGATACCTGGGGGCATCCTTCGCTCTTCGAGTTCTTGCGCCGAAGGACCGTCGCCGGATGCTTCAGCCGCTTCGATCTTTTCCATGATGAGATCTGCGAGGGTCTTGTTGCCTCTGCCGCCGAAACCGCCGGCGCCCATGGCAGCGTCCTGTCCATCCTCATCGTCGTCGTCATCATCCTCAGCGCGGTGTTCTGCCTCGAACTTGTCGAGAAGCGCGCGATCTGATGGGTCGATCTCAAGGTTCGCATCGTACGAGTTCCAGCCATTGGCACCCATCTCGGCCTCATCGTCGTCCAACTCCCCCAAATCGTCAAGATCCGCCTCTTCGTCATCCGAATCGTCAGGCATAGCTGCTGCCGAAGCACGTGCGGTCATACCGTGAGATGCCGAGGTGGACGCTTCAGCCGAAGACGAAGGATTCTGCAGCTCCATCTCCTCGCGTTCGATCTCCTCTTGCTGCTGACGCGCCAATCGTAGAATGTTCCTGGAGAGCTTTGGATCGATGTACTTCTTCTGTGTGTTTCCTCCTCCTGATTTACCGCCAGTGACCATGCCCTGGGGAGCAGCGTACTGCTTTTGGTCCTCCTCATCGTCGGATGCAGACTGGGGCTTGGTTGCCTTCTTGGATCGACGACCAGGTGCAGAGACGAGACCGAATTTGGATGTGAGCTGATCCTGTTGCAGCTGCTGCGGAAGCGGATTGTGACGCTGGGCGGCGCCGCCCTTGGAGGCCAGCTTGGCGGTAGGAATTCGAGGCATGGTGGTGAAATTTGCTCTCAGAGATGTTCGCCGGACTCGATCTGTCGAGAGCTTCTATTGAGCAGTCGCAATCTATGTGAAGCTTGAGAGTAGAGTCAAGATAGGGATTGGTGTCAGAGGGTAAGGATAGAGAGGGTATCGAGTTGAGAAGAAACGGATAGCACGAGGCTGCTTGCGGTCTCTGTGTAGCTGCACGGCACAAGAAAATTCTCAAATTTTGCCGTCACTCGCCAAGCTGCAAAGGACAAAAGTAGTCCGAGAGCCGAAGAAATTCCGACGTTTCGCAATGAAATAAATACGATACTGTTAGGACATCGCTTCTAGCAGCGTCGCGAAAATAATCCCATCTTTGACGACCTCCGGTACGGCGGCTTGGCCTTGCAGTGCGACAGCTCATCCGGATGTCGTTCCTTCAGTGCGGTGTGGTGGGATCGTCCTCAGCCATTTTTTTCCGTGACTTTCATTTCGAAGAAAAAATAAAAACAGTAAAAATTACCTTCTGCAATTCTCCGCTCCTGGCTCGTTCGAAGGCAACCAATAAGAGACGATTGGAGGACCATCGTGGCTAGGTTTCGTCTGGCGTCTACCGTGTGTAAACTTTTTCTTTTCTTTTCTTGGTTGGGAAATTAGCTTTTATTTTTTCCTCCTTTAAATTTCCATCCATGCATCGAGCTGTCAAGTGATGTGGCCTCCCGGACGCAGCTCTACCTCTGAGAGCGAATGGAACCGAAGAATACCGTAACTAGTGGACAGAGCCTCTTTGCCGAGGCGCCTGAAAATCTGGAAGCGGCCCTTCCGCTTCTGCGTCTGCGTTTGCGTCTGCATCTGCGCTGTAACTAAGCTCGATTCGCTGCTTGGGTGCTTGTGCGTCTGCGTCCGTGACTGCGCCCGCATTATTGCTCTAGCTGTTGCGGTTGCCGTAGGCCGTGGCTTGTGCTTGCTGCAGGTCATCGCTTCGAGGCGCGTGTCTGGAAGAGTGGTAAACGATCCGATCGCATCTCTATCTCAAGACTCGACTCTTCAACTTCCGTGCTCGTCTGGGATCACGATTTGCATCTGCGACGTCTCTCTTCTCTCCTTCCACGCGCCGTCACATCCACTTGATCCTTCCTCATCCTCGATCTCCTTCACGCCCTTGCCTCTTCTTCCCTCCGGCTTCCTTTCCTTTCACTGCTTTCCAGATCGACACTCTCCTCCGGCAACACCACCTGCATCTGCGTCCTGAGTACCGGCCTTCTCTGCGACATTTTGCTAGAGCATTCGGCGCGCACATACCTCTTTTTTCAGAGAGTGACATCCTCCGCTACGTCCTTGTTCGACCCCTTGCGACGCACAGCGAGATCGCCAAACTTCTCGGACAGTCACACCAGCCCGTAGAACCTCTAATTCACGGCGTCAGAGTTACGTTTGCGCGCTTTGCTTCGTAAGATCCTGCCATTGTGCGTCTGATCTCCGCCGTCACAGCACATTTTCGGAGCATCCGGCGTTTCTCCCTCACATCCAGCGGCTTCGGACCGTCCATCTGTACCAACACTCTAGTTGACAAGCATGTACGGCCATCGATCCATCGTACCTTCCGCCGGGCCCCAAGGTCCTCCATCGGGTCCGCCTCCTTCCGGTCCAGGTGGTCCTGGTCCTTCACAGGCAGCCGCGGCCGCTGCCGCTGCCGCAGCAGCCCAGCAGGGTCCGCATCCGGGCGCACCTGGAGCAGGCGGTCCCGGAGGCCCTGCTTCCAGCGGCCCTCCCGGTGCTGCTGCTGGTCCACCTGGCGCAGCACCTCCCGCGGGAGCTCCGCACACCAGTTCAGCCAGACTCGCCGACCTTCTCGACTTTGTCCGTCATGAATTCGACCTGCTTGGCAACGACACCGCGCAATTCAAGGCGCAACGCGACGAGATGGAACACAGAGGTACGTCTTTCGACGATACACCCACGCTCTACCCGTGCACACACAGCCGCTGACACTTTCCGACCCTCTGCATTCCACAGTCACGTCACAAGTGAGCGAAGTCAACATGATGCAGACCCACTTCTACGAGCTCGAAAAGCGTCACGCGCAAATCATCCAACAGTGAGTGTCTCCCATCCAGCCTCCGTTCTTCAGCTGCAATGCATCCTTACTGAATTTTACCTCGCTCTGTCCGCAACAGATACGAAGAAGAGGTCAAGCGTCTCCGCAGCATCCTCGACTCGCGAGGCCTCTCCTCTGAGCATGGCGCACCTCCAGCAACTGGCCCCATGAGCGGTCCTCCTCACCTCCCTGCATCCGCCACGTCCGGTCCCTTGCCCATCGCCTCTGCTGGTGGCCCACCTCCTCCCGGTGGTCCGGGTGGTGCTGGCTCTGCCGCCATGTTTGGTCCCAACGGCAACGGTGCTCTCGGCGGTCCTGGCTCCGAGTATGGACGTGGCCCCAACGGTTTCGACCGCGAACGAGATCCTCCACGAGGCCCTACCCCAGGCGGCAAAGACTCGAAACGCATGCGCGTCGAAGGACCCGGTTCGCACTACAGCGGTCCCCCTAGCCCCGGAGCCGAGCGAGAACGTGACTGGATCAAGAAGGAGGAACGCGATCGAGGAGCTCCACCGCGCGGCGATGACAAGTGGGATCGCGATCAGCGCATGGGTGGCGGAGCACCTCTCGGCCCAGGTCCTGCTCAGTCTCCTCGCGGCGCACCGCCTCTTCCTCCTTCCAACTCGTACAACCGCGACATGCACCGCGACGCAAGGGAGCGCGACTCGCGAGGCCCCGAAGTGCCTTCCTCCGCCGACTCTCCCGGCGCCGCCGCTGCCGCCGCTGGCAACGTCTCCCTCGCCAGCCTGAGCGACATGGATCCCGACGAAATCCCCAAAGATCTTAAAAAAGAAGGTCCGGACTGGCTAGCCATCTTCAACCCCAAAGTGAAACGCACACTCGACGTCAACCTGGTCCACACCTTCCTGCACGAGTCAGTCGTCTGCTGCGTCCGGTTCTCCGCAGACGGAAAGTACCTCGCTACCGGATGCAACAAGTCGGCGCAGATCTTCGACACCAAGACCGGAGCCAAGACGTGCGTGCTGACGGATCAGTCTGCCAATTCCAAGGGCGATCTGTACATCCGCTCAGTGTGTTTCAGTCCCGATGGCAAGTGTCTTGCGACGGGAGCTGAGGATCGACAGATCCGCATTTGGGATATTGGTAAGAAGAAGGTGAAGCATCTGTTTTCGGGTCACAAGCAAGAGATCTACTCGTTGGATTACAGCAAGGATGGGAGGATCATTGCGAGTGGATCGGGGGATAAGACGGTGAGGATCTGGGATGTGGAGAACGGGCAGCTGTTGCATACGCTGTACACGTCGCCTGGGTTGGAGCATGGACCGAGCGAGGCCGGTGTGACGAGTGTCAGTATCTCGAGCGACAACAGATTGGTCGCCGCAGGAGCGCTCGACACCCTGGTGCGCGTGTGGGACGCTCAGACGGGCAAACAATTGGAGAGGTTGAAGAGTCACAAAGACTCGATCTACAGCGTCAGCTTCGCTCCCGACGGAAAGAGCCTCGTCTCGGGTAGTTTGGATAAGACGTTGAAGCTGTGGGATCTCACGGGCACCGCAAAGGCGGTGATGGAGAACAGGGCCGAGGAGAAGGGTGGACACGCGAATTGCGCGACCACCTTCGTGGGCCACAAGGACTACGTGTTGAGCGTCAGCTGCAGTCCGGACGGTCAGTGGGTGGCGAGTGGTAGCAAGGATAGGGGGGTGCAGTTCTGGGATCCCAAGACGGCCCAGGCGCAGTTCGTCTTGCAGGGTCATAAGAACTCGGTCATTGCGATCAACTTGAGTCCCGCGGGTGGACTGTTGGCAACGGGAAGCGGAGACTTCAACGCCAGGATCTGGAGCTACGATCGAATCCCGAATTGAAGGAGCTCAAGTATACTTCCCTGTCTCTTGCCATTTGATCACCATCTCTGTAGCCTTTCTCAAAACACTTATTCTTCTTCCTACACCTGCCCCCAACTTACACAGTCAACGCTGTCTTTGTCCGTTCTTTGTTCTCCTCCATCTGTACTCTGATACTCGTAAAAACAAGAATCGTTCTCTCTCTCCTCGTCGTACTCGCGATCACTCTTTCAACCGCACAAACATATGACGATCTTCGTCGGCAACCAGCATGAAATTTCATCAAAACGTGACGACAGTCACCCCAAAATAAGGTCCGTAGGAAAAACGCTCTAACTTAATGCCTGCCACCCAAAACCTCCTTGACGAGGACGAAACCAACACCCGCGCCTAGCCCCAGCATGTACGCCGGGATAGCGCCGATGCTGAGCAGATGTTTTTCGTGATCCGACTCGGGTCGCCCGAGCAGCGCGTACAGGTTCAACGAGTCTTCCTCCTCCTCAGCCGAATCGGATTGAGACGGTTGGGAGTAATACGGGTTCAGCGAGGAGAGGTACGAAGCCCATGAGGAAGGGTTTATGAGCGATCGCCAGCCCGATTTCGGCGACGAAGGAACGGAAGAGCAGCTCTCGTCGATCTCCAACGGTTGGATAGCGGTCTGCTTCTCTGTAGCGACAGAGGTGGCGGAAGTAGCGGCGAGGATCTCTTCCAGTACAGCATCGCCGTCCTCGACGGTGTCCTCGTCAGCAGACTCTGGCGATTCAAACATCCCTTTGAGGCCTTCACTTCCTTTGACGGTGGAGGAGGAAGAGCGGTCGATGGTGTCCAATTGAGCTTCGAGGTGCGTCATGCGCCTGGCTAGGCTTTCGAATCGTTTGCGATCGACGAGCACCATGGAGCGCTTCTTGATGCTTCCAGTGCCCGACGGGTGCGGTTCGAGGACTGTCAGGGGCACCAAGAGTTGCGGTTGAGAAGGAGGAGGAGTGGGAGCAGAGACGATTTCGAACGGCTCGACCGAGGCGGTCCCAGACAAAGCGTCAACGGAGATCAGGGCTGAAGTTTCGGCAGCAGCCAAATCGACGTTGATCTGCTCGTGTTCTGGCACCGGTGCGGTGCTTTCCACGTTGGCTTCCATCGTGTCTTCGTCTAGTGCGTCCATCGTAGCTTCGACGATAGGAAGCTCTTCCGACTCGACGGCTAAATACGCCTCGGCAGCTTCCCCTGATGGAGTATCATCATCAGCTCTGAAAGAACTGTCTGCTGTCGGCTCAGCAGAGTCGGGCGCAGCAGCTTCTTCGATCATCGCACTTAGAAGAGCCTCCTCTTCCTTGTGCTTCTCTTCTGGAGCATGAGCCTCAGTGGCGGCTGGACCCACTTCGACATCTTCCGTAGCAGACACCTCCAAGCCCTCACTGAACAGCGACGACAGACGCTCTTCCACCGAAGCGCGCCTGGACATACCGCCTTCCGCACCCTCTTCCGACAGCACCGTTTCCTCGTACCTGTCCACCGGCGCTTCGGCCACTTCCTCTTCAGCGACCTTCTCATCCGCCTTGGCCTGCACAGCTTCGACCTCCGCTTCGCTTGCCACCCTCTCCAGCCCGCTCCTCCTCATCGCCGAAGGAGGCTGCACGTCAAAGACGCCAGTGAGACCCTTGCGGTTGGAGGTGCGGCCCAAGGTTCCACCCCAGCCTTCCTCGTCCTCCGCAGTAGCGCCCACGTTCTTTCGCAGCGAAGACGCTCCTGGAAGCGAGGAGAAGAGCTCGCTGTTGTCGGCATCAGAGTTGAGCAAGGACAGGACGGCTTTGCCACGTCTGCTGCCAAAGGTGGCTTTGGAACCGACAGTGCGGCGGACGGAGTTGGTTCTGCTTCGAAGAGGTGCGTCCGGTAGGGTGAAAATGTACTCATCGACCGCGTTCGCAGCTTCTGCTGCTATGGACTGCTGCTGCGTCTCTGACGATGCAGGTTCGAAATTGGGGATAGGAGGTGCATCAAGAGTCTTGTCCGCGGCAGACCGCAGACGTGCAGTGCCAAATTCGGGTTCGGCTCCTCGATCGCCGACAGCCTGACCGGACGACATCAAAGCCTCGACGAGCTCGCGCGAGCTCTCGGTCCTGGTGTGGAAGCCCTTGTGGTCCAAAGCAGCCAGCTCGTCGTCGGTGTACTGCGAAGCGCGGTACGGACGGCTGGGTCGGACGATCGATGCGGTCGTGTGCGATCGACTCAGCTGGCTGGACGTGGAAGCTGATACGGGTTCAGCCTCCTCAGCCTCTGCAGGGAGCTCTTCGCCAGCGAGAATTGCTCGAATGACGTCTTCGTCCAGCACGCCGTACCGAGGTTTGCGGTCCGCATCACGACTCTCGCAGTCATCGTCAAGCTCGCTTTCGGTCGCACTACATTCAGAGAGGGAGCTGTCGCCCTCGACAGATGTACTGTCCGCGGATGCGTGACGAGTCAATTCGGGCATCTGCATCACGTCGTCTTCGACGCTGTCACCGGAACCTTCACGCCGGGGAGAACAGGTTTGAAGTGCTCTACTGACGGCTTCTGTGTCGTTCAGATCTTCCATCCCTAGCTCGTTTGCGAGTTGCTGAGCCTCTTGGTCCGTGAGATTGGCGAGGAGCGATTCGATGTCCTCTTGTTTCGTGCCGAAAGCGTTCTCGAGCCAGGGGAAATCGGCCGTCGATCTGCGTGGACGGAGCGGACGACGAAGAGAATGCTTCTTTTCCTCGGCCTCAGACAGGATATGCTGTGCTTGATCGCGAACATAGCCGTGGCCGAATGGAGCATCGATGGAAAGGCTAGCCAAAGGCACGTCCTGCTTCTCGGGCGAAGTCTGGAAGGCCTGGATCATGCCACGAACCTTTCGGCTATCGCGCATGCGCTTCAGTGTGAGCTTACTGGTGGCCTTGGAGTTGCGCATGACCCCATCCTGCCCAGCAGCATCTCCACCTTCGGGCTCGTCGCCTTCATCGTCTTCAGCTTCTTCGCGCTCCAAATCTTGCGATGATTTAGGCCAGCGGAGAGAACCAGACTCGTAGCCCCAGATGCGACCACGAAGTGCATCGCGTCGAAGCTTGCGCACGGCTTCGATCATGAGTTTGCGCCATTTGAGATTGAGCCCTTGACGCTCTAGGTCCTTCTCGCTGAGGCGGAGGAAGGCACGGCCACCCATTCTGGAGCTCCGCACGTAGGCGGTCACGTCCTCGACGACGGGTCGAGGCACCAGCCCGAGGACATGTGTGAGATAGAGAGCTACCTGGGAGGGGAGCCACGTCTTGGGGTTAAGTGGCAGGTTTGCGACTGCTTCAGCCAAGCGTTCTGCTTCCGAATCGGAGCGGGGTGGAATGATGGAGATGGAATGCAGCTCAGGTGTGCTGATGGAGCTGGGCATTCTGTGGACAGTCTTGCTGCGCTGTGGAAGGTCGAAGGCGTTGGCGGAAGGGCTAGAGACGGGAGACATGGCTGCGCGAGGAATCATCGGCGAAGATGGGGATGTCACCATTTTGGCGCTTGCAGCTGCCGGAGGCGATGTGAGGACATCCGAGGGCCTGCTTTGCAAGCCTTTCGGACGCGAGCGGGTCGAAGTCGACATGGACGTGGAGCGAGAGAGGTACGAATAGCCTTCAAACACCTGTCCTCCCGGACTGAAACCGGCAACATTGGGCGTAGCATTCGCAAGAGTGGTGAACGTGCCGCTTCGCTTTGAAGCCAAAGAGTAGCGAGGACGCGAAGGGGTCGAGATGGCAGGTGGATCATCGCTTCCCATCTTGGGCTCTTTAGGCTCGTAGCCGGAAAATGTCAGGTTGAAGATGTGATCGTGATGGTATTGAGTCGAGGAGGTCGTTGAACAACGTCGTCTAGTGGTCGTTAGAGTGATCGTCAATGATTCGTGATGAATGTTTCGTTAAAGCGTGTGCGTGAGGACATGATAGGTGAAGAACAATGTGTGGGTGTGATGGTGGAAGGGCAAGACGATGTGGTAGCCGCTTATGGGAATCCAGACATCAAGGATTGCGGAGATGGAAACAGAGACCAACGGCACAGCCGATCCGCCTTCCAATCACAGTGTATGTACCTGACTGCCAGGTACAGGAGGCAGATTCTGAGGAAGCAGAGAGGGAAGAAAGCAAGTCTCCTGTCCGCCTCGTGGGTGTCGCAGAAACCTTTGTGCCAATGTGGCCCCTTTTTGGCAAGGAGTGTTGATTGTTGCGTCGACGCATCCAACTGTGCAGCGCAGTATGCAGCTCGACGCGGTGCATGCAGGGTCGTGTTGGTTGAATGAGCCCCTAATTCACAATTTTGCAAGCGCCATCCGAAATCTCTACCCGATAAGATCACTTACCGCAAACGAAGCACTCAATGTACTCGTCCAAAAAGGCGAGCCAGCTCCTGTTCAGTGCGCAAACGGGTCGAGACCTCAGAGAGGAGGACCTCATAGGGGTTTCGGTTCATCCGACGCTGAGTTGCAAAAGTTAGGCGCCCCTGTTCCGATGTCGCCCAATCGTGGCGTGCGAGCATTTCTTCTCCTAACCGCTTGATCCGATGTCAATTTCTACTCCACACGCCAGCACGGACCTGCTCGCTAGGTTGTGATCCGATTTCCTTCCCAAGCCCCTAACCACGATCCCTGCAACCTCTCCGCTGCCAGAACTAGCCTTGTCAGTCTCGACCCAGCTCAATTCAACGTCGGGCAGCAGACGAGAGCAAAAGGTCGCCACTGCTTCGCGGAGCACTATTGCCCGACATGGCGTCGCCAATTCGGCTCGCGAGCATGGGCATGTTCATCATCGATACTTTTCAATACTTCGACCCGGCAACTGGTGAAGATCTTGGGAACCGCGGTCTGCAAGACCAGATCGGAGGAGGTGGCTGCTACTTTGCAGTGGGAGCTCGCGTGTGGATGCCTCCATCTGAGATACAGATGATCATCGATCGGGGAGTCGACTGGAGGACGACAGATCAGGACGTGCTCGACCGATTCAATCGCACCCCATCGTCATCCAGTGGACCATCTTCGATGTGGTACTACAGGTCAAGACCGGATCGTACGACCAGAGCAGTCAACATCTACAGGGGCGAGCACCGCGGCTTCGACTATCTTTCACCCAAGATCCGGCTCGAGCCGAGCGATCTGCTACAATGCTCGCCGAGCATACCGCCGAAGCTTCCGGAGTGGATCCATCTCATTTGCTCGCCGGGGCGTGCGCTCGAGACCATCTCGCAGATCGATGCCATCGTTGCAGAGGACGGGAGCGGCTTTCCGAAGCTCGTCTACGAGCCCATACCCGATTCGTGCATCTTTGAGAACCTGCAAGATTGCCTATGCGTGCTTCCCAGGCTCGAAGTCTTCAGTCCGAATCACGAGGAAGCTGCACATCTGCTTGGGCTGTACGATGACTGGACCAAGGTAGTCAAGCAGGCTTCGAACGACAAGGACGCACCAATGGATGCCATTGTGAAGTTTATCTTGGACAACTTGGCGGGAGGATTTGCAAGGCACGTGCAGGAGCAAATGGCAGAAGACATGGAGGGGAATGAGCCGATTGGGCCCATCATTTGCATCCGAAGCGGTGCATGGGGCTCTGTTGTAGGACGAACAGGCCTTGGATTCCATCACATTTCAGCATGGCACACGTCAACAGACCGAATCAAGGACGTAACGGGCGCCGGCAACTCATTCCTCGGAGGCTTCAGCGCGTGCCTCATACAGACGGAGCACGATGGCTCGCTAGATCCAGTAAGGAGGGTCAAAGAGGCAGCGATGCACGGCGCCGTATCTGCTTCCCTCGTCATCGAGCAGCTTGGCTTGCCGAACTTCGACGTGCAGTCTGCCAAAGAGACGTGGAACGACGAGACCGCTTCGGATCGTCTCGACTCGCTAAGAGCCAGAGTAGCTCCGTAAAGTTCGAAGACATTGTACACCACATCCATCATAGAAAGGGCAGCATATATAGAGATTGAATCGTGTCGTTCGGACAGTCTGAGCACCATGAAGCAGTCGTCTCGGGAAAGCTTGGGGAAGCTTCTATCCTACAACCGGAGCCCTGAAATGATGGTGGAGAAGGGGGCCTAAATTTGATAGCTGTCAGGATCCTTCGTCTAACATCACATGTAAATAGCGCGTTATCCGCCGTGAAGCTGCAAGAAGACCGTTGTGATTGGCACGGATCAACCAGCGCCGAGAATGATAGCGGAAGCCTCACTTGGGGGACCCTGTCGTTCTCTTTGTTGCATCTATGAAGCAGCTTTCTTCCGCCCACTCTTCCTCCGACCATCATCGCCTTGCACTCTCGAGTCATCATGGCGCACCCACAATCGGCATTCGCCTCTGCTCCTCAGGCGGGGGGTGCAACACTTTTCTCGGCCTTCAACATTATCTGGCTACTCCACGCAGCTACGGAGGCACCAGTGGCATTTATCGGGCTCTTTTTTACGCACGGTCTTCACTTCAAGGATGAGATCACCAACACGACTGCTGTGATCATCAAGGTGAGCTTCGTCGCATTAATATTGCTTTCGGATCTACTCCTGTTCCTGTCGTACTGATCTCATGTTTATTCCGTGTCTTTGTGTCGAGCAGCTGTACGCTACACTCTCGCTGTCGCTCTCGATCATCTGCATCCTGCTGTATGGACTTCCCGATCATCTTCCGGGCAAACGCGCCTGCGCAATCCTTCTGCTGCTGTACCACGGTGTTGCATCATCGGTGTTGCTCAATGCCGAACCGTTCATCGACTTTGCCTTTGCGGACGCGCTGAGCAAACACGGTGTCAGGATCGAGACGATCGCAGGGGTAGCTCATGGACTCATGTCGCTCGCGACCGTTTCTTGGTGGCAGTCGAGCTTGGGTGCTGTCAGGGCGTTTGGTGGTGGCAGTGCAGGTGCTGTTGCCGGTGGTGCACCGGCAGCGGGGAAGAAGGGCGGCAAGAGAAAGTGATGTTTGGCGGGAGAGGTGTAACGAGTAAGATGGAATGTACAAAGTCGAGTAGAGAGTGTTTCCTGCTCGAGGCTGAATTTTTCAGTGCTT